GGAGAGAGAGGGAGAGAGCGAGATAGCGAGCGAGAGGACCAGAAAGGGGTAGGCAGGCCGTGACCCACACAGCGCGCCCTCTGAGCGGGCCCGTGTCGCCTGGGCCTGGCCTGGCCTGGCCTGGCCTGCTTGCACAGCCCAGCGTGGGCTGACCACGATGGCCTGCCTGCCCGTGGCCTGCGCTCTCGAGGGCGGGCGCGGGTCCTGACCTCCGCCGGGCCCCTCGTTCCTTCCTCGCCGCCATCATCGTCGCATACCTCGCTCGTCGTCCGCTCCCCGTCATCTCGCTCCTTTTGTCGTCTGCATCGCAGTTCATCCACTCGCCGCACGCACCCCTGCGAGCTCACTGTCCGTCCCATCCCTCCTCGCCTTCCGCACCGCCGGCGTACAAGCAGCAAACCATCGTCTCTCAGCTCCACCTGCACCTCCACTCACACCACTCCGCCTCGCCCGCTCATCTCTTCCTGGCGCGCCGCGGCACACCATCCACACAGCTCAGCCACTCATCGCCACAGCGCCGCTGGCAATCCTCGATCCCTTTCAGACCTCGCTGCCGCCCATTTCGACACCCCTGGCGCCTGCCCTCACTGCGCTGCCGACGGCCTGGCCACTTCTGCGACTGCCACCGACGCCAGCCCCCTTCGATCCGCACCACTCTAGCCTTGCCAGACCCTCCCCATCCGCCACCCCACCCATCCGCCCATCGCCGCCATGTCACTCCAGAACATGTCCAAGTCGGCCGTCCGCGTCGGCAAGAACTACATCAAGGGCTACTCGGACGTCCAGGTCAAGGTGCGCGACGCCACCTCAAACGACCCCTGGGGTCCCAGCGGCACCCAGATGAACGAGCTCGCACAGCTCAGCTACAACCAGTGAGCTTTCAAATGCCGATCCAGGCTGCCCCGCCGCTCGCTCGGCCGCCCGCCCGCCCGTTGCCCGCGTCAGTCGCCGGGCACCTGACTGACCAACGATGCTGACCCCCATCCATCCGCGTCTCCTCGCTCTCCTCGCCCGCCAGGAACGACTTTGTCGAGATGATGGAGATCCTCGACAAGCGCCTCAACGACAAGGGGAAGAACTGGAGGCACGTCTTCAAGTCGCTCACCCTCCTCGACTATCTTCTCCACGCTGGCTCCGAGAACGTCGTCATCTACTTCCGCGACAACATCTACGTCGTAAAGACGCTCAAGGAGTTCCAGTACATTGACGAGTACGGCAAGGACCAGGGCGCCAACGGTGAGCAGCGAGGCTCTTGTCATCTTGCACAGCGCCGATGCACGCCTAGCACGGAGTACTGACCGCGGATCTCGCATCCGTTCCCAAACGGCTGCTGTCCATCGCGCGACCAACAGTGCGGCAAAAGGCCAAGGACATCACCAACCTCCTGCAGGACGAGACGCGGCTGAGGGAGGAGCGGAGGTCCCGCGCCACGATGCGCAACCGGATGTCGGGTCACGAGGACGACGACGACGACGAGCTGAGAAGGAGGCGGCGAGAAGAGGAGGAGCGCAACCGCAACCGCAGGCGCGCCAACAACAACAACAACAACGAGGACGACGAGCTGAAGCGCGCCATCGAAGAGTCCAAGAGGATGGCGAGGGAGGAGCAGGACCGGATCCGCGCCGAGGCCAAGGACGAGGAGGAGCTGCAAAAGGCGCTGGCCATCTCCAAAAAGGAGGAAGAGGAGCGCATCCGGGCGCTCGAGCAGCAAAACCAGAACGCCCTCTTTGACGACTCAATCAACCTCGACGGGCCCAACGCGTACGCCAACCAGCAGCAGCAGCAGCAAGTCGACTTTTTCGGCAATCCGCTCGTCGACACGAGCGGCGGCCAGAACCCGTACGGCCTCCAGCCGCAGTACACGTCGTTCAACCCGTACATGCAGGCGCAGGCGACGGGCTACAACCCCTTCCTGCAGAACCAGCTGCAGCAGCAGGAGATGATGCAGCAGCAGTACCTCCAGCAGCAGCAGGCCGAGTACCAGCGCCAGCTCGAGATGCAGCAGGCGGCGCAGCAGTACCAGCAGATGATGACGCAGCAGCCCATTATGCCGCAGCAGACGAGCTTCGGCTCCAACAACCCCTGGCTCCAGAGCTCGCAGCAACAGCAGCAGCAGCCACAGCCACCACAGCAGCAGCAGCACAATGTGCCGGTGGGCGACCTGTTTTCGTCGGATCCGGTGCCCTCGCCGCAACCGCCCGCTGCGCCGACGCCGCAGCCGCAGCAGCAGCAAGCGCCGCGGATCAAGACGGCAGGCGACGACAAGCACGCCGAGCTCAACCGGCTGCTGGCGAGCGGCGAGGGCATGGACACGTTTGGCAATACCGGCGACGTGCGCATGGGCCCCAACGCGGCCCGGCTGGCCCAGATGCAGGCGCAGAGGACCGGCATGAACATGAACATGAACAGCAACCCGGCCTCGCTCTTTGGCCAGCAGGCCTTTGGCGGGCAGGCCCAACAGCCGCAGCACCAGCAGCAGCAGCAGCAGCAGCAGCAGCAGCAGCAGCAGCAGCAGCAGGGCGGCTCGGACAACAACCCGTTCTTCCAGATCTGAAGAGAGACACACCGCCGCCGTCGCCATCGCGGCCCCTACATACCCTCCTTTCGCTGCCCGTGGCCACGCTCCCTCGCCTCGACGGGCCACCCTCCTCGCCCTTCCTCCAATTCCTGTACATCCTCTGTTCTGTCCTCGGCTTCTCTTGCTCTGTGCCACCCTCTTTCTCTCCTCTCCCCCCTTCCCTCCCTCCCTACGCCCTAGCCTCTGTCGTCTCGCGCAATACAAAGCATCGTCACCTCCGGCGGGCGGGTCATATTCACAAGACGGCGAGACGTCCAAGTGGGGAAACGATACAGGTCCAGCGGGTGGAAGGGAGATCCGGGAAACGGTCCAAAGGGGCGCGACGACGAGCTGGGTCGCGGTCGCGGTCGCGGTCGCGGTTGCGGTCATGCCGCCGTCGGCGTCGGCTGTGCACGAAGGCGATTGTCGTCGTAGGCGAGGAAGACGGGTTTCTGGGGCAGCCTGCGGTGTTCGCTGTCAATGACGGGTTTGGGGACCGAGGTGCGGTCGTATTCCTCTCCGCGGTCATTGACGGCGCGGACGTGCGGGAACGACTCGAGGAAGGCGGCGAGGGCGATTTTGATTTCGAGCTTGGCAAAGCGCATGCCGAGGCACGGGTGGTTGCCCCACCCCCACGCGAGAAAGTCGCCGTCCCCCCGTCCCTCGCCGCGCATCCAGCGGTCCGGATCGAACAGCAGGGGGTCGCTGTAGATCGACTCGTTGTAGTGCACCGACGAGAGCCAGTAGCCCACAAACTCCTGGTGCGTCACGACGTCGCCCGAGAGGGTCGTGGTGCGCGGCTTGACGCCGCGCTTGTCGAGCTTGCGTCGGAAGAGGAGCGAGTTGAGGAGCAGCCGCATCGTCTCCCTCTCGACGGCCTGCTGGTACGGGAAGCGCTCCGCGTCCTCCCACACCGCAAGCGGGACGCGCGCCAGGCGCTCCTCGACGCTGAGCGCGTCGTAGTCGTCGCCGCGCCCCTCGGCCTCGGCGCGCAGCACCGTCTCGAGCTCGTCGCGCAGCTGCCGCTGGCACTCTGGGTAGGCGGCCATAAAGATGAGGGTGTACGACGTGACGCCCGTCGTGTTGATGATGGCCGCAAAAAGGCTGCCCATGACGAACTCGACAATCTGCTTGGTGGGCACGCCGCGGTCGATGAGCACCTGCGGGTAGTCGTCCTCGCGGCTGCCCGACTTGCGGCGCGCCTCGACGAGCTGGCTGACGTTGGTGGCCATGGCGATGGTGCCCTTCCACTTGCGCACCGTCGAGGGCGTGAAGAGGAGCGGGAAGAGGGTCTGGAGGTAGCCGGCGTTGTCGGCGAACGACCAGAAGGGCTTCTCGATGCGCTGCATGGCGTCGAGGTCGCGGTGCTGCTCGTTGAGGCCGACGCCGACGAGCGAGAGGCGGAAGATGAGCGAGTAGATGGTGTCGTGGCACCAGATGCGGCCGCCGGACGCCGGCAGCGCGCGGAAGGCGTCGAGCGAGTAGCCGACCATGGTGGCCACCGACTTGTCGATGCGGTCGGTGCTGAGGGCGTTTTTGAGGTTGTAGTTGAAGCTGCCCATGCCCGTCTCCTCGACCGCCGCATCGCCCAGGCGACTCTGCTTTTCCTCGTCCTTGACGCCCTTGAGCCACTCGGGCACGTCCGGGATGCCGGCAAAGAGGGTCTCGTAGCCCTTTTCAAAGTCGAGGCTGCGGTCGTGGAAGAACGTCTTGCGGTCCTCGGGGTTGGCGCTGACGGTGAGGACGTGGTTGCGCGCATTGAAGCGCGCCGCGCTGCTCGGGGGCGGCGACGTGGCAAACTTTTCCGGGTGGCCGAAGACGGAGCGGAGGAACGTGTTGCGCTTCTCGAACAGGGCCGTGGGGCCGAGGCCGGCAAAGAGGGTGCGGTAGCTCTGGATCTTGGCGTCCGGGCGGTGCAGGTTCGAGGGGGCGCGGAAGAGGACGTCGAGGAGGAGCGCCACGGACACGGCCAGCGCTCCCCACAGGTACGGCGAGAGGGACGACGTCGTCTCGAGCGAGAGCATGGCGGGTGGTGGTGGTGGTGGTGGTGGTGGTGGTGGTGGTGGTGCGTAAAGGGAGAGGAGCAGGCCAGGTCACGGCGAGGTCTGTCGACCCTGTGACGGGCGATTGGTGTCGAGGTAGCCTGCTGCTAGAATATCCAAGGAGCAAGCCGTCAAGTCGAGTCGCGGTGATGGCCAGGGATGCTGCGTGGACGGGAGGAGACTCTGAGGGAGGGATCCGACGAGGGCTGCGTAGCGACGGAGCTGCTCACAGCGTCGAGGTGACGGGGCGCGGCGGTCGAGGTGGGTGTTCGGTGGTCGGTGGCGGTGGTGGTGGCCGTGGTGGTGATCCGAGGGGCAAAGGGATCGAGGAAGGGGTGGAGCCTCTAAGGAGGTCCAAGGCGCGCCGTCGGGTATATGTATGGCACGCAGCCGATCCAGTGGGCACCTCGATATCGCGCACGGGTGCCGCCTCGGCCAGACAAGCGTCAGCCTAGCCTAGCCTAGCCTACTCCTGCAGCCTAGCCTAGCCTTGCCTATATCGCGCGCCACCCAGCGCCCCCGCGGAGATGAGCAGGCCAGCACGGGTCGATTCGGCATCTTCGACCCACAAGGGCCGAGGCGGGCGGCACAGCGTGGCCAGGCGAGGCTTGGGCTGGGCCAGGCTGGGCTGGGCTGGACGAGACAAAGAGGATCCATCGCATGCGCCATCCATATCCACGTAGACGTAACCTTACCGACTCTGTTCCGACAGTCGGCTGTTGGGCCAGCTTCCGGAACAGTTTGACTCCTGCGGAAGAGTCAGGCGGGGGCGGGGCAGGGCAGGTAGGGTCTGGCCTGGGCCAGGCAGGGGGACCCTCTCCTGGCTTCTGCAGAGACCTGGCTGGCCGGCGGGCGAACGAGCAGGCCGGCGTAGATGAGCTGGTGAAAGGCCCGGCCAGCTTCTGCTTTGGCTGGGTTTGGTTGCGCCTGTCAGGCAGGCAGGCAGGCAGGCAGGCAGGCAGGCAGGCAGGCAGGCGCAGGCAGGTCGGAAGATGCGGCGGGCGCTTGCTTCGAGCTTCAATGACGGGTTGGTTGGATCCAAAAGTCCGCGGAGCCCCAAGCCCCCTTAGCCTCTCTCTAGTGACGCCGCCTGGCGAGGACTGGACGCCTGGCCTTGTTTGGTGCGTTCCGTCGACCGGCTGCGCACTTGGGGCATTCCACCTCGGATGGTGCCGTTACGATCCACAGCGGGCGATGAGCGACGATATCGAATCAATCTTAATGGTAGCTGGCATGCGTACGGGGTCCGGCTCCTGGAGCGGAGTGTAGGTACCGTACTGTACCGTAAGCCGGGCCAACCCCGCGCGGCAGTCACGACAGCAGGTGACTCTGGCCTGGCCAAGCAAGGCGAGGGGCCAGACAGGCAGGCCAACCAGCAGAGCGGCCTTTGAACCTATCTTGCACCCAGCGGCCTTTGCGCGACAGACGCCCCCGACCTTTCCTCGACCGACGCCCCCGACCTCTCCTCTCTTCTTGACAGGCGGGCGGCATGGCCTCCCCTGGCTTGGCCTGGCCTGATTCTACCTCAGCTGGCTCGCTCGGCACAGGCTCACAAGGTGCGCGTTCACGGCACGCTTTCACACCGAACACCGATAGCGACAACTCTGGCCTCTCTCCTTCCTCTTCTTCTACGTCTGTAGCTGTGCACAAGATCGAAAATCCTCGCCCAGCAGCCAGCCGACCACATCCAGCAGGGCCTGTGCGGTCCCACCTCGATGCCGCCCCGGACCCTTGCTACCCTGCCTCATACCGACGACAGGCCGATGCGCTCAAACAGCGCGGGTATCAGGCTCGACGCCGCAAAGCCGATGCCGCTGTACACAATCACCTTGGTCAGCACTGGTGGTCGGAGGTGGCAAGTGGGGAAAGCCGACGGAAACGCGAGGTGCGATAGGAAACGACAACGCTCGAGAATCAGCCCACGTCGAGCCCTCTTGCCATCAGCCCACTCTGCGCCGCTGCTACTCACCTTCGGCATCATAGTGCTTGACGTCCTGCTGCACCTTGGCCACCGGCGCGCCTTCAATCGCGCTCGCCAGCTGCCGCGCCGCCTTTTCGTCGGGCGCCACAAAGCCGGGATGCGCCCGCGACTGCGTCAGCGGGATGGGCAGGTCGGCAGCGCTGCCATCGTCGCCGTCGCCGATCGAAAACTGGATCCGCTTGCCCGGCGGCTGTTGACGAGGCTTGGCCGCAGCCACCGCCTGGGTTCCAGCCGACTTCTTGCCCATGGCCGGGCTCGGCGTCCTCGACGGGATGGGCGAAGCCAGGGGCGACGGGTTGAACAGCGAAGACGTCGGGCTGCCCTGCCCAGATATCCGACCGGGCGACGGCTGCACAGACAACCGACTCCGGAGTTGGCCGTCCTCGCCTGCCGCTCCTGGCCGACCCGTGGCTCCCGAGGCCATTCCGTTGGCCGCCTCTCCGGATCGGCCCAGGTTCGACGACGCGCCGTTCTCGTCCGTCACGATGATCGTCGACGGCAGGTCGATGACCGAGGGCACCGCCGTCAGGTCCGCCAGCGGGATCTTGTTGTAGTCGCTCGCCGGCGTATAGTGGCGCCGCGGCAGCGAGAAGCCCACCGACTCGGAAAAGAAGCGGAAGACGGGCGGCAGCACCACCATGCACGCCGTCTTGACAACCACGCGCAGCAAGAGGATCAAAAACACGCCCACCACAATGATCAGCGTCGCCTTGACCGTCCGCACGCCGGCACCGTCGACCTCGGTGCCGTCGGGCCCGAGCGAAAGCGCCTCGACGGGCTGCCGCACCGCCTCCAGCACGGGCACCACCACCTTGGCCACCGTCGACGACGAGGGCATCAGACGCTCGGCATTGAGCAGCGCCCTCTGCGCCGGGCCCAGCGGCTTGAGCGGATTGTCGTGCGCCAGGTGCAGGCCAAACTTGATCCCGAACCACTTGCCAAGCGTCGTGCCCATGGCCACAGCGACAAAGGCAATGGCTGATGTGGAAGGACAGACCACAGGCGAGCCAAGGGGGCAAGAAAGCTGGATCAGCCTGGTTGAAAAGCCAGCTTCATCGAGCGTGCGGCCAGCGCACTCACCGTCCTCGAAACACGGGCAGTCCTCCATGGGCTGCGGGTGGACCGACACCATCAGCAGGCCCAACGGAACAATGACGAGGGGCACGACCCAGCTGTCGAGCTGCAGAAAGTGCTCCATCTGGTCAAAGTATCGCCACTGCATCCAGCTGATCCAGGCGCCGAGCGACGAGCCGACCACGCAGTCTGCCGCACGGCCAGCAGGAGATGAGGGGACGAATCGGAAAAGGTCAGCCTTGGGCGGAGGGCTCCGTGACAGGTCGAGAGCTGTGCAGCCGGTCGACTCACCGATGAGGGAATGCATGCCGGCATAGATTCGACCGTAGACGACGCTGAAGGCGTAGAAGAGCAGGCCGGCCTCCCACCACAGGCTGTCAAAGATTCCTCCGAGGCCGTGCTGGATCGCGACGAGCGGCAGCTGGCGGAAGGCGGTGACCCAGAGGTAGAGGTAGAGGGCGATGCTGACGCTGTTGGTCGAGTGGGTTGAGGGGAAGCCGTACTCGAGGTGGTGGGTGCCGATGGTGAGGCGGGTGACGGGGGGCGAGTAGGGACGCGGGATGCAAAAGAGGTCCTTGAGCGCCGACGAGAGGTAGACGCCGAGCGCGAGCACGTTGACCAGGCCGCGCGCAAACTTTGCGTTGCCGAGCCAGTAGGCCATAGGGAGGAAGATGAGGAAGAAGGAGTGGGTGCCGAGGAGCGAGGTGTTGACAAAGTAGCGGTCGAGCCACGGCCTGCGGATCCACGCCTGGTGGCGGGCCATGTGGGGCGCCTCCCTGCGCAGGACGGCGACGATGAGGCTACGGAGCGCGGCTACGGGTCGCGGCAGGTAGGCGCGGTACAGGGCGTCGTCCTGGATGCCGATGACGGTGGTGAGCTCCTCGCGGTCGGTCGACTTTTTCGGGTCGAGGTACGACGAGCCACGGAGGAGGCCGATGCGCTGGATCTTTTCGACCTTCTTTGCGCCTTCCTTGACCCTCGCGCGGATGGCCTGTGGTGCGTTGGCGTTTGCGTTTGTGTTGGTGTCGAGCTTGGCGAGGTCGTCTGCTCGGCGCTGGCGGTTGGCCGTGGCAGCCGACGATGCGGCTGTGCGGTCTTCGATCCAGCTTCCGCTGACCTTTGTATCGTCCTCGAAGCTGCTGGAGCTCGAGTCTTGGCGGCTGGCCCGCTGCGAGGTATAAGGAGCGTGAGGGGCCATGTCGGGCAGTGCAGGTTAAGAGGGGCGCTCGAAAGCCGTTTCAAGAGTGGAGACGGGGATGTCTGTGGGCAATGCTTGAGCAGCCCGGCCGACGGCGGCGTCAAGGAGCCATGAAGCGCCAAGAGCGAGGAGGGGCGAGGCGGTGGTGAGGGTAGGCAGGGATGGCGGAGGGAGGCCAGGAGAATGGGGGGCAGGTAAGGTGGCCGATCGAAGATCGTCGTCGAGGCCGCGGGCCGGAGCGAGCCAATCAAGAAATCAAGATTGCGGGGGGCCCAGCATGATGGCGGCCCGCTTTCAGCATGCGGGCCGGGCCTGACTGGTAGCCTCCGCTCCTACACGACCCTCTGCCGCACGAGAACCGTGCCCGACCAGGGTCTCGGGTCTTGCTTGCATCGGGAACGCGGCGGACCAGCAGGCATCATCGGGTACGGTGGTCCTCGGCGTCGACGGCGTGGGTGCCGCGCCGCCCCCTCTGCGCCCACCGACGGCAGGGCGACGTCGAGTGACGGACCGAGAGCAGCTCGCCCGTGACTGTGCAGAGTCGGAGAGCAGACGAGAGCAGGCCGGGCGGGCGGCCTGGAACGTGTGGCGCCAGACTGAGGGGCTCGACGGCTTCGCTGCTGGTGAGTCGAGCGAGCGAGATGGCGGAGGCGAGCGCGAAGGCGAAAGGGCGCCTGGCCTGCCGGGCCTGGGCCTGCCACCACCGGCTAGGCCAGGCCTGGCCAGGCTGTATCGGCTTCGGCTTGGATGGCAGCCCCACGAGTCGTAGATCGAGGTGCTGCCTGCCCGTGCTGTGCTGCACCTTCACAAGGGATGCGAGCCAGACCGGTGGGTTGGGGCATGAGCAGCCAGCCAGGCAGGCAGGGGGGCAGGCAGAGGCGGCGTCCAAACGTGCGTGCGTGCGTGCGTGCGTGCGTTCGGGCGGGCAGGCAGACTACCCACTTTTTGGCCGGCCTAGCCAGGCCTCTCGCAGCCTGTGGGCTGCCAGGGGCGGCGGCGGCGGGGCGGCTCTTGCTGCTTGTTGCTTGCAAGCTCGCTGCTTGCTTGCTTGCTCTGCGCTTGCTGGCCGCTTGCTTCTTCCGAGCGAGGGGCACGCTGCCTGCCAGCAGAGAGGGCTCGTGCACAGCCCACCCACCCAACTTTGGCCAGCGAGAAAAGGCACGTACGCCGCACACTTTTCTTCTCTCTCTCTCTGGTGGCTTGCCTGCTGGCCTGCTGGCCTGGGCGCCGGGGGCTCCGCTTGCTTCTTCCAACTCGCGCTACCTGCGCCTCTCTCGCTCTCTCGCTTCGCGTTGCTCGCCTTTGGCCATCCTCGAACCTCCTTTCTCGCCACCGCCACCACCACCATCGACGCCGTCGCTTCAAACCCCCCTTGGACGCGGCACCGCTCACATCAACAGAGAAGCCGGCTTCTCTCCTCTTACCACGACCTCGACGACTCGGCACCTCGGACACGCCACGCTCAAGCAAGCAGCCACCGCCTCGCTCTCTTGCGTCACCACGTTTCTCCTCGACGACCGGCCAAACCCACTTGCCGCAACTCGTACGCACCTCGTACTGCACTGTTCGCAACCGCCACTCCCCGGAAGCTACGTACCTCTTTTACTCCGCCCGCAACCTGCAACAACGTCCTCGAACCCAACCTGCCGGTGCGCGGGCTCTTGGCAAAACCGCCCCCTTTGAACCCATCATCCACCCTCTGCCCGCACCAAAGACATGGCCAACGCTAGCGCTGCCGCCAAGCGGAGGAGCAAGACTGAAAAGGCCGCCCGGTCGTCGCACGTCGATCCTGTCAAGCCAAAAGCAGCACTTGCACAGCATGAGGCTCGTCCCCTGGCGCTCAGTGCTACCCGGAGAGCAGCCGAAAAGAACCTCGACCAGCAGATCCGTGAGTAGCCTTGGAGAGCGAGTGGCCACCAGCCCCTGCATTCCCCGCTGCATCCGCTCTCGGCTGACGTCTGCACCTTTCAATATTTCTCTCTCTCTCTCTCTCTTTCATGTCGGCCTGGCGCATCGATCAAACAACCATGTAGAGGTTCCTGTCAATGCCCTGGTAGCCCTCGTCGTCATGCACATGCTGTCGTCGCCCTCGTCTCTCTCGCTCGCCCACCTCTCGACCCATCTCCACCTTCCCCAGTCGCTTCACTCGATCATCCCCAGCTGGCTCCGCTCTCCCTCGCTCGCCCAATTCGCCTCGGACCTGCCCAACGCCTCGGAGCGCGGCCCTCACTACCTACAGCAGTACGCCCAGAACCCGGCCTTCGGTGCAGCAGGGCCCTTTCGAAGCGACGCGCGAGGGTTCGGCCACCCGCTCACCGCGCTCCACAACTTCACTCGCGCTGCGCTGGGACTCTCGTACCCGGTGCCCGATGCCAAGCAGTCGCCCATTGCCGCGCTCAAGCACCAGGCCTTCGAGACATTTGGCCACGGCTCGTGGGCCAAGAAGCAGGAGCCCTGGGCGTTCATGGGGACGGTCGAGGGCTACGTCTACGCCCGCGGGCTCAAGGACGTGCTGATCGTGGCCACCATGGTCCTCGTCTTCACCGCGCTGCGTGCCATCCTGATGAAGTACATCCTCCTGCCGATGGGAGAGCACTGTGTCCCGGCGGTGCAGGACGGCGGCAAGAAGGCCGCCGCAGCGAGCGGCTCCTCCGCCGTCGTCTCCGAGTCGCGCGCCGTCGGCAAGGCGCGGAGGACGAGGGACAAGGAGGTGCTGAGGTTTGCGGAGCAGGGCTTCAGCCTGATCTACTACGTCTGCTCGTGGTCCATGGGACTTGTGAGTTGAAGAGTCGAGCTGCGCCAGGCGGCGATGCAACGACGCGAGGCGGGTCTACGGAAGCTGACGGCTTCTGCCTATTCCGTCTGCCTCTTGCCCGCAGTACATTGCCTCGCGAGAGTCGTACTGGCCGATGAAGACGTCCGAGTACTGGACCCACTACCCGACTGCGACGCTCGACGGACTCAACAAGGTGAGCACCAGGCAGAGAGGCTGCGCTCGCGCCACGTCGCAGATCCAGAGTGACGAAGCCGCGGGGCAGGCCAGGCTGACGTCGTCGCGCCATCTTTCTTGCTCAATGTTCCCTCTCGGCGCACCGTCATGTGCCAGCTCTACTACCTTGGCGAGCTGGCCTTCTACATCCAGCAGCTCTTTGTCCTCAACGTCGAGGCACGCCGATCGGACCACTGGCAGATGTTCAGCCACCACGTCATCACGATTGCGCTGATCGGCGGCTCGTACGCCTACAGCTTCCACCGCGTGGGCAACGCCATCCTCTGCCTCATGGACCCGAGCGACATCTGCCTGGCGCTCGCCAAGATGCTCAAGTACTCGGGCCTCCAGACGGTCTGCGATGCGGCGTTTGGCATCTTTATGCTCTCGTGGCTCGTCACGCGCCACATCCTCTACATGGTCGTGATGCGGTCGTGCATCGTCGAGTTTTCGCCCCACCGCGTCGTCCTCCCCACCGGCGACGGCGGGCTCGAGGCGCCCGGCAGCGCGCCGTACTGGACGCTGATTGGCCTGCTGAGCGGCCTCCAGGTGATCCTCATGATCTGGTTTGGCATGATCCTGCGCGTCCTCTACCGCGTGCTCACCAAGGCCGGCGCGGTGGATTCGAGGAGCGACGACGAGAGCAGCCAGGAGGGCGAGGGAGAGGAGGGGGACGAGAACGAGGCGACGACGAAGGGGCAACAAGAGGGATCGCAGGGCGAGGTGGCGGCGGCGGTGTCGGCGGCATCATCGACGCCGATATCTGGAGCTAGCGCTGCACTAGCGGCAGCCGGGCAAGACGCGACGGACGAGGCATCCGCCACGGCGACGGCGACCAAGACGACCAGGTCAAAGGGGCGCCGGAGGAGCAGCACCGCCAACGCCAAGAGCAGGAAGGCGTGACGGGTCGTCTTTCTGTTCGTTCCGATGCGCAAATCGTTTCGCTCCCGCTCTCTCCCTCTGTCTCCTCGGTCCTCGCCTCTCCTCGTGGGGCCTTCTGTAATCGCCTGTTACCGTGCAGCCTCTCGGTCCCTCTCGTCCTCTCCCCTCTGATCTGTAGCATTTTCTACCCGTCCTTGCACCGCCTCCCGTCCCGTGCCGCCTGTCGGTCTGTCAATCGTGAATGCCGTTTTTTGCATGCCCAGAGCGCCCAGAGCGCCCACCCGGGAAGGGGGACCGGCGCGGCGTGCGGCGGTAACTCAGTGTCTAGAAAGAACGGCAGAGAACGGCTTCTTGCCCATCCAGCCTCGATCCGTCCAGGATTCGGAGCGAGATGCCGTCCGACGCCCGCAACGACGCTACGCTGAGCTGAGCTGGTCTGCGCGGTGGAGGGGGAGGTAGCCTCCAACTGCCAAATCTAGTGTTTCCAGATCTTGACGACGCGATCCCGCCCACCACTGGCCACTTTATCCGCGACGAAGTCGACGCAGTAGACCTCGTCCTGATGTCCCGGCAGGTCCTTTTTGATCTTGAACGTCTTGATGGGGTCCCAGAGCTTGAGCGTCGAGTCCTTGCTGGCCGAGACGAGCAGCCGGCTATCGGAGCTCCACGCCAGCCGGTACACGCTGGCGACGTGGCCGCGCAGCGTCGCGATAAAGGCGCCCGTGCGCGCGTTCCACAGCTTGATGGAGTTGTCAAACGACGCAGACGCCACCTGGCTCCCGTCGGGCGAAAACGAGACGTGGTTCACCGTCTTTTGATGCCCCGTCAACCGCGCCGTCGGCTTCTTGAGCGACACACCCGCACCCGCCCCAGCGGCCGCCGCATCGGCGCGCCCCGAAATCTGCGGTGGCCACAGAAAGAGGGTGTGGTCGTCGGACCCCGTGATGATGAGCTCGGGCTTGGAGCCGTTGGCGGTGGCCTCGGCGTAGCGCTTGATCGCGGCCTCCTTTGCCTCGTCGTCGCTCGGCTGGGCGTACGACGGCGTGGACCCCTCGAGCTTGGCAACGGCGGCGCGCCCACGGTGGTCAAAGGGCCCCGTGCGCAGCGCAAAGTCGGTCGAGAGCGCAATGGTATTGACCCAGTGGGCGTGCTCGCTCAGGTTGCGGATCAGCTTGCCGCCGTCGGCGCTCCACACCTTGACGGTGCGGTCCGACGAGGCAGTGTAGATGGCGCCCTCGCCGCCCCACTTGACGCAGTTGACCGACGCCGTGTGGCCGCCCAGCACGTACTCGCACCGCCGCAGCGCCACGTTCCACACGCGCACCGTGGCGTCCTTGGACGACGACGCCAGCCGTGGCGAGACGGCGTTGCTGTGGATCGGCTCCCACGACAGCGACGTGATCCACTTGGTGTGGCCCCGCAGCTGCTTGCCGGGCGGCGCGGCGTGGCGGGCCGCTCGTCGCTCGGCTACCGACATCTTCTTGGGCGCGGCAGCGGCGGCGGCGGTGGCGTCGTCATCGGCGCCGTCGGCCGCAGCATCGCCTGGGGATGCCGCAGCACCATCAGCAGCGCCTGCGGCAGCGGCGGCGGCGGCGCGCTCCTCGTCGACCTGCTTGCCCGTGCGCGTTGCCCAGCCCTTGCGTCCGGTGTAGTTGGGGTCGAGGGCGTCCCAGACCCACACGTCGCCCTCCATGCCGCCGGTGGCGAGCTTCCTCTCGCGGCCCTCCCACTCTGCGCAGAGGACCCAGCCCGAGTGACCGACGAGGGTGTGCATGGGCGTCTCGGTGTCGAGGTCCCATATCCTGGCCGTCTTGTCGCCGGCGCCCGTGGCGAGGAGCGAGGCCGTGGGGCTAAAGGTGCTGCAGAGGATGGGCGAGGCGTGTCCGCTGAGGGTGCTCGAGCATCGGCTGACGGGCCGCACCTTGAAGACTGCCTGTGGCTCGAAGACGACGGTGAGGGTCTCTTCCTGGCTCATGCCGAGCTTCTTTGCGGCCGAGGCGTTGAGGATGTCTGCGGTGATGGACTCGTTGATGGGGAGGCGGTTGTTGCTCTTGATGAGCTCCTGGGTGGCCTGGTCGGTCTGTGCGGCGCCCGGTTGCCCGGACTGCTGCTGCTGCTGGTACTGCTCGAGGTTGACGTGAAAGGCATAGGGCAGGTCGTCGTCGTCGTCGTCGTCATCATCGTCGTCGTCGTCATCCTGGCCCTCGATGTGCTGCTTTCTGGGCTGGGACTGCTTGAGCTGCCTTCTGAGCTGGTTGATGATCATCTGGAGTTCGCGCTGTCCGGTCGTGGCTGCGGGGAGGTTGATGCTGGGCCCCATGAGGCTTCCGTCCTGGCCCGACTGGAACTGGATGACGAGGGTCTGGGTCGAGGGGCCGAGCTTTCCATCTGCGGCCATGGCGGCGGCCTGGGCGTTTGCGGCCTTGTCGAGCAGGCGCTGGCGCTTTGCGGATCTCTGGGGTATCTGTGTCGACATGGCGGGCTGCGATTGGGGTGGGGAGCGGGAAAGGCCAGGAAGAAGGGGGGGCCAGCGGCACGACGGTTGATGGAGGAGCGGAGAGAGCTGCGAGCGAAGGGGTGAGCGAGAGAGCCAGGGACTAGGGAAAAAGTCGTGCGGAAAATGGGCGTCAAAAAAAAAAAAAAGAAGGCGGCGTGGGGCCAGGGCCAGGGCCAGGGCCAGGGGTGGCCCGCCGCGAAGTTTTTGGTCGTGTGGAGAGGCCTGGCCTGAGGCAGGCCGGTGGTGTTGGACTCGAGGGCGTGGCAGGCCAAGGCGAGGTGGCAGCCCGTCCATCCATCCATCGGCACCGAAGCCGCGTGCGTGGGCAGGCAGCCTGCTCTCTGGAAGTTTTCGCATGCAGAGACCCTCTTTTTGGCGGCACCCAATTTTTTCCTCTGCTGCCCCCGTCCAGGCCACCCCCCCACGGCGGCAGCTCAGCTCAGACCCACCAGAGAGCGGGACTCTTGCCTGCTAGCCTGCCTGGCCTTCCCCTCCTCGACTCTACCGGCTTCGATCCCGCACCATCCCTTTGCCACTCGCCCCAGTCCCCTTTCACTTGGCGTCTGCACCGTCCACCCCTTCCACCGGACGACACAGCCGCACACCACCTCGCTCGTCGCCATGGCAAAGCCAAAGTCGGGTGCTGCCAACGGCGCACCCACCGCCACCTCCACGGCCGCGCCGCCCACTGCCGACGGCACCACGCCCGCAGCCCAGGCTTCCACCTCGTCCTCGGCCGCCAACGCAGCGGCAAAGGGAAAGCACTACGTGCGTATCTCCCTGCCGTGCATCGTCTCGACCCAGCTACTGCGCACCGTCCCCTTTGCCCTGCCTTGCCGCTGACCCGCGCTGCGACCTCATTCCCCCCGCCCGCAGGCCTCGCTGGAGCTGCACGACGCCGCGTTCACCTCGCTGCTCCACCTCATCCCCCCGCAGTTTTACCTGATCAAGGACGCAGACCAGCAGGACCTCGAGGAGCAGCAGGGCCTCCACTCGTCAAAGTACCTCAAAAACAAGCGCAAGCAGTCCAAGTCCGAGGCAGAGGCGCGCGAGCGCAAGGAAAAGATCCGCGAGCACAAAAAGCAGAAGCTCGACCCGGACAACTTCAAGACCATCCCCGACCTGCAGCAGGAGAGGGCCGCAAAGGCCAGGGCCGCCGCTGTCGCCGGCGACGGCGAGGGCGACGAAGAGGGTCTCGAGATGGATGTCGATGGGCTTGACGGCCAGGACGACGACGAAGAGGATGAGGAGGATGACGACGACGACGACGACGACGAGGGCGCCGGCGACACCGACAACGACTTTGACGACTCGGACGTCGAGGACCTCACCCCCGTCGCTGCCAGGCCCAATGGCAAGGCTTCGTCCGGCGCAGTCCAGACCGAGGGCGAGCGCAAGGCCTCGATCGAGGCCCTTCGCGCCCGCCTGCACGCCAAGATCCAGGGCCTGCAGAAGAAGCGGCGCACCGGGTCCAACACGCTCGAGCTCGGCGTGCGCTCCAGCGGCGCTGCTGCGGGCAACGGCGACGAGAGCCTCAACGGCCACGCACAGGGAGGCGCCGAGGGCGAGGGCGGCAGCACGATCTCGAGCAAGGACGACCTGCTCGAGGAGAGGCGGAGGCAGCGCGGCGAGATGCGCGATCGAAGGCGGCGCGAGAGAAAAGAGGCGCGCCGCGCGGCCCAGGCCCAGGAGGCCGACAAGAACGCCAAGAAGGGCAAGAATTCCGGCAAGGCCGGCACCGCCGCCAACGGCGCGTCGGCCAGCGCCGGCGCACTGGGCAAGGGCAACCCGCGCCCTCCAGCGCTGCTGGTGCCCGACGTGGCGTCTGGTGCGTCGTCGTCGTCGTCGGCAGCGGCCAAGTCGGCCGTGTCGCCGGGCACCTCCCTGTCGTTCAACGCCATCGCCTTTACGGGTCGCCAGCCCGAGGCGAAAAAGTCTCGCCTCTCGCTGCCGTCGGACCCCAAGGCGGCGCTGCAGGCGCTCGAGGCGCGCAAGGCGCGCGACGAGAAGCGCAAGGAGAAGCTCCTCTCGACGGCGGCCGGCGGCGAGGGCGGCGATGCCAAGCAGGTACTGCAGGAGTTCGAGGAGGGCAAGAAGTGGGAGCGCGCCCTGGCCGCCGCCGAGGGCGTCAAGATCCGCGACGACGAGAAGCTGCTCAAGAAGGCGGTCAAGAAGAAGGAAAAGGCAAAGGAGAAGAGCTCAAAGGCATGGTGAGTCGTCGCGGTCTCGTCGTCCGTGGTCGCCGTCGTCGGCGTGCTGCGACGGGTGGGATCCAAGATGCCTGCCTTACTGATCCGTGGCCCTCTTCTCCACTTTCCTTCCCTCGTCGACGAAACCGCGTTCTGCCCTTCTCCCTCCTCTTCTCTGCGCACGCAGGCTGGAGCGCAAGGAAGCCGAAAAAGAGACGCAGGCGGCGCGTCAGAAGAAGCGAAACGACAACCTGGCCGACCGCAAGGGTGCCGCGTCGAAAAAGGGCGCTGCCGGCGCATCCAAAAAGACGACGTCGTCGATTTCCAAAAACCTAAAGACGCCCCGGTCCAAGGCGACGGCGGGCAAGCCTGGGGCTGGTGGCGGCGCTGGTGGTGGTGGGAGGGGAGGGGGTTCGACAAGAGGAGGAGGTCGACCTGGGTTCGAGGGCAAGTCGACCAGACCTGGTGCCGGACGTGGTGCGAGGTCCGGCGGTCGCGGTGGTGGCGCCGGTGGGGGGAGGAAGAAGTAGAGCGGGGTTCGGGTCCACTTTCGTCGATGCCGACGCCTTCATCATGCCATGCCGATTTGCTATGCTCCATTTCCGCGGTCGCGGCGTCTGGTGGCGCTGCAGAGTCACGTCCGACCGGTGTCGTGTCGTTCCAACGATCTCGATGCACGCCTGGCTACACCGGCAGTGCTCCTCCTCCTCCGGCAGCCGCACGATCCAACTCATCCTCCCACCTCGCCACATCACGAATGGGCAATCCACAGGTAAAACCTCGACAGAGATGGGCCTGAGTCAGTCCGCTCGACGCCGCCTGATCCCCTTCGTCCGCACCGGTAGCGGCACCGCGTTCGAGGACCGTCCTTACGGCGGCATTGTGTTGCGAGAGGAACTCCAACCCGCGCCTCGTCTCCGGGTCCTGGACCAGGTCGAGATCGACGAGAACGACGGAGCGGAAGGGGAGGAAACGCCGGCGCACCGCATCGCGCATCCGCTGTGCCGTTTGCTTTTCCTCTTGCTCGACAACGTTCTTGCTCGACCCCACCGTCGCATCGTCTCCCTCTGTCGCTCCGCCCACCGCCTCTCCGCCCCCAGGCGAGGCGCGGGAGGAAGACGACAGACCGGGACCGGAAATGAGGATCTGTCTGCCCCCGCTCCTCTGTCCCAGCAGCGCAGTGGTGAGCGTGCCCAGCGCAAACGACGCCCGTTCCAGCACCGCCCCGCCGGCTCGGATCGTCGCGTCCCGGCGTTGCGCCCACCCCATCCCGTCCCTGGCGGTGATCGACTCCGGCTCGCTGTCGAGCAGCCAGCACAGCCGCATCAAGTTGTGCGCCGCCACGCTCGTCGCGCTCGGCTCGGCGCCGTCCTGCTCGTCCTTCTGCCTCGTCAGCAGCCTCGATCCGTCGCCCGCCTCGCCCGCCGCGCCGGACTCGACACCGCCGCCGCCGCCGCCGCCGTGACCGTGGCCGGCTCGATCCGAGACGCCCGCCGCGTCCTCCGAGATGAAATAGCCGCCGATCTCGTCGTCCCAGAACCCGTCGTCGAGGCGCTTCTGCAGCTTGACGGCCAGCTCGAGGAAGCGCGCGTCGCCCTCGAGCTCAAACAGGTCGGGCATCGCCTGCGTGACAAACGCATAGTCGCTCGAAAAGCCCCACGGACCCGCCTCGCCGTCGCGCCAGCTGCGCCGCAGCCGGTTCTGCGACTCGCTGTACAGGTTCTTGACCAGGAACTCGGCCGCAGCCAGCGCCATCTTGCGCGCCCGCGCACCGCCGTCGCCGCCCCGCTCCGACGACGGCAGCACCTCGGCCGCCTTGCAGAGCCCCGAGATGGCGAGGCCGTTCCAGGCGGCGATGATCTTGTCGTCGAGGTGCGGGCGCGGGCGCTGGCGGTCGCGCGCCTCGAGCATCTTGCGCTTGGCAGATTCCAGCGCAGCCTCGGCGGCGCCCACGTCGAGGCCGAGCTTGCGGGCCGTGTCGCGAACGGGGCCGACGGCGTGCAGCATGTTCTGGTGCGTCAGCTCGCCGTGCGGGTCGCTCTCTCCGGGGATGTTGCCGTCGGGTCGGATGCCGTAGTGGGCGACGACGACGTTGGCCTCATCCGAGCCCTTGCCCAGCAGCGACTCGACCTCGTCCTGGCGCCAGACGTAGAAGGCGCCCTCCTTTTTCTCGATCGAGTCGGCGCTCGGCAGGCTGTCGGCGTCTTCGGCAGAGTAGAGCCCGCCTGCGTCGTTGGTGAGATCGCGTTCGAGGTAGGTGACGATGCCGCGCGCCGCCTCCTCGAGCTCCGGCACCATCTCGGCGAGCTTTGCGTCACCGCTGCGGTTGGCCAGCTGGATCGCCTCGCAGAAGACGGACAGCAGCTGGCCCTGATCGTAGAGCATCTTTTCAAAGTGGGGCACGCGCCACTCGTCGTCGACGCTGTACCGCGCGACGCCGCCGCCGAGCTGGTCGGTGATGCCGCCGCGCGAGATCTGGAGCAGCGTAAAGAGCGACGCGTGCAGGGCATCGTCGGCCAGCTTCCTCGTCTCGGGCGTCTGCCAGCAGCCCGACATGCCGCCCTCGTTGGCCAGGGCGACGAAGCGGTGCAGGAGGTGGTGGGTGTTGGAGACCGTCGGGAACTTGGGCGCATCGCCGAAGCCTGGCGGCGCAGCGCGAGGGAGGGCAGACAGGACGGAGTGATTGGGGCAAGGAAGGGGATATGTGAGCAAAAGACTCTTCAAGTGCCGGACATCAGGGTGTCCCTCGTCTGGACCGGTTCATCGATCTCGACCGATCGATCGGAACCGACACCTACCGCCGTGCTTTGCGTCGAAGCGCTTCATCCAGTGGCCGGCTGCCTTGATGCCGATGGTGTCGCTGGGCAGGCTGTCGAGCTTGGTGCCGGAGCGTGGGCCGAGGCGCGAGCTGAGCTGCTCGCTGATGTCCCTGGCGGACGCGAGGCAGCTCTGGCGGTCGTCTTTCCACATGGTCGAGAGCTTGTCGAGGATGGCGAGGAACTGGTGCCTGGGGAAAAATGTGCCGCCAAAGATGGGTTGGGCGTCGGGGGTGAGGAAGGCCGAGAGGGGCCAACCGCCGCTGCCGTGGAGGGCCATGATGAACTGCATGTAGGTGGCGTCGACGTCTGGGCGCTCCTCGCGGTCGACCTTGATGCTGACGTAGTCGCGGTTGAGGGCGTCTGCGACGTCCTGCTTGGAGAAGGAGTCGTAGCGCATCTGGTGGCACCAGTGGCAGCTCGAGTAGCCGATGGAGAGGAAGACGAGCTTGCCCTCGTCGCGGGCCTTTTGAAAGGCGTGGTCGGTGAACTCGTACCAGTCGACGGGGTCGTGCTTGTGCTGGAGGAGGTAGGGGGATCTGGCCGAGGCGAGGTGGTTGAGGGGCTTGTGCTGGTCGACGTCGGCGTGGCTGGCCGAGCCCGAACCCGAGGCGGGCGTCGAGGAGGAAGCCTGCATGCTGGAGGCGGAGGAGGCTAAGGATCGGGTGCTAGAGGGTGAAGGTGTGTGTCGCAGATTGAGCTGGAGGGTGGTTTTGGTGTCGAAGAGATTGCTCTGTGCGAAGCTGCTGAGACGGCGAACTGGAGTTGGTGATGGGAGAGCGGTTCGGACAGCGGGAAGGCGGTGTGGGACCGCGCTGTAGGCGGATCGCAGCGATGCAGTTGGGATGCGGGGTGGCAGCATAGAAGACAGAAGGGCAAAGGATCGAGACCGTCTGCGCTGGTGTGGTTGGCAGGGGAGAGATGGACAGCCGGAGGGCGAAAGAGGGAAGCAGCTGGAGGTGAGAGGGGTTGGAGATATAGGCGGCGGGTGCTGGCTGGCCTCGTGTGTGCAGAGAGGTGACAGAGCTACGTAGTGCTCTTCTGCGACCAGATCGGAGAGAGAAGTGAGTGGTGGGTAGTGAGCGCGGTGGAAGTGGTCAGTCAGCGATGGGCTGCGACCGAAGGACGAGGGGAAAGGGGGAAGGAAGGAGAGGTGCAAAGCCAACCCGCCAAGCCAAAGCCACCTCGACTGACTGAGCCGGGACTCGCCCATTATGTGGAGGGGGCTAGGCTAGGCTGGGCTGGCCCGACCGCCGGACCGCCTCTCTATCGGCCGACAGGCTGCTGCTCGGCCCCGCGGCGCCGCCTTGCAAAGTGACTCGGCGCAGACGTCGCTCGGATCTGTGCAGCGGGAAGAAAGGCCCGGCCCAAAGCCAAAGGAGCCGCGGACAAGCAGCCAGCCAGCTGGCACCGCTCCTCTTTGCCTCTGATCAGAACCCCCACCCCATCTCACCACCACCACCACCACCACCATCGACACCAACACCACCACCGCCATCAGACCTTGTCGCACCATCGCCTCGCTCCCGTGCACGGCCATCCTGTACACGACACAGGAAGCAACGGGCGCCGGCATCGACAGTCCTTCGCTCTCTCGTCGCGCCTCGCCCTTGGCCCCCCCTCGTGCCCCGGTCCACCACCCTGGACTGTGGCCCTCTGCCAGCCCCCGGCAGACCACTCGCCCAACATGGCCTCTGATCAACCCGTCCTCAGGACAAAGACGCCCTCCTACCATGCTCCCCCCTCGACCGACCCGCTCTCGGGTGCCACCATCCACACCCTCCGCTGCCTCGACACCCCCATCCACCTCGGCTTCCACCTGATCCCCCACATCGCACGCACCATCCTCTCCAGCATCGCATCCTCCACCTACATCCTCATCACCGACCGAAACCTCGAGGCAAGGTGCCAGGTCACCTCGACCTTTGCCAGGGAAATCGAAAAGGCAGCCGCCGAGCTCGGCGTCACCGGCTGGCGCTACCTCGCAAAAGTCATCCCCCCCGGCGAGGCCTCAAAGAGCCGCGAGGGAAAGAATGACATCGAGGACTGGATGCTCGAAAACAGGGTCACCCGCGACGCAGTCGTCCTCGCCGTCGGCGGCGGCGTCATTGGCGACCTCGTCGGCTTCGTCGCCGCCACCTTCATGCGCGGCCTCAAGTTCGTTCAGATCCCCACCACCTTGCTCGCCATGGTCGACTCGGCCGTCGGCGGAAAGACGGCCATCGATCACCCGCTCGGCAAGAACCTCATCGGCAGCTTCCACCAGCCCTCGTTCGTCTTTATCGACGCCGCCTGGCTCAAGACGCTCCCTCCGCGCGAGTTCAGCAACGGCATGGCCGAGGTCATCAAGACGGCCGCCATCTGGGACCCCATCGACTTTGCCAAGCTCGAGTCGAGCGCGCCCGCCATCCGCTCCGCCGTCCTCGGCCCCTTTGCCCGCGACGCGCCCATTGACGAGGGACGCACCCTCGACACCCGCACAGAGGCCCAGTCGCTCCTCCTCGACGTCATCCGCGGATCGGTCGGCGTAAAGGCCCACATCGTCACCATCGACGAAAAGGAGACGGGCCTCCGGAACCTCGTCAACTTTGGCCACACCATCGGCCACGCCATCGAGGCCGTCCTCACCCCAGAGATGCTCCACGGAGAGTGCGTGTCGATCGGCATGATCCTCGAGGCCGAGGTCGCCCGGTACACCGACGGCCTCTCGCAGGTCGCCGTCGGCCGCCTCTCGCGCTGCCTCAAGGAGTACGACCTGCCCGTCTCGCTCGCCGACGCCCGCGTCCCCAAGCTGGCCAAGTCGGCCGACGTCACCGTCGACCGCCTCCTCGACATCATGAAGGTCGACAAGAAAAACGCGGGCGACAAGAAGAAGATCGTCCTGCTCAGCGCCATCGGCGACACGGTCGAGGACAAGGCCTCGACTGTCGACGACGGCACCATCCGCCGCGTCCTCTCGCTCGGCGCCACCGTGACGCCCGTCCTGGAGCGTCCCAACGCCGCCAAGGTCACCCTCTCGACGCCCGGGTCCAAGTCGATCTCGAACCGCGCGCTGGTGCTGGCCGCCCTCTCGGGCAACACGTGCCGCCTGCGCAACATGCTCCACTCGGACGACACCCAGGTCATGATGGCCGGCCTCCACGACCTCAAGGCGGCCCGCTTCGAGTTCGAGGACGGCGGCGAGACGATCGTCGTCCACGGCAACGGCGGCTCGCTCCAGCGGCCCGACAACAACAAGCAGATCTACCTGCAGAACGCCGGCACCGCCGCCCGCTTCATGGCCACCGTCGTCTCGCTCGTGCCCAACGACGGGCAGCAGGACCCCGTCGTCATCACGGGCAACAAGAGGATGAAGGAGCGGCCCATCGGCGCGCTCGTCGACGCCCTCACCGCCAACGGCACCCAGATCGAGTGCCTCGAGGGCAAGGGCTGCCTGCCGCTCGCCGTCAAGGGCACCCAGCAGGGCTTCCGCGGCGGCCGCATCCAGCTCTCGGCCACCATCTCGTCGCAGTACGTCTCGTCGATCCTGCTGTGCGCGCCCTACGCCGCCGAGGAGGTGGTCCTCGAGCTCGTCGGCGGCCAGGTCATCTCGCAGCTCTACATCGACATGACCATCGCCATGATGGCCTCTTTCGGCATCAAGGTCGAGCGGCTGCTCGACCCCGCCTCGGGCCGTCCCACCAACACCTACCGCATCCCGCGCGGAAGGTACGTGTCGCCCGACGTCTACGACATCGAGAGCGACGCCAGCAGCGCCACCTACCCGCTCGCCATCGCCGCCATCACGGGCACCGAGTGCACCGTGCCCAACATCGGCTCGGCCTCGCTCCAGGGCGACGCACGCTTCGCCAAAGAGGTGCTGGAGCCGATGGGCTGCAAGGTCATCCAGACCGAGACGTCGACCACCGTCATCGGCCCCAAGATTGGCGAGCTGCGCCAGATCGGCCTCGTCGACATGGAGCCCATGACCGACGCCTTCCTCACCGCCTCCGTTCTTCTCGCCGTCGCCAACCAGGCTCCTTCGGGCGGCTCGACGTCGACCGCGCGCCCCTCGACCCGGATCACGGGCATCGCCAACCAGCGCGTTAAGGAGTGCAACCGCATTCGCGCCATGATGGACGAGCTGGCCAAGTTTGGCGTCGAGACAAAGGAGCACGACGACGGCCTCGAGGTGTTTGGCATCGACTATCGCCAGCTCCGGTCGGGCGTCCGCGTCCACTGCTACGACGACCACCGCGTCGCCATGGCCTTTTCGGTGCTGTCGAGCCTCGCGCGCGACGCCATCCTCGAGGAGAAGCGCTGCGTCGAAAAGACCTGGCCCAACTGGTGGGATGACCTCGAGCGCAAGCTCGGCATCCAGGCCCGCGGCGCCGACCCAGAGTGCTCGCCCTGCCTCTGCATCTCGCCGTCGCACTTCAACGCCAAGTCGTCGTCGTCGCACGCTGGTGCCGGCAAGGACGTCCGCATTGGCACCAGCGTCTCGCGGACGCCCAAGAAGTACCCGGCCGACGCCACCATCTTTTGCATCGGCATGCGAGCCTCGGGCAAGACCTACCTCGGCGGCATCGGTGCCGCGGCGCTGGATAGGCCCTTTATCGACGCTGACGTCGTCTTCGCCGAAAAGGTCGGCCCGCTCGGCGCCTTTGTCGCCGAGCACGGCTGGCCCGCCTTTCGACAAAAGGAGCTCGAGATCTTGCAAGAGCTGATCCGCGACCATCCAACTGGCCATCTCGTATCGCTAGGAGGCGGCGTCGTCGAGACCGAAGCGTGCCGGGCGCTGCTGACCGAGTACTCGCAGACGCGGGGCCCCGTCGTCTTCGTCGTGCGCGACGTCGACGAGATCATCGCCTTCCTCGAGAGCTGCGACCGGCCTGCCTACGGCGAGCCCCCGCGCGACGTCTACGCCAGACGGCTGCCGTGGCTGCATGCGTGCTCGAGCGTCGAACTGACGTCGTGCCTCGACGTCCGACAGGACCTCGAGGAGGCCGCTGCCAAGGCCGCTCGCAAGAGCTACGTTCCCGACCGCTCGGCCAGCATCGCCAGCCGGCACGGCCTCGAGGCCGAAGTGGCCCGCTTCTTCCGCTTCATCTCGGGTGCCGAGACCCGCCAGATCAGCGACCTGGTCGTCGACAGCCGGAAGCCCGGGCATCGCACCTACTTCCTCAGCCTCACCTTCCCCGATCTCCGGCCCAACCTGCAGCTCATTGAGCAGATCTCCGCAGGCGCCGATGCCGTCGAGTTCCGCGTCGACCTGCTCGACCCCAGCGGACAGCAGGTGACCAAGGCGCAGGTGCCGCCGCTCGACTATGTGCGCGAGCAGCTGGCGCTCTTGCGGCAGACGTGCTCGCTGCCCATCGTCTTTACGGTCCGCACCGAGGCGCAGGGCGGCAAGTTCCCCGATGACCGCGCCGACGACTACTTTGAGCTGGTCAAGCTCGGACTGCGGCACGGCTGCGAGTACGTCGACGTTGAGGTGGGCTTCAGCGACGAGCAGCTGGCCGCCGTCGCTGCCGCCAAGGGCCACAGCCAGATCATTGCCTCGTGGCACGACTGGAGTGGCAACCTGCGGTGGGAGAGCGGGGAGACGCACGACAAGTACGAGCGCGCGCGCAAGTACGGCGACGTTGCCAAGATCATCGGCAAGGCCACCTCGCTCGAGGACAACCTCGCGCTCGAGCGCTTCCGCGCCAAGGTCACCTCGGCGCCCGGCAACACGACGCCGCTGCTCGCCATCAACATGGGCGAGGCGGGACAGCTGAGCCGCATCCTCAACCCGGTCCTCTCGCCCATCACGCACGACCTGATGCCGTCCAAGGCGGCTCCGGGCCAGCTGACCTTCCGCCAGGTCCAGGCCGCGCTCCACCTGATGGGGCAGCTGCCTGCACGCAGATTTGCGCTGTTTGGCACGCCGATCGCCCACAGTCTGAGCCCCACGCTGCAGGGCAAGGGATTCGAGGTACTCGGCCTGCCCTACACCTACGAGCGCTTCGAGACGGCCGAGTTGTCGGCCGAGGTGGAGCGCTTCCTGCGCTCGGCCGACTTTGGCGGCGCCAGCGTCACGATCCCGCACAAGGTGGGCATCATGAAGCTGCTCGACGAGGTCAGCGACGACGCCAAGGCCATCGGCGCCGTTAACACCATTGTGCCCGTGCGCGGCGCCAACGGCGAGCTCGTGGCGCTGCGAGGCGACAACACCGACTGGATCGCGATCCGCAACCTCGCCTCGCGCTCGCTGTCGGCCCAGCAGCTGGCCTCGACGTCGCTGAAGGCCCTCGTCATCGGTGCTGGCGGCTCTGCGCGCGCCGCGCTGTTCGCCATGCATCAGCTGGGCGCTAGGTCGATCCTGCTCTTTAACCGCACGCTGGCCAACGCCCAGAAGCTGCAGAGCGAGGTGCCCGAGGAGTGGGGCGTCGAAGTGGTCGAGACGCTCGACGCGCTGCCCTCGCAGCCGGACGTGATCGTCTCCAACGTCCCGGCCGAGGGCACGACGCTCGACGCCGTCCAGAGCGAGGGCATCGTCCTGCCGCACACGCTGCTGGCCAACGCCCAGGGCGGCGTCGTGATCGACATGTCGTACAAGCCGCACCACACGCCGCTGCTCGAGCTGGCGAGGCAGGTCAACTACGCGCGCAAGGCGGGCATCGTCAACGGCGTCGAAGCGAACGAGGGCAAAGAATGGAAGGCCATCCCGGGCTTGACGATCCTGCTCGAGCAGGGGTGCCACCAGTTCCAGCGCTGGACCGGCCGCAACCCGCCCCGGTCCGAGATGGAGGAGGCGGCGTGGAAGGAGTACCTCGCCGCGTGAGCTCAGGTCTGCGACAGATCCCGCTCGTCCCCCTTTCCCTGCGGATGCCCTGTTTCGTCGCTTCCCGCCTCCGCTTTTCCTTCCTCGCTCTCTGTTCGTTTCCGCCCCGACTCGTCGCCGTCCAGATAGAGCCAGGAAAGAGAACACGACACGGTCCATGCAAAGGCTACTCTGGTATCTGCGATCGCCATTGGCGGTGTATGTCTATGCGATCGATGCGACTGTGCGGCGAGCGAGCTGCGTGCTCCGGCAGCGACGCGGGGTACAAAGAGAGTGACGGGATTGGTGGAAAGGGAGAGGGGAAAGGTGGGGAGGGGGGGAGTGGGGAAGAGAGGGGAAACGGGGCAAGGGGGAGAGAGGGCGAGAAGAGGAGAAGGGGCATCGACCGGCGTCGTCCTAAAAGTTGGACGAGTAGTGGGTCGAGGGCTTGGGCGAGGCGCTGAGCTCGCCGTTGTCGTGGTCGTACAGCGGATGGGCGTGGTCGTAGTGATGGGCCGAGGCGGTGGTAGTGGTGGTGGCGATGGATGTGGGGCCACGGAGGCTCCACGGCGCCTCGAGTGCCAGGGCATGCGCGTCTACACCGCCGAGGGCAGCGGGGAGGACGGTGCTGCGTTCCTCGTCGCTGTACGACGAGATGCGTCGCAACGACTTTTCCGATGGCGGCAGGTGGTGATGGACGTGGTGGTGGTGCTGGAGCTGTCGAGGATGTTCATCGTGCGCCCTGTGCATGTCGGCGTAGACCTTTTCGTCCCCCACCACGGTGGCGGTGGTGGTCCCGGTGCGCGCGGGCAGGGGGATGTCGTCGGTCCGCTGCTCTTTCGACGACGTCGTCACCTCGTACCTCCATCCCGCAGCGGCCATGGCACGCGCCGTCGCCATGGCCGTCGACGCCGACGTCCTGTGACCGCCACAGCCGCTGAGGCCGCCAGCGCTGGGTCCCAGCCGCCCCTCGAGGTCGTCGCCGACGCTGATGGCGGAAAAGGGCGGGGTCTGCGACGAGGCTTTGAGATCCGAGATGCCTTGTTCCAGCTCGGCCTTCATCGAGGGTCGGTAGATGAGGTTCGTCACCACGAACAGGGCTGAGGGCATCGCAGAGGGGGGGAGTTTGGAGCGCGGGACTGAATCGTCAGTCGGGCGTGTGCCAACAGGCGGCGGTAGGGGCAGGGGCAGGAGGGGCCAGGACTCACCGTGCAGGGGGTGCTGAGCGATTAGGACGGTTAGGAACCAACCCGTCGATGCGACCCGGTGCGTGAGCAGCACGGCGACGCCCGATACGACGAGGAGGACGTTGGACTCTGTTACCGCAGCCGCAGCAGAGGTGGAACGGGCACAAAGAGGACGATCAGTCCGAGAAAGTGAGTCCCCCGTCCGGCGCGGCAGTCTAGAGATGTGGTGGGCTCGGTGTTGTCGTCGTTTTCTCTTTGCGCGGCGCCGCACTGGCCGACAGACTCACGGACGGCGAGGATGCCAAGCTTGTACATGACGGCGTTGGCGGCTGCGAGGGAGCTGTTTCGGCGCAGCTGGTAGAGTTTGTACAGCAGCGTCAGGGAGAAGTACACCTCGTTGATGATCACCATCTGCGCCGATGGGCCAAGGGGTGAGGGGGAAGAGAGAAAGGGCCGCGAAGCCATGGATCAGCAGATGAACGCCGATTCGTGCGGCACAGCTGCACCGCGAGGGGCGGGAGGGGCCTCAAACTCACCGCAACGTATCCGACAACAGTGGCTGCGATTTGGATCCATGGCATCGAGGCGAAGAGAGCAAAGTGAGGCTCGTAGTCAGCTCGGGCTGCCCCTCGCCGGCATCGAAGGACCCCAAGTCGAGCCACTCACAGTTGTTGATCGTGCGCATAACCGTGCCTGAGCGCCGGGGCAGGAGCGGGGCAAAGGACATGAAGATAGAAGGAAGGCACCGAGCACGACGCCAAATTCAGCCCTTCCGTATCACGGCGCTGCCGGATCCACGTCCCACCTGGCTGCCTCGACGCTGCCAACTCACTGCTGAGCACCGTCGCGTAGTCGAGCGTCTGGACATAGACGACCAGCGGCAGCAGCCCAAACGCCATCTGCACGCTGATGAGGAACGCGCCAATGGCGAGAAAGACCTTCTTGCCCCGCGTGAAAAACTTGCCTGTCCGCGCGAGAAAGTAGAGCTGGCCCAGCGCCATCGGAAATGCTGCGAGGGCGACGGCGGCAATAGGCGGTCAGCACACGAGTCTGGTTGGTTCGTTGCCTCGTAGCTCTCCTTCGGCCCCTTGGACTGCCCTACCGGCTCTTGGACTGCGCCAGGCGAAAAAAGGGGATGCGATGGCTACTCACTCATGAGAATGCTCACGGTGGCGACTTGCCAGCCGATTGAGGTCATTTCCCAGCCGGTCTGAAGCAAGACGGGTCAAGGAGACGCGCGCGAGCACGTCAGATCCAGACGCGTCGAGCAGGCTGTCTACGACGAGGCAGAACCAGACCAGAACATGGTCACTCACTGCACCCAGCGCTGCCCCTACGATGCGCGAATAGATGTTCTCGATGAGAACGACCGAGTTAAACGTGCTAGCGTGGTTCAGACAGGCAGGTACGCGTCGAGGAGACACGAAAGCAAGGCGTGCGAGGAGGAGTGCGAGGCGCTTCGTGTCAGATGCCATGGAAACGGTCCGATGCGCGGAACAGGTCCAGGGCTTCGACTCACTAGACAATGACGGCAAAGGCCACGCCTAGTTGGAGGAACCACCTATCCCCATTCTTGCCGCTGAAGCTGTCGGGTCGGAGCACGAAAGCAGCGTCGATATGCATTAGCCGCGGCCGGGCGCCGAAGGGGTCGCGGATGGACCGAAAGTCGGTCGACCGTCGCAGGGGTGCTCACTGGAAGAAGTAGACGCCGCTCGCGGCCAGCAGTGCGCCGGTCAGAGCGGGATGCACGATGGCTGCGCACGATAGGTGAGGAGGATGCGGAGCAAACGGAGTCAGCGGGTTGACATGCCACCTGTCGGTGCGCGCCAGGACCATCATCGTCCACTCACCATTGATCAGGTGTGGCCCTAGGCGGGGAGGCATGGGAAGGAAAGGCAGGTGGTAGATGGTCACGTTCGAGGTCGATCAGCTACTTCTGCAGCGGCTGACAGGGAGGCCTTGACTATGGGTCTCTGCTCACCGATGACGACCGAGGTCTTCTCCACCGGCATGTGGTTGATTGCTATGTAGGAGCGAGGGACCCCATCATCGTTGATCAGGATGTTGGTTAGCTGCTGCCGGAGCAGATCCGAGGGCACTGCATCGAGCGCGGCGACCAGAGCTGCGCGAGCTGTTGAGTCCATCTCGTAGTGAGCTGACGTCGGATGGTGGGCAGATGAGAGGAAGAGGCCGAGAGGAACGAGGCGAAGGAGACCGGGAGAGAGGAGCACGGGTAAGATCCGAGGTGGTATAGCCGAAAGCAAGGGAGGCCGATGCCGTTGCCTTGCGGAAGCGCGTTCCGATGACTTCCTCGAGGCAGGAGAGGGTGAAGGTTCTTGAAAGTGGGAGGCAGCAAAGGCTCTGCCGGGTATGTGAAGGAGATCTGGATGCTCTCAAAGGGACCTGAAGGAGCTTCAGCCAGCCGCTGGTGGGAGCTTAAGTAGGTGTAGTCAGCCGCTCGGTGGCAAGACGACCATCCATGGTGCGCCCCTAGGCCAATTTCCACTGTGCGCCTCGAGCTAGAGGCAATTCGTGCTGTTATGGTAACAGGGCCCAGGGCCAGCCCTGCACCACACGGTGAGCTTAGAACCTAGCAAGCCGGAGGGCGCGGCGACCACGAAACTCCCTTCCCCACGCCAGCTGAGGAGAGTGGGGGTAGGGGGAAGGAGAGAGGAGGGAGGGAGAGGGTTCTGTTGAAACAGGCATCATGCTGCTTTCCCAGCATGTCGCAGCCGCGCCTAGTTTTGTTTGCTCGCGGCCTTTGCATGCGGGCGTGGCGCGTATTGCAACGTACACGGCTGCGACATGACCCAAGGAGATGCGCAGGAGTTGACCAGCTTGGCAGGAAAGAAGGAGCTCGGACCTCCTCTTCTTGCACCACATGTGTCGTACTGCCACTGTCCTGCTGTGCGCGTGTTCTTCTGCATCTTGACGAGCTGCCAGGATGAGCGAGGGCTACGGGATGCCGCCGCCGCCGCCGCCGCTGCAGAGGTAGCGCCGAAGGGCGTATCTCGGACGCTGGGAACGCAGCGCCGACCGCCACAGCCGAGGATGCCGGGAAGGCCCTGGGGACGAGGGGTGTCTGCAGCGATGTGTCGGGTCGGAGGGGCTCCGTGAGTACAGCCAGAGCAAGGCGATCCGGACCGGCGCTCAAGAGCCCCTTGGTGAACAGGGAGAAGGCCGGCCGACTTTTCCCCTTGCGCACAGCGCGCTTCGCAGGGGAGATACATATTCTCCGCATTCTTCCGAGCCGCGTACGTACTTGGTGCAGATAGAGGCGCACCGCACGCCAACTCTAGTGGCCATCTGCAGTTTCGAGTAGCGACGCCCTGGTGTCTGGTTGCTATCAGCTGTGCGCGCTCTTCGACGACGGCCGGCCTGGTCCGCTCTGAAAGCTGCGGTCGATGGATGGCGGGCCATTGCGCGCTACCCTCCGTACCGACCGATCCCAAAACAGCGCGTTATTGTACGTCGCCCCTGGCTGCCGTGTCATGTGTGGAACGGTGTAGCCCTGAGCAGGCCATGCCGGCGCCTGCTTTCCACACAATCACGTCGAACCGGAACAAAGCCTTCTCGATTCTTGCACAGTGGGAGTGTCGTGCCACAATTGATCGGTAGGCTTGGGGCCGCGCGCGATCCCGTCTGTGGGCGCAGTCGTTCGGCGGCGCGGTCGCGGTCGAGCTCCAGGCGGAGGCGGAGGGGCGCGCGGGCGTGGGCGCTAAGGCTGGAGGACATTTCTGTCGAGCGCCCAGCGGTCGTCGAGCCGCCCAGGCTGGCAGGCTAGGTTGACAGGCAAAGGCGCGCTAACCGAGCCAGAACGACGGGCCCGGTCCTATTGCGCACCTCCTGGCCTGATGTAGACGGTTCGCGCCCTCTCAACGCCACCCCATGTGGATCGCCTCGTCCAGGTCGTCCCTCCGGCTTGCCTTGCCATGGCTGTTGCTGCCCCTGCACGCTCTTCCAAAGGCAGTTGCTCGGGTCAGCCCCGTTGGCCGCTCCGACGTACAGATCCCGATCAGGTCGCACCGCAACCGCTCGTCGGGCTCTGTACGTAACTACTCCTGCCCGGGAGTTACGTACAAACATTATTGCGCCAGACCCGACCCTCGTCCCGATCGAGCACTACATCCTGCACAGCACACTACAGCGTCAATGGGCCACAGTCCAGCGCAGGACCGGTGCAATCCATCAAGCTACACGCATCTGCCAAAGAGCACACCGCCAAGAAAGCCGAACCGCTTGGCGCCGTGGTGGCACATCGGATCCTTGCCAGCCGCCCATTCCGACGTACGTCGGAAAGGCATGGAAATGCGCCCAGGGCTGTACGTACACGCCGTGCCCTCGCGCTCCGTTGGTCTGTTACGAAGCAGTCGGTCGTGGGAACGGGACAGACGCTCACGCTGCGCTACAGTCCGACTTGTTGCACGCCTCGCTGCTGCTGCTGCTGGGAGCCGCTTCGCGTTTTTGCCGGACTTGGGCTTTCATAGCTGTACTCAGACCTTTGTAGACGAGGCGCCACCTATGGTCTGTGCGTCCAGTGTAGCCTGCTAGCCTGCAAGACTCTCCGTACTGTGCAGAGGACGGCTGCACTCTCTACGCATCGTGGAGCAGTTCTCTATGCACTCCGCGCACGGTATGGAGCGTAGGAGGGACTCTCCAAATGTGCCTGCTTACAGCTACGATGTGCAGAGCAGCCTGCCAAGCAGACAGCGCAGGCCAGCGGCCAAGATCATGCTGTCTGGCGGAATTTGGCCAAGGTTGATCTTGATAGGCGCTGCCAAGGTCCCGCCATGGGATCCACTGCGGCACGGGAGCCAAGGCACCTGCCCGGTGTTGGACGCGCAGGTGATGCCCTTGACTTTCTCATGCAGTCGCAGCCGCGTCATGTACTTTAGGCTCGCCTCCAGGAGCATCCCTCCTTTCCATCTCACCACCAATTCATTCCGTCGTCTCCTCCAACACTCAGAACTACGTGATAGGTACCGCTGAGGGCAACGTTGCGTTTTGATTGCTATGGCTGTGCGGCGAGCGGGCGGGCGGGCGGTGTGCTCCGGCAGCGATGCGGGCTCTAAAGAGAGTGGCAGGTTTGGCCTTGGTGGATAGGGGGACAGAGAGAGGGGGAAAGAGGCGGTCGGGAGGGGTGTCGTCGCTGTCGTTTTAGAAGTTGGACGAGTAATGAGTCGAAGGCTTGGGCGAGGCGCAACGGTCGCCGCCGCCGCCGTGGTCGTCGAGCGGGTGGTCGTAGAGCGGATAGTCGTGGTCGAGGTGAGGTCCCTGATTGGTAGCAGCCGTCGTGGTGCTGTTGGCAAGCGAAGGGGGTGCGTGCAGGCTCCACGGCGTCTCGGGTGCCAGGGCGTGCGAATCTGCTCCCAGATCCGCGGGGATAGTGGTGCTACGTTCCTCGTCGCTGTACGACGAAACGCAACGCAGCGACTGTTCCAACGGCGACTGTGAGTGGTCGTCGTGGTCGAGGTGATGATGATGGTGTTGGTAGTGGTGCGTCTGGCGTAGATGGGTCTCGCGCTCCGGTCGATTGTTGGCGAACATTTTGGCCTCGCCGACGCGGCGTGTGGCGGCGCGCGGAGAGAGCGGGATGTGGTCGGCTCGCTCCTCGTCTTTCGACGACGTCGTCGTCGACACCTCGTACTTCCATCCAGCCGCCGCCATGGCACGTGCCGTCACTATGGCGGTCGAAGAGGTCCGCTTGTCCCCCGCCCGTCCCTTTATGTCGTCGCCGACGCTGATAGCGAAAAAGGGTGGGGTTTGCAAAGAGGCCTTGCGGTCCGAGACGCCTTGCTCCAACTCGGCCCTGATCGAGGGTCGGTAGAGGAGATTTGCCACGACGAACAGCGCTGAGAGCATCGCATCGAAGACCGGGGAAGTTAGGAAGCGGATCGGTCAGTTGGGCCCGCGTCAATAGGCAGAGGTCGTGGGAGGTCATAAGTCATATTGGGGTCAACCTACCGTGCAGAGGGTGCTGAGCAATTAGTACGGTAAGGAACCAGCCCGTCGATCCCATCTGGTGCGTGAGCAGCACAGCCACGCCCGATGCGATGAGGAAGACGTTGGACTCTGCTCTCCGCGTCGGGGGAAAGCCAACCCGACCGACGAGTGAGTCTTTCGTTTGGCGCCGGAGAGGATGAGGCGCGCTCGGCTGCGGCTCCATCTTGACTGGCGAGCAGCTAGTGCTTGTGAAAAGACTCACGGATGGCGAGGATGCCAAGCTTGTACATGACGGCGTTGGCAGCTGCGAGAGAACTGTGGCGGCGCAGCTGGTGCAGCTTGTACAGCAGCGTCACGGAGAAGAAGACCTCGTTGCTGATGATCATCTGCGGGCACCAGGAGAGATAGGGAAACGTCGCGATGGAAGGGTATTCCGGTCCGCGAGGGTCAGCACGGGATGGGGACTTCGAGCAAAGGCTGCACGGCAAGGGACTTAAAACTCACCGCAACGTATCCGACCACCGTGTCTGCGACCCGGGTCGATGACGAAGCCCACAGTCAGTCTCGACTGAGCCTCGGCCAGCTTCGATGGAGGTCCCAAATCAAGCCGCTTACAGTCGTTGATTTCCCTCATTACCGTGCCTGAGCGCCGGTGCAGAAGAAGCGCAGAGGAGGCGAAAGAATGCATCGAGAGGAACGAGGAACAGCGAGCCGTCATCAGCCTTCCGCGTCGCGTCGCATCCCTGACCTGGACGCGGACCACTCACTCCGGAGGATTACTACGTAGTCGAGTGTCTGGATGTAAATGCTGACCGGCAGCAGACCAAACAGCACCTGCACGCCAACAAGAAAGGCTCCAATAGCGAGGAAGAGCTTCTTGCCTTGCGTGAAGAACATGCTGGTCCGCGCGAGGAAGTACAGTTGACCCAGGGCCATCGGAAAGGCTGACAAGGCAACAAGGTGGGTCAGGGTGGAAAGCAGGGCATTTTTGGGATGTGTCGGTCAACATGCAAGCCTGGATTGTGGTGGCCACGAGACCGTCCTTCCGGCTCTTGTAACCGACCGGGGCGGGAAGGCTGCGACGGCTACTCACTCACGAGAACGGTAACGGTCGCGACCTGCCAGCCGATCGAGGTCATTGGCCAGCCGGTCTGAGAGACAGGAACCAAGAAGAGGCGCGCACCAAGTCAGTTGACAGTGCGTCAAGCAGCTACCTCCCCTACAAACAGAGCACCAACACGTCGCCTACTTACTGGTCCCAGCGCTTCCCCGAGGATCCGCGTGTAGAAGTTTTCGATAAGGAAGATCGAGCTGATAACGCTGCCGTGGCGCAGGGAGGGACGAGCACATCGAGAGAAAGTGCAGCCAAGGCGTGCGAGATGCCTCGCATCAGATGCCATGGTCCGGCGCGCGAGACACGCCGTGAGGCACAGCCTCGGGCTCGCACTCACTAAACAACGACAGCGAAGGCCACACCGGCTTGAAGGAACCACCTGTCTCCGTTCTTGCCGCTAAAGCTGCCGGGTCCAGAGAACGACAGATAGCGTCGATGTACATCAGGTCTGGGCGTGCTGAGGGCAACGTACATGGACAGAGGGCCGAGAGACGACGTCGGTCGTTATCGTCGTGAAGGTACACACTGGAAGAAATAGACGCCGCTCGCCGCCAACAGTGCGCCGGTCAGGGCGGGATTGACAATGGCTGAGCACGGTGTATGAGGAACGAGCACGCAGAGCTCAAGCGGGTCAGAGACTTGATATGCCACCTGTTGGTGCGCGCCAGATCCGTCCCCTTCCACTCACCGTTGATCAGATGGGGCCCTAGGCGGGGAAGCACGGAAACGGGCCGACAGGCGGAAGACGGTCGAGATCGGTCAGGTCCCTTCGCCACGGCCAACGTGGCGTCTTGGCACTCTCTGCTCACCGAGGTCGAACTTGGGCTTAACGTCCGGCATGTGGTTAACGGCGACATAGGTGCAAGGGATGCCATCGTCGTTGATCAGGATGTTGGTCAGCTGCTTCCGGAGCAGTTCCGAGCTCACTGCATCGAGCGCAGCGACCAGGGTCGCACGCGCTGCCGGGTCCATTTCCGCAGCGGGCGGAGGTCGGGTATGGGAAGAGGAGAGGCCGAGAGGCGTGGGATGAAGGGAAGCTGGCGGAGAGAAGCGCGGGTGAGATCCAAGCTGGTATAGCCGAAGCAGCGGGGACGCCGCTGCCTTGCGAGAGTGCGTTCTGATGACTTCCTCGAGGCACGCGGGAGGAGGGGAGAGGACTCGTGAGAAGAAGGGAAGGGTGGCAGAGGCTCTGCTGGATATGTGAGGGATCTTTATGCTGTCAAAGGGACCGAAAGCGGACTCGGTCCATTCGGTGGCCGCTCAAGTAGATGTGGCCAGCCGCTCGGCGGCAAGTCGACCATCTATGGCGCCGTAGCCTCTGCCAGCGCCTACTGTGACCCTCGAGCTTGAGGCTGAACGCGCCGCTTTGGCAACCAGACCAGGGTTGGCCTTGGACCACGCGGTTGGCTTTGACCTTGGCAGAGCTGCGGGGCGATGGCGTGTGCGCAAGCATAAGCTTCGTTCCACCCCGTTTGAAAGTCGAGCTTGTTGAGGCAGGAACAGCGTCGCCCAGCCGCGCCTGGCTTGGTCTGCCCTCGTTCCTTGATGCGGGGTCCGGTGTTAGGCTGCGACGTGTATGGCTGCGGCGTGGGAGTAGACGAGCCAGCACCCAAAGCTCGAGCCTCGCCGTCACATCACATGCTGTGCCCTCTCGCGGTCCGTCGGGCTCTGACGAAGCCGTCGTTCGTGGGAAGCCCAGGGGCCCGGGCGCGCGTCTCGTTTGCTATCCGTCTTACTGTGGTTCCTGCCGTGAGCTGGTTGAGCGATAGAGGTCCACACAAACCTCGTCGGTGAGCAGAGCACCGATCGAGGACATATGTAAAGCGAAGTCCGCGCGGTTGAGCTGGCCTTCTTCCACCGCTCGGTGGACAAAGGGCGAAACAAGACCAGCCGGCAACCTCGGCCATGTTGCAAGGATAAACATTTGTCTGTCGCGAAGGGCCCGAGCTCGCCGTGCTGCGGCGTGCAGTGCAGTTGTAGAGCAGACAGGGACGGTTGACTGTAGTACTCGTCGATTCGATGATGGTGGTAGGAAAGAGAACAGGAGACGTGGACAAGTCTAATTTTACACGCGAGCCCGCGTGCGTGCGCGTGGGCCGCACAGCAGCAAGGTGGCTCATTGAACGATGCGCCGACCGTGAGGGGGCTGCTGTGCCTGACCTCGTCGTATGTACCACGCCTTGGACGTTACGACAACTCCGTCTAAGGACGAGGCCGCCCATGAACCACCTCGAACGCCGCATCTTTTTTTCACGCAGCATGCTCTGAGCGTTCCTGGAGAGAACGAATGTATTGTGCCTTCGAGTGGCGCGCAGAGACACCTATGCTGGGATGTAAAGACTCAGAGTATGCGAAATGGGTGGGTCCGCGCGTGAGAGGGAGTGATGCAGCAGAGGACGAGGACGACAGGAGCAGCAGGTGACAAGGACGATCGGGGATACGCTGGGGCTCGTCGGGGCATCTTGCTCCTGCCTACATCGGCTGACCTTTCCGTTCTGACGGGACCGCGGCGTGCTGGAGGGGCGGGACGAGGGAAAAGACCGGGACCTCGCCGCCCTCGTGAGCGTCGTCGGTCCAGGGCGACGAGGTGTACGGCGCGTAATCGCTCGTCGCCGACTTGAGCAGCTGGTCCTGCTTCTCGATGTCGGACGTGTGCGTCTGGGGCGTACCGTGCTCGTACTTGATCTCGGGCAGCCCCGCGCCCACGTCGCGCGACGGCGCCAGGTTTTGCATCTGCAGGTCGAGGCGGTTCGGAGGCGTCATGTTGAGCGAAAAGGGCTGGTCGTCGTCCTCGCACTGCGTCCACGGCCTCGCTGCGTGCACGCCGTTCGAAGGCACGCCCTGGTGGACGCCGTCGCTCGCAGAGAAGCCTCCCGAAAAGGGGCGGGGCTGCAACGTGCCCTTCGAACCCTTGGACTGCGCAGTCGATTGCGCAAGCTCAGTCACCATCGAGCGGCGGTAGATGAGATTGATCAGGACAAAGAAGGCTGCGAGGCGCGACGCGTTGTTTGTGAAAGAGGTCCAGATCAGCGAGCTGTGGTGCGAAGATCCAGCCCTCCCCGGCTGCGGAGAAAGGCGGACCGGGAACGACGACTCACTGTGCAGAGGATGCTGGCAGAACAGCACGGGGAGGTACCAGCCCGTCGATCCGACGCTGTGTGCAACGAGGACGATGACGGCAGACATGACCAACGCCAGGTTCGACTCTGGTTTGGCAAGGAGACAGAGGGCCGAGAGGTAGCGAGGATCCTTAGTCAGGTCGACTGCCACCCGACGGGCACTGGGAAGCCAACACCGAGAGGAGGAATCTGGGCGGGACATGCCACTCACGGACCGCAAGCATGCCAAGCTTGTACATGACCGAGTTGACCGCGGCAAGAGAGCTGTTGGCCCGAAGCTCAAACAGCTTGTAGCACAGGGCGGCCGACAAGCCCACTTCGTTGATGATGAGCATCTAAATCGAGCCACGTGGCGGGGCAGGGTCAAGAAGTGTGAGGGCATCGATCGATGAAGTCAGCGGGCTATGCGGCTTTCTTTGCCTGCGTATCGTCCAGAAGAAGCCCTGAGCTCACCGAGACGTATCCCTTTAGGGTGGCTGCAGTTGATCATGGCGGAGAGTGGGCAGCGTGAATCGTGACGGGGACATATAGGAGGTCAGCCAATGGATCGACCGGGCACGAGATCGACACGAGCAGGTGAGGTCGACGTACAATTGACGATGTTGGCAAACCCGGGTGCTGGTTGCGAACACAATGAGGTTGGCGGGACGGCAAGCGACGAGGACGGTCAGCTCGTCCAGCTCGAGCGCGTCGCGTCCTCGGCAAAGGGGTAGCAGTCACAAGACTCACTGAGCAGGATGCGGAACCAATCGAGCGTCTGCGAGTAGACGATGAGCCCCAAGACTCCCAGAAGCGCCTGAGTGAAGATCATGAGCGAGCCGACGACCAGGAAGACGAGACGGCCCCGGCTGAAGAACTTGGCCGTCCTGGCGAGAAAGTAGAGCTGTCCCAGCATCACGGGGATGACTGAAGGGTTGGTCGCGTGGCCGAAAAGGGACAGTCGCTCTGCGTCAGCTCGAGGCATCGGAGGAGAGCAGGCACGAAGCGCGTGCCCAGCACTGCGGGACCACACCCACCTTCCAGGCTCGTTGCTGTCGGCACTTGCCATCCTATCGACCGCATGTCCCAGCCGTCCTGTTTGCAACCCACCGGGGCGAGACGTTCCAGTTGTGAAGGCAATCGTCAGCACGGCGGGATGGGAAAGCCCATGTGGCCAAGGGGATGTCCCGAGCAAAGGGCATCGCCCACCAGGGTACCGCACTCACCGGTTCGAGCATTGTCAAGAAGATCCGGCGGTAAAAGTTGAACATCAGAGCCATGGCATTGAAGACGCTGCCAGATGAACCGAGCAACGGAAAGGGATCGTGCAGCGGGAGGGGATCGCGGCGAACATAAGCTTTGGCTTCGTGCACCTCGGACTCCCGAGATTGACCGTGACCGCGACGGCGACAGCTTCATATGAGCGACTCACTAGATGACGAGCGACACCGCCACTCCGAGCTGGAGGAACCATCGGTCGCCTTTCCTGCCGCAAAAGCTGCACGGGGGAAACATCGCAGGCGTGCACGCATGCTCGCATCAGCTCGACCGATTCTTGACAACGCTCCGAAATGAAAGCCCGGGGCGGCGGAGAGACTCACTAGAAGAAGTAAACGCCACCCAATGATAGGACGGCTCCGACCATGCCTGCATACACGATGGCTATGGGAGGCGTGAATGGTTCCGGGCGCACAGGAATGCGAGCAGAATTTAGCGTCTTCGACAACAACATGCATGCTCCTCGATTGCAAATGTTGGAACTCACCAGCAATGAGTTGGGGCCCTGTTTAGCACATCATCGCGAGGGTGACAACAAGCGTCAGGCGGCGAAAGGCATACTGTCAAATCAGCAAGCCGCGCTCTGCGAGAGGGCAAAGCCTCTACAGTCCTGGCCTGGCTTACTCACCGTAGACGAGGATCGGGTCGACGGGGTTGTTCTTGACCAGAACGAAGGCCCTCGGAATGCCGTCGTTGTTCAAGAGGATGTTGGACATCTGGCGGCCGAGGACCGTCGAGTTGTCGCCGATGAGAGCGGCGGCAGCGGCTGCCTCCATCGACTCGGAGCTCAGCCCCTCCGCCAAGGAGGACGCGTGAATGTGCATGCTGCGCCGGTGAGTGACGTGTGCAGGAGCACGTCGAGTGGTCGTAGAAGATGGTTCAGACGAACCAAGGGGACAGCGACAAAAGAGGTGGAGAAGGGACAAACGAGTGACGGGACGGGATCGGGCCGACTGTGCTTTGGGCGGGCGGGCGTGTGTTCTCTGTACGGTTGAGTGTGTGTGTTGTTGTCCGAATCGGAACGGGATGGGTCGGATTGGGTCGGATCGGGTCAGGCCGAGTGGCGAGCGAGAGGACGACGAGGGAGCGGGATCGTGATGGGACCGATGAAGAGCGCTGGCGGGGTGGAGAGCTAAATTGCTTTCGGGGAGTGAATGAGGGGGGCAAAGCTGCCAACCCGTCGGTGCGTGAGGCTCTGGTTATGTATGTATAGACGTGGTGTGGCAAGCCGCCGCCTCGGGGAGAAAGCAGTAACGGAAACGACTCGGGCCAGAGGCGGAGATTCAGAGAGACCAGACCGTTGGGCGCCCACCGTGCCTGGGAACGAGACTCTTACGCCATGTCTTAGGGCCGTGTTGGAGTCGAGTGCAGTGCACTTTCCGACGCCAAGGTCAGTGTGCACCGCTGGCGGTGGCTTTAGGCCCGGGATCATCGTGGTGACGGTTTTGCACGCCTTCTGGCCACCACCGCTGTCGCCCTTTCTGGTGCCTGCGCGACATACAATGAGGGCTAACGTTAGTCCAGCGCTGGCGTCCGAGAGGTGGGTTTCGAGGTTCAGGACCAGAACATCGTTGTCGGACCCACGAAGGCGCCGCGCTGTGGACGCCCACGTAGGGACTGTCCTGAAGTTAATGAAGTCCCCCAAGCAGCTGTTCGACGGGAGAATCGTCGGTGACAGGTGCTGCCCTGAGGAGGTGGCAACCCTCCAACGCTGCTGCCCCTGCTGGCTTCGAGGGCGGCCTTCGCCCGCCTGTAGGCGGTGCGTTTTCTCACGCTGCTGCGCTGTCGACGCGCGCTCTCTTTCCGAAAGCAGCAGATAGAGAGAGTACGTCCTTGTGTCAGAGCGGGGAGTCGCCAAGTCGCTGAGCGCCTGCTCCTCTTTGTATGGCATGCACAAGAAGGCAGAAGGGTACGTACGTGTAGGGCCCGCGAGTACACACCAACGCCGGCAGCGGGTTCATGCGACATCGGCTTGCTCGCGGCGTAAACGACACAGCAGTGAGCAAGCAGCTGTGTCTAACGTCTACAGCCGGCCTGCTGTGTGTACGTCGTGCGTGTGCCTGTCGTGCTGGCGCCCGGGTGCAAAGGTCTCAGGCGTTGCGAACTCTCTGGCGCATGCACGCAAAACGTGGATGCAGGACGGAGCTGAGCTGAATCCGAGCGCTGTGAGTCCTTTGCACGGCTCCCCAGCCCGCCTGCCCTCTTTCTCTCTCTTGCTCGGTCGCACGCGTCCGCCTTCCCGCGCGCGCGCCCGCCTACAGAGCGTGCAACGTAACCTGCCGGCGTGCCTACCTGTTGTACGTTCTGAACTCTTGAGTTGCGAATCAAAAGCCCAGCTAGGGTCTAGGCAGGCTGTGCGATATGATGCTTCTACGGTCCTGGTGGCAGCTGCTCACCGGTCTCCGTATCCGTCCCACGCGTCTTCGCCCCCCTTCGCCTTCCAGACTGTACCGAAGGAAGACGAGATATGGACGCAGGCGCAGGAAGCAGGCACAGGGCCCGTCGGGCAACGGCGTCGCCGCACGCTAGGGCCAGGCGTCTCTGACTTTGCCACGGCCGTATGGATACACATCTGGTGTAGGCGTGAGCGTGGAGCGCTGTCGGTCCGCGGGGCTGCCTTCGGCCCGTGTCGATGGTCGCAGGGCGTCGGTATGGGATGATTCGTGGGCCGATCGAGATTTTGCAGGGATCGCATGTCAGACGTCTTGTCCACACGCCTGGGAATGTAGGCAAACGTACATACACGTATGGCAGCGCCTGGCCGGCCAGGCCATCGAGGTGGTTTCAGGTCCGCTCTCTGGCGACCTAGCTTTTGCGCCTTTTTCTTCACGCTCTCTTGCTTGCGCTCCGCTCCTACGTGTCCACTCCGATAGGATTTCGAGTTGCGACCGGACTCTGGCCGTCGCTTCGCAGTCGAACGGCCGAAGCGTCGGTCGAGCTTCTCCCTCTCTCCCTTCCCGCAGACAGGACTGCCTTGTTGCGAGCCGTCCGTCAGCGATCCGCGTCAGTCAGCCGCAGTCGAAGCGACGACCACGACTTTGGACGCTTCCTGCCAGGGACGGCCGTGTGCGTAGATTGGCAGCTGCAGCCTGGCTGTGTACATCTGGCCACGCAGGCTGTCGCACAATAGGTCGGGTACGTACTGGCAAAGCGAGATTGTGATCCACAGCCGAGGCAATCGGTGATTCTGCCGAGCACCGAGTCGGGAAGACGCAGCCGGCCACCGTCGCGTGAAGCGGGCAAGGTTCGGGTCCTTCTACGGCCGCGCGACATGTCGGTCCGAAAAGGGAAGGTCGGGTCTGTTGAGAAAAGGAGGTAAGCCCGGTGATGCACCGGTCAATCAGGTTCGGGGGCCTCGACGCCACCAAGATGCGGGGAATAGAATCAGTCGTATGTGCATACATGCACATACACAGCAACTGCTTGTGGGTCAGCCGCTGCTTGCTCCTGAGGCCGAGGCTGCCTGCTTCCTTGTGCTCGTGATCCATCTGCAGCGGAGCTTCGGCGCGGATATTCGTCATGCCGGCGAGTACTCGGGTTGGCACAGAACAGGTCCCTCCGTGGGGATCCGCAGCAGTAAGTAGTCAACAGGACGAGCAATGACCGAGCTGCGGGAGTGGTCGTGGCGATGGGAATCTCTACCTCACATGCGTATGCGCTCGCTGTGGCAGGCTTGTGGCTTCGCGCGCGCCGTCGTTTGCCCAAACCCCACTCGACAGGCTGACATCCTCTGGCGGGGGGCTGTCGTCGTTCAACCTGGGCAAGGACGAATGGCGCTCTCGAGCACAATAGCAATGGATCGCTTGCTAATCTTGATGTGGCCCGCCAAAATGGCCTGTGGTGACGGCGCCGCCACCAAGGTGGGCGTGCGAGACGTGCGAGACGTGCGAGACGTGCGTGGTGCACGGCCACAAACAAAAGGGGCTCCGTGGAGCAGGACGGGCGAACCTTCAGTCAGGTCATGCTTGTCAGAGGTCATACTACTAAATCGGATGGAGATGAAGTCTGCTCCCGTTTCAGTACCGAGAACGTGCTGCTCGGCGTGTTGCTGCGATTGCGGAGCGCTCTGCCGAACACAAGCAGGGAGAGATACGCTTGCAGCGGTGCAGCGGCCTTTCCATGACGCCTTCGGCTCCCATTGCGCTGCCTCGAATATGACGGCAACAATACGTGCTTGTTGATGGATCCTACCGGACGCCTGTCAGGCCAGCAATCGCCGTCGCGACGGCGGGTACGTAGTGCGATCCATTTGGCCCGAGAATCGGGTAAGGTGGTCGTCGTCGACGACTGACTCGAACCTCGCAAAGACACCCGTCGTAACATTCAAATACAGTATGCACACGTACGTCCGTACGTACACGGCCCTCTACACGCACACACCTAGAGTGCTCGAAGTGGTCAGGGAAGCAAGCAAGGTGCAGGATGACCGACTCAACCCCTTCTATCAAACGATGACTGCGCGCGCCCCGGGTCGGCGCCGACCTGACGCGCCAATCACCCTACATAGTAGTAGCTCGGCTTGTCGTGGGATCCGTGCGTGAGCCGCGGTGCCCACAATATATCTCGGACACCCGGCTGTTGGGAAGCCGTCGCGAAGAAAGCAAGAGAAGATGCATGGGGCCTACGGACCAACACAGCTTGGCGAGATCGGATCGGTCCGAGACGGCGAGGGGTCCCGCTCAAGGCCGAAGCGGGGATGATCTGGTGGAGCCGAGTGGGGGCACATCGGCCGGCCTTCGCACCTCGGATCGGTTCCGATCCGGCCGGGTCTCGGACTTGCCTGGGCCACTCGGAGGCGGGTTGGGCGCCTTGGACCCTGGTTTGCAGGACCTCCAGCGGCGACCTGGCGGCGGTTGCCATGCCCACTTTGTTCGCTCGCACTTCGCCCTTCGCCGCCACACGCACGCCCATTCTCCGTTCATTCAGTCATCTCAGCCGCTCTCATCCTAGGCCTTCCCGCTGCCTCGACAACGGGCGCATCGACGCCAGCCTGGCATAGCCCAACGGCCATTCGTCTGCACAGCCAGAACGTCTTGACCGGATTGCTAGGCGTGGGTCCCCGAGAGCGACGGCGCCGTGCCATGCCATGAGCCTCGACAGGCCGCGCTGCGTCGGCGTTTCCGCCTCGCAAGTGGATCATCGCGACTACGTCTCGCAGCTCGAGCGGCAAGCCCGATCCGCCTTTCAGACACTCAGCGGCAGCCGGCTGGGCCCAGTCGAGCGCCAGTCGGCCCTCACAGAGGCCAAGATTGCCTTCCATGCGCTGCTCACCGCCGAAGAGGCAGTCGCGGTATCGATGCTGGCCTCGAGCACCGAGCTATTCGCCCACGTCGTCGACCTCGGCCCGAACGACTCTCGTAGGCTGGCAGCGCAGTGCCTGTCCGACTGGTTCGCGACGCACGCTCTCCACCATGAGCAGCAGCGGCGACAGCAGCAGCAGCAGCAGCAGCAGCAGCAGCAGCAGCAGCAACCCGACCACTCTACGACGTTTGGCCATACCGAGCAGCGCGCTTTGGTGGCCGCGCTAGTGCGATGCGTCAATGCCTGCCTGCGGAAGAGCAGGACCGGGCTTGTAGCGACAGCCCCACCGCCAGCCCGACTCTCGGCTTCGTCGCTGCGAACGGCTGCGTCTGCGCTCAAGGCCCTGCATGCTCTCCTCGTCGCCCGAGCCGGCTCGTCGGAGCGCCCAACGGCCTCAGCCGAGCCGCTGGACTCTGCCAGCATCATGGATATGCTTCTCTTGGCCATCTACACCGGCCTGACCGACATTGCGCCCTCGGCTCCCTCCGGGCATAGGAGCTCGGTTTCGATCGGTGGATCATCCGCCCGGGCTGGCGTCGCTCGCCTGCAAGCCGGCGCCCTCTCGTTCCCACCATCGCACCACGCCAACGGCCTGTCCTCCAGTCGCTCCTTCACGAAGATGGAGGCTGGCCCCCATCCTTCGGTGGCTGCGTCGCCGTCGCTGTCGTCGCACGAGCACGATCCAGGCTTCGATGCTGGCGCCGCTGGCTACGCAACCGAAGCTAGCGTCGTAGGCGACCATTCAGAGAGCGACATCGACAGCACCGCCAACCGATCTGCATGTGGCTCCGGCAGTGAGGGAAGTAGGTCGGCGCAGCACCGCACTTTGAGGGATTCGGGGGCGCTCGCCGAGGACGAGCGAAAGAGGGCCGCCGCAGCCAGAGCAGTCCGACAGAACAGTCTCCACTGCCTGATCGCCCTCAACCGGCTCAATCCGCGAGCGCTCTACGCCTACTGGCCGTCACTCTTTCCCGACAGCATCTTGCCGCCTGCCGCTCTACCGCGGCAGCAGCCCTTCTCCGCGTCGACATCCGATGCCGTTGCATCTCGATCATCGCCGCACTCGGCGGCTCGGACCGCTGTCGGTGGCGCCAGCACCCAGAACCTGGGCCGGCAGGCGTCCCTCTTCACCATTGTCGACGTCGAGGCGTCACTCAGTGTTAGGCTCACGGCGATCGATGCCATGGTCAGCTTGCTCAACGGTGGCCAGGCCTATCTGGGCGCGGCGCAGCAACGCTCAGGGAGGGTGCCCGCTTTCACCTCGCTATCCGCAAAGCTGGCTGCGCTGATCATCGATCTCCGTGCTTGCTTGCTGCAGAGCTTGCAGAGCGCAGCGTTGGGTCAGGCGCTGCAAAATCCCGGCGCACCGGATACAGCCCCACCCTCAGCGTCACAGCACGCTGGTGGGCGCGGCCGCGGCGTCGTACTGACAATGGCGTTGCTGCGTCTCACACGGTCGTTTGCAGCCAGCACGGCCCGTGCCGAGCTGCTCACATCCAACGCCGACGTCTTGCAACCAGCCGTCTTCAAGCTGTGTTCGCACCCCGACTCGAACGTCGTCGCCCTAGCCTATGGCACGATGGCGGCGCTAGCGGCCAGCGGTCCGTCCAGCCGCGGTGGCGCCATCGGCTACGGTGACTGGCATCCCGGGATCCCGGCATCGGGCAATGCCGAAGTGGCCGCCGCTCTACTCGACAAGCTCCAGGCCAGCGTGACGACGCCCGGCGCAGAGACGGTGACCGTGCAGCTGTGGCGGACGCTCGCGCTCTGCATCGGCTCGCAGGTCGCCCGTTTGGCAGTCTCCGCCCTGGTCCGGTCAGTCGCGCTCTGCGAGGGCAGGGTGACTGGCGTCGTGGGCCCTCGATCCTCGCAAGACGAGCGCCAGGCAGTTGCCGAGTACCTCTTTGCACTGCTCGGGGGCATGGCATCACTGCCCGCGACGCTTCGACGGGATTTCCTGCTCCAGGTCGACCTCCCGGCGGCAAGGGCAACCTCACCAGTCTCGGCCGCGACATCAGACCATCGCCTACGCGTCCTCCTCGTCCATCTTGGTCGAGACTCGGCTGCGGGCGTGCGGAGGATTGCCGCCGCCACCCTACCGGCTTGGGCCTCGATGCGACAGGGTATCGAAGCCCTCGACCCCGGTTCAAACGATGCCAGAGATATCGAGCTGCTCGAACGCCTGTCGCACGACCAGGACGAGAGCGTACGGGCCGAGGTTATCCGAGCGCTTGGCCACATTGTCGACGCCCCTGCGCGTTCCGACGCCCTCGAGGCGGCCCGGAACGGTCACGACGGCGGTGACAGCGTTTCAAGCGGTACCGCGTCGCTGCGCCGGTCCATGCTGTTTGGACCTGACGACGATGGCTCACCGTCGTTCCGCTCGCCGCCTCCTCTGCTGCTTGATGCCTTGTCGGATGCATCGACGGCAGTCCGGCAGCAGGCCGCGTGGGCGCTGGCCAACTGGACAGAGAGCCTGGCCAACGCCGCTGCAGACCAGGCGGATCCGTTAGCGGGGCCGATCGTCGACCCGGTCACCTGGTCGAGCTTGGCGCGCGGCGCTCTTTGCGTGCAAGGCGACGCCCCCGCTGTCGTGGTGGGATCGCTGCGCGCTTGCGGCTGCCTGCTCTCTCTGATCAGGTTCGACTCTGATGGCGCCGCGCACGACCCTCGATCGCCAGACGACGGTGTGCGAGGCCAGACGCTCGAGGTGATTGGCGTGGTCTGCTCCGTCTTGGAGCCAAGTCTCCGAGGTGCGGCGACCGGCAGCGCGGGCAAGGCGTCGCCCAGGAGCCCAAAGATGCTCTGGAATGCGGCCAGCGCGCTGGGGAGGGCGGTGCGGAACCCGAGCCTGCTCTCGTGGCTGTCGGAGCGGCAGCGGGCGACCGAGTCGCAGGCGGGTCGCCAGACGCTGTCACGCGTCCTCGCAGCGTTGGGCACCGGTCTGACGTCCAAGTACTTTAAGGTCAAGATGATCTGCGCCGAGGCGTTGCTTGCCGTTGCTCCGACGGGCGACGGGTCGGCATCCGCGGCGACGACGGCGACGGCGACGGCGGCAACGTTGCGGCGCGAAGACGTGGAGATGCTGGCGGAATCGGTGGACAAGGCGAGCCAGCGCCTCGAGGCAGAGATTGAGGCGGCATCGTTTAAAGAGGTCAGCCTGCACGGGCAGGAGTGCCGGAAGCTGTTTGAGCGGCTTTGCGAGGAGTTTGGTGTCCGGTGGGCCGAGGCGGGGCCCAAGGTGGTCGAGTGAGGGCGGGGTTGGCGGGGCTCCAGTCACGACCCGTAGTCTCGGAGGGCCTGTACCGAGCTCCAACGCGGGCGGACGGGTCGATGCTGGCGAGTGCCGACGTCGTTGCTGCCGTCGTCGCTGCCGTTTTGAATGCGCGCTTTGGCCGATTGCATTGGTGTTGCGTAGCTCGACGAACGTGGCATCGATGGGCGCGTGTCGCCCGCAGGGGTCTGTGGAGCGCTTGGACCGGACAGAAGCGGCTGGCGCTCGGGGTTGCGCAGTTGCTGCTCCCGCTCGTCGTCGTCGTCGTCGTCGTCGTCGTTGTAACAGCAAGACGGGCAGCAAGGTGCCGTCGAGCAGCCGGAGCAGCAGCAAGCTGTGAAGACGAAAGAGCAGTACGAGTCCAACCGAACCCAGAGCGCCCAGTCAGCAAGAGACGGGGTGACATGGCATTCACACCGATCTGCGGCTGAGGCTCACGAGGTCCGTTTGCGAGGGTACGATCGTCTCGCAGGCCGAGGAGGGCAGCGTCGCAGGTGACGAGGCAGGCCTGGCACGCGACGACGGCGAGGCCGGCCAGGTAGTCGAAGAGGATGTCCATCCCTCGGCCGCTTCCACCCTGCCGCGTCGAGACGGGATGGTGGTGCCGGTGGTGGAAGAATGGGGTGGTCTTGGCCAGGACTGGACGACGACGACGACGACGACGACAAGGGAGCGGGGGCTGAGCCAGCGATGCCAGATTGATTGACGCGTGATCGCTTCTTGCATCCCCAGCCAACGCTGCCTGCCTCCACTTTCGCCGGCGCTGACCCTTGCAGGACCAGGACCAGGCAGGACGAGCAAGGTCGTGGGTGGAGGCCCAAACGACGTGCGTGACTGATGGCCCAAAGCAAGCTTCGTCAAGCCAACCTCGCCTTGACGTGACATGACAGCAGGCCAGCTGGCCAGGCCAGGCCAGGCCAGGTCGATCTTGCCTGTCGCGCTGCCAGATGGGCTCGACATCACGTACGCCGCCCCGCTGCGGTAGGCTTCGCTACACCTCGTCAGGCAAAGAAAACGCAACCAGACGGCGAGGCTGACTCAGGTCTAAAGCCCCCTCCTCGGCCGTCCTGCCCTGCCCTGCCCTGGCAGAGTGCAGTGGATCCTCGCCGTCCGGCCTGCTCCCCCTCTCTCGACCAAGTCGCACGTACGCTAGACCAGCGCAGCCCGGTCCTGTCTGGCCGGCTGGACATGACGTTTTGTCCACGCCTCGCCTCGCCTCGTCGCCCCCTTCTTCGTCGAGGTCCGCGCTCGGATCGGTATAAGAAGCCCGAGCCTGCCTGCTTGCCTCCCTTCTGACCTCGTCGCAACCAACCAACCTTCTTTGACCGCACCCAGAGCTCCATTACTCGTTCTCGACTCTCACATCGACTCCATCTACACCCCACTTCGCTTCAACATCCCCCGGACAACATGGCAGGAGGAGCAGCAGTCAACCGCGGTCCGCACACGGGCAGCGGCAGCGAGGCGGCCGTCTCGGACCTCTCGGGTCCGCAGAGGAAGAGCCTGCTCAGCAACCTCGACTTTGGCGGTGAGTAGCCGCGCCCTTCGTCGGTGGCATCGTCGACGCGGGGCCAGGGCCATCCCAATCTGACGCCTGGCCCCTGCCCCCTGCCCCTGGTCCTGCCCCTACCCCTACCCCTGTCCTCTGGCCATGCCCGCCACCGTGCTTGCCGGCACGGTCGCAACAGAGCTGGTCCGACTCAACCTGCCGCCCGCGACTGGCGTGGACGAGTACGCCCTGTTTGACAAGGACGACGCGCTGGCCGTCCACGGCTCGCAGCCCTCGTTCACTCGCTCCTTTGACCCGGACGTCGTGCGCAAGCTCATCGACCTCTTCACCGCCCTCAACGCGCCCGCCGTCTCGACGGCCGACGCCGGCCTCGACAGCATCACCATCAACGACACCAAGTACACCGTCAGCGGCCCGCGCGGCGGCCAGCACCCGCTCGAACTCGCCACCCTCCACTCGGACAAGCACGTCTTCTTCGTCACCAACACCGCAACCCTCCTCGTCATCGTACAGGCCGCCCCCGGCGCAGACGTAAAGCAGAAGACAAACGAAAAGGAAGGCCTCTGGGCCGCCGTCAGGAGCTTCACCTTTGCCCTCACCGAAAAGGGCCTCTGATGTCGCCGCCAGGATCGCGCATGCCAGATACCAATTCAATGGACCGAGGATAGAAACTACGGAATCGTATTGCTGGCGTGACTGGATGTGACCTGAGTCGGTGAAGGTGCCCTTGGGGAGAGGTAGAGTAGTGTTGTTGTACAGCCGAGTCAGGAGAGTCGGTGGGCGGACGGACAGGAGCAAGGCGAGGCAAGGCGAGGCGAGGCGAGGCTGCACGAAGGCGATCAGCCCAGGAAGCCGGCATGGGCCTGGGCCAGGCCTTGCCAAATGTCGATGGCGTCGCCTTCCTCGTGGCAGCCCAGCAGCGACACGCCGACATCGGCCTCGTCCGGGTAGATGCGCGTGCTGATGGCGATGGCGTCGTCGACAAACACCTCGAGCACCGAGTTGTCGAGGAAGAGGCGCACACGGTGCGTCGTCGTGCGGCTGCCGTCGCGGCGTCGGGCGAGGGCCACGTCGATGTCGTCCGTCTTGACCTCGATGCCCCGCTCCAAGACGCTCGTCCTGCCCGCGCTGCGGCTGCGGTCGACGACGATGCGGTCGTCGGCCGTGAGGTAGACGAGCGTGCGCGTGCTCATGTCGGCGCTGTGGGCCAGGGCGAATCCAGAGACGCGGCCTGCCGCCGGTGTCGAAAGGCTGGCGACGACCTCGAGGGATCGAGCAGAGACGTCCGGCAGGTGTCGCCGCGGCGCTTCGATGCCAGCGGCGTGGATCTGGATCGCGCTGTCCCTGGATGCAGCGGCTGGTTGGAGCGAGGCAACGTTGACGTGGCGCGCCCCCGTGCGCAGGCCAAGCACCTCTTCGACCGGTCGGATGCCCAGCTCCTCGGAATCGGGATGCCAGAAGAGCTCGCGCGGCAGCGAGAGGCAGCCGGACCAGCCCTGGCGCTCGTACTGGTCCTCGGGCAGGTCGTCTTCGGTGATCCAGCCCCACATGATCCTGCGGTCCTTGACCGGATCCTGGAACGAGCTGGCGGCGTACAGGCAGCCGTGATCCAGCAGGCCCGTGCGGACCGGCTCGAGAGAGATGCCGGCCCGCGATCCCTGCAGCGTGCGGCGGTGCGCCTCGTACTTCATGTAGATGGCGGCGCGCTGCGGGCCCGGCTCGGTGCACCCCTCGACGTTGATGAGCAGGTAGTCGTGGTGCTGCGCTGCGTCGCCCTCTGGCCCGACCGAGAAGAAGTTGCACACCTCCCAGTTCTTGCCGAGGTCGACGCCGTGCGGCGTTGACTTTGAGTTCCTCCCGACGTCGCAGAGGTGGCCGATGTATTGCCACGACGAGAGGTCCGAGGGGTCGATGGAGTAGGCGAACACCGTGGGCGTCTTGTCCTTGAGGCCTCCGGCAATGAGGCCGTAGAGCCCCGGACTGCTCATGCCAAGCACAGCGTCGAGCAGCGGCCAGGCAGACACGTACGGATCCCGCCACGAGATGATGTCGACCTCGGCAGGCGGGCCGTCGAGGATGCAGCCCTGGGGCGTCCACGTCTGCCCGCCGTCGGTCGAGGTGGAGAGGGCCAGCTTCTCTGCTCCGCGATGGTAGGGCAGCGTGTGGTGGATGGGCAGGTGCGAGACCTGTCAGACAGGTGCAAGGCCCAGAAGGGAACAGGGTGGGAGCACGCCAATCGTCAGCATCCCAGGCGTCTTGTCTGTGGGTCCTCGATCTCAAGGCTACCCGGCATCGACTCACTGCAGTGTAGATGGCCGTCATGGGTTGGGCGCGCTGGCGCACCTCTGCTGCTGCTTCTGCTGCCGCTGATGTCGCCGCTTTCGTCGCCTCTTGGTGCGCCCCAACGGCCTCGTCCGTCCCATCCTCTTCTGCCAAGGGCCCTCGCATGAGGACGCAGCCGGTAAAGACGCCCTTGTGGTCGTACTGCGTGCCCGGCTGTATGACGGCGCTGCGGCTCGACTGCCAGCGGACGAGGTCCTTGCTCGTCGCGTGGCCCCAAGACATGTTGCCCCACGTCGAGCCCTTTGGGTTCCACTGATACCACATGTGGTACTGGCCGGTCCGAGGATCGTACGATGGCCCGCACGGGTCATTCATCCAGCCGTCGGGCGCCATTAGGTGCGACGAGGGCCTCCAGCGGTGAAAGGCGACGTCGTCGGCCGATGCGCCTCGCCGTTGCGTCCGCTGCTGCTGCTGCTGCTGCGGCTGCGGCTGCTGCTGCTGCTGCCCAGCTACCATCGGAGCGCGCTTGGCCTTTGCGACGGCGACGGCGGCGTTGTGGGCCGACACCATCATGGCGCCCTGCGCGGCGGCCACATCGTCGCGGAGGGAGTCGGCGAAGTCCAGGCTGTGCGATCCGTAGGCGATGCGTCTGGGATCTGCCAGGGGAAAGCTGGCGGTGGTGGGGATGGTGCTGGTGGTCAGGGAAGGGCGCCTGGCCTCGACGGAGGCCATCTTGTTCGGCGATCTAGACGACGGCCAGCTGCCGGGTGCAGAATCAGCCGGGTGGATCGGAGAAAAGCGGCCGATGACGCGCAGGGTCAATAGGTCGGGGGGACCACGTCGCGACGTTGACGATACTCGGATGGGTAGCGGTATCAGGTCGAGTCTCTTTGTGTCGAGCAAGCGGCTGGCCAACGAAGTCCGATCGCGAGGCGGAAGTTGCCGATGGGGCAAAGGCCACTCGACGAGACGACAAGCCTCTTCGGTCAGGTTCCGCTCCGAGGCCAAGAATCGGCGCGGCACCGACCCGGAGCGAGCGTCGGCGGGCGTCACAAGGTGTCGGATCCAGCGACGGATCTGCCGAGCCGTGTGGGTGAATGGTATCTTGGTCGAGAGGTCGACGTAGGAAGGGATGGCAACACCGAGGCTGGGAGTGGTCGAGATGCGGAAGGGTGTCTGCAGCGTTAATGGGCGACAGGGCGTGAGGCCAACGAGGAGCTGAACCGGTACGGTAACAAAGCCCCCCCTTTTGAGGGATCTCGTTGCTAAAGCAGGCGACAAAGCGGCGTGTCGAGGACGTCGTTGCAATGAGCCGTCGCTGGATCAAGGCGTGGTTAGGGAGGGGCAGCAAAGCTCAAAGTTGGTGGGATGGCGGGACAAAAAGGAGCGTGCGGGCCGACTTGTTAAGGGCCCGACGGACCGCATCCTGACGGACCCCGCTGAGAGCATGTATGGCGCCGTCTCGGAGCGGCCACGGCCCAACGACAAGCCAGACGGCGGCCAAGAGAACGTCGCAGTGCCGTGCCTTGAGGGAAGCACGGAGCCACGTCGGGCGCCGCGCGGACTCTTCCCGCCCGCCAACACCAACCCCCGCGGTGGCCGAGCTACGTATGTGCGTTACGGTACCGTACAGCACCTCCTCGAGTGCGTTCCGATGGGGCGCCGCCAGACGACGGGTCCACCGTAGTGCGTGATGCTCAAGCTCAAGGTGCTGACGGCCAACACCGACCATACTCGAGCGGGCAGCTTCCGATGAAGGCCCGGTCGGCCAAGGCTCCTGCTCGTAGACTCGTATCGGTAACAGGGTCCCCTCGGACGTGAAGCTTTGCGCCGCGAGGGGCGACCGGAGATGCGCAATACGGGCGAGGCTCGGTCGGTGGGTCGGTCGGTCGGCCTCTGTGGCCCCTCCTGTCATCATGCCCTCCCCCGCAAAAACACGAGGTTAGCCGGCGAACACTCCGCCTTCCTATCGGTGGCACGCCATGGCGCCACGGAGATGACGACTGACAGGTCGGTCACTTTGATGTTGTCGATACCAATGTGGCTATCTCTCAACAGCAGGTTGGAAGGGTCGAGGATTGCCGCAGCAAAGAGGTCGCCACGCTGCTCTGGCGTCAAACGGGGGGATCGCGACCGAGGCGCCAAGGTTGGTCGGCGCTGTTCTGTCCAGTCCGCATCGCTCCTCGGTAGCACGGCAGGGAATAGTCTAGCGCTCACGACGATGACGATAGCAGGACGATACGCTTACGGCTGACCGATGGGGGGATATCGTAGGTATCGTAGATGCAGGCGCCGCCATCTACGCAGCGGAGACGTCCCGCTCGAGCCTCGGCCGTTGCGCCCCTTTTCTCCGCCGCAGCCTTCTCCCGAGCAGAGCTGATGGCGTTGAGATGCGACCGAGAGCGGGAAGAAAGCGGGCTGTCGGGTGGCGAAAAGCATCTGGACGACAAAGGAAGAGGCTGGGTCTGGGCCGTCATCGCTGTTGGAACGTCAGCCCGGGCAACCGACCGAGGTGGGACAGAGGGCGTTCCGCCCGCCCGTCGACGTCGGGCCCTTTTCGGGCCGGCCTCGCATCGCCTCGCCCGCTCACCTCTGGACGCCGGCACGCGCCCTGTGCTCGTGCTTGACCCCGCCCCGAGCGACCCCGTCGCCGGTCGCCCTCGGAGCCGGCACAGCCCTCTCACCCCATCAGAGGTCCCGCCCGGCTCCGACGAGCTGATTGTTTGATGGCTCCCCCACAGTGCAGAGTCCATCGGGCAAGCCCACGCCGTCGTGCACAGGAACGTGGCAGTCCCGAGCGAAGGATCAGCACAGCTGTGCGCCCATGTTGGTCTCCCTCGTACCGCCAGGACGACAATGTCGCAAGAGGGGTCACGCAGAGCCTCGTCAGCGCGATGGAGCACCCCGTCCGTCGAGGATCTGCTTCCATACACGCCGCACGAGCCATCTTGCTCGCGCGTGCAAATGTCATGGGGCAAAGTCGATGTCGAGAAGCCGCCTCGATCTCCCAACTCGGTACCAGCAGGGTCAGGTGGGTCGTTCTGCGAAGCCAGCGGACGTCCACAACGCAGGCCTGGATGTTTCAGCAACACGCCAATCACGACCGATGGATTGCGTTAGAAGACCTCGTAGGCAGCCATGATGATGCACGCCAGCGACACGTAGGGTGATAATCTCTCGCCTGGAGTAGATGCAAACGCGGCCGTGAGCATCGAGCGAATGAAACGGAAGGAGGCGAGGGGAAGCAGAGCGGTCAGGGATCGGAACTGTGCGAGGAGGACACGAGCGGAATGCACACATACCGATGCGAGCCGCCTTGAAGAAGAGACCCATGAACCTGCGGCGTCAGGAAGCATTCGGACCGAAGAAGCGACAGTTCGGAGGTCAGCGTTCGAGGCAAGGCAGCGCAGACCCGGTAGGACGGGCATGGGATTGACGGCTGACGCGCACCCCTGCTTGTTGCGATCGACGAGCGCTGGTGCCGTGGCGCGGACGTATGTGCATGTGCAGATGAGGAGCAAGATGACGAGCAAGAGCGATTGGAAGTTGAATAGCGCCGACTGCGCCACGTCGTCGACAGACAGCGTGACGGAGGGAGAGCAAGCCAAGGGAGGAGGAAAGCGGGTCGGCGTGTCAGTCGAGCGCGCGGGCCAAGTCAGGCTATCATGCTTGAGGAGGAGACGGAGCGGAACGGACCATCTTGCACAACTTTGCGAGGTGGGCGGAGGTGGTCCGATGTTGCGCGCCTCAAGAAGAGGTATGCAGCGAGGGCGGTGCGGGAGCGGGAGCGAAGGGGGGAAAGGCGGTGGTGGTCAGAGAGGTGGAGTTGGCGAGCGAGATGCGGTCCGTCTGAGCCTGGCAGGCTAGGCCAGCCGACGCCTTGCCGGGAGCGGCCCGTGCTCCGAAGGCCGTCGGCCGACTTCCGAGGCCACGCTCCTTCTCCCCTCTCAGCTGATTCTTGATCCCGCCGCCGGACCCTTGCGGTGCATGCGCCGCTTCAAAGTCGCTGGCTCCGATGTGCTTCGCTCGTTGGTCGTCTGCTCTTTCACACACCACCAGCAACGTCTCCTGCTGCGCTTGCCATCGTACCATTCCGACGTTCGGACACGCCCCCGAATCCGCACAAAAAGGGAAACCGACGTCTGCGTGCGAGGTCCTCTCCTCGCCCCCAACACCTCGACCTCCATCACCGACCCCACACCTGCACCGGCCATGACCAGCTCCAGCTCCACACCGCCGCTCGGACGAACCGACCCGGCGAGGTGGCGACTCAAGGTCTCTGACGGTGGCCGCCACGTCTGGCACTACCTCCGCGACGATGAGCAGCTCGCCCGCTGGCCCCAGACAGTCGAGGACAAGTACTGGCTCGGCCTCGACGTCGGCCTGCCCGAGTTGCCGCGGCCGACGACGCCCATCGAGTCGGCCCGCAACGGCCTCTCGTTCTACCGCCACCTCCAGTCTTCGGACGGCCATTGGGCCGGCGAGTATGGCGGTCCCATGTTCCTCCTGCCAGGCCTCATCATCGGCATGTACGTCACCCAGACGACCATCCCCGAGGAGTGGAAGGTCGAGATGGCGCGCTACCTCTGGAACCGCGCCGACAAGACCGACGGCGGCTGGGGCATCCACATCGAGGGCCACTCGACCGTGTTTGGCACCGCGCTCAACTACACTGTGCTCCGGATCCTCGGCGTATCGGCCGAGCACCCGATGATGGTCAAGGCGAGGGGCACGCTCCACAAGCTCGGCGGCGCCACGGGCATCCCCAGCTGGGGCAAGCTCTGGCTGGCGCTGCTCAACTGCTACGAGTGGGAAGGCATGAACCCCATTCCGCCCGAGCTCTGGCTCCTGCCCGACTGGATGCCAATCCATCCCTGGCGCTGGTGGATTCACACCCGCATGGTCTACATCCCTATGGGCTACCTGTTTGGCAAGAAGTTCAAGGCCCCCCTCGACCCGCTCATCGAGTCACTGCGCCAGGAGCTCTACGTCGAGCCGTACGAGTCGATCCGCTGGTCGGCGCAGCGCAACAACGTGGCCCAGGTCGACGTCTTCGCCCCGCACACGATGCTCCTCGACACGCTCATGGGCGTGCTTTCGGCGTACGAGGGCTGCAACATCCCGCCCATCCGTCGCGCCGGTGTCCGACGCGCCTACGAACTGCTATGCCTCGAGGACGAGAACACGAGCTACCAGTGCCTGGGCCCCGTCAACAAGATGCTCAACTACGTGTGCCGCTGGAACGAAGAGGGCCATGAGAGCGAGGCCATGGCGAGGCACCGCGAGAAGCTCAAAGACTTTGCCTGGATCGGCGCAGAGGGCATGATGATGACCGGCACCAACGGCAGCCAGCTCTGGGGTGAGTGACCGGCCGGTGCGGGCAGCCTCGCACCTGCCCAAGGAAGCTCCTTGCCGGCGAGAACGTACAGCTGACCATGCCTCCGGCGCTGCTCCTCCCCGTCCCACCCCTCCGCCGTGCTGCAGACACTTCCTTCATCGCGCAGGCCATGGTCGACTCGGGCTTGGCGGCCGAAGAGGAGAACCACGACATCTGCCGGCGGCTGCTGCAGTGGCTCGACGACTGCCAGATCCGCGAGGACCCCAAGCACTTCAAGAGCTGCTACCGCTTCTCGACCAAGGGGGCGTGGCCCTTTTCGACAAAGGAGCAGGGATACACCGTCAGCGACTGCACGGGCGAGGGGCTCAAGGGCGTCATTGTGATGCAGGAGGAGACCGGCTACCTGGCAAAGCAGGTGTCGCAGCGACGGCTGCGCGACGCCGTCGACCTGCTGCTGACGATGCCCAACCGCGACGGCGGCTTCGCGTCGTACGAGACCATCAACGGGCCGGCGCTGCTGGAAAAGATCAACCCGGCCGAGGTGTTTGGCGACATCATGATCGAGTACTCGTACCCGGAGTGCACCACGTCGAGCGTGACGGCGCTGCTCAAGTTCCGCCAAATTGACGGCGAGTACCGGCGGCAGGACATTGATCGCGTCATTGACGGCGCCATCCGGTACATTCTGCGCAAGCAGCGGCCCGACGGGTCGTGGTACGGCAGCTGGGCCATCTGCTTTACCTACGCCGCCATGTTTGCGCTCGAGAGCCTGAGCCTGGCGGGCCTGACGTACCAGACGAGCGAAGAGGTGCGCAGGGCATGCGAGTTCCTCCTCGGCAAGCAGATGGACGACGGAGGATGGGGCGAGAGCTACAAGGTGAGCCGCCCATTGTTGCCAGATAGAAGCGGGCGATGCCATTGTCGGTGTGCAGAGGATCGCATCGCAGCTGACCTCTTCCTCGATTGCCTCTGGGCCTGTGCCGCCGCGGTCCAGTCGTGCGAGACGGGCGAGTACTGTCATGCTGCCAAGTCGCAGGTGGTCAACACGGCGTGGGCCATCATCGCGCTGCTGCACGCCGGTTACCCGGAGCAGGGGCCGCTGAAGCGGGCGGTCAAGCTGATCATGTCGAGGCAGCAGCCGGATGGCTCCTGGCTGCAGGAGAACATTGAGGGCGTCTTCAACAAGAACTGTGAGTGCCGCGCGGCTGGTTGGAGGTGGTCGTGGTCGTGGTGGCAGCCGCGTTCGTGGTCTTTCCCATCCTTGGAGGTGTGACCGGTGCTGACGCAGCGACGGCTTTGACCCGTGGCGTGGCCTGGCAGGCGCCATCTCGTATCCCAACTACAAGTTCAGCTTCACCATCTGGGCGCTCGGCAAGGCGGCGAGGGAGCTCGACTGGAGCGAAAAGTAGAGACGGCGCGCGACGGTGCCGAAAAGAGGAATCATATACCACCCTCTCGAGGGCTGCTATTGCGATGGCGAGGATGATGTGGTGTTGCCCTCGCTCGTCGAGGCCGAAGGTTGTGGTATCGCGGTCGGTGCCGGTGCCGGTGCCGGTGCTGGTGGCGATGTCGCTGCCGCTGCCGCTGCTGGTACTGCTGATATCGTAGCTGAGGCCGATGTCGGTGTCGAGGTCGGCCTGGAGGCGGTGGCTGTGGGTCTAGCTGGAGCAAGGGCGGCCCAAGGATCCTCGATGAAGGAGGGTTTAAAGTAACCCGCTGCGAGGCCGAGGGGAGCGTGGCAGGGCTGTCGATTGTCAGCAGTGCGCGGATGGGGAGCGGGGAAGCGGAGCGCGATGCTGCTCCGCCAACGACTCACGATGGGGTCGAGCCGGTTTGAGGTTTCGGTCGCGGGCGGGATCACGTTCCCTGCGACGGGGCTGGGGTGGAGCTGGGTCGCCCGTTGGTTCTGGTGGATCGGAAGGATAGGATGATATCTGGCGGGACACAAAGGGGATGGGCTGCTCTTCCATCGTGGCTGACCTGTGACGCGCTGAGCAGATATTGCTGGAAGGGGGCGAGGGCGATGGTCGGGTGAGAAGATGGACGTCGAGATGGAAGGTGAGGACGAGGATGGCGTGGGCGCAGCGCCAACCAGGGCCAGCGTGTGTGGAGGGGCCTCTCTCCCTCGCAACTGAAGTTTTCAGCCCGCGGATGCGGTGCCCGTTGGGGCCTTTGGCACGCCATCATGGCGAGTCGACGCTCGCGACGCACGTTGCAACTGCCTCGTCACCACCATCACCAGCCATCACCCGCACCGCCTCGGCTTCTGCTCTACATACAGTAGTAGTACTGCTTCTCTCTTTCATTCTTCGTTGCACCCGCTGCATCCAAGCGCACCTTCCACACCGCATCGCCGCACACGCACCCCAGCCTCAGCCTCGTTGAGGAGCCCTCGCCCGCATTGCCCCGCCCGCACCCCGCGTCCTCATCGGCACACATCCGATGGACATCCTCGCCAGCCCCTCGAAGCGACTCAGCATCACCAACGTCGTCGGCGTCAATAGCGACACCAATTCCAATAGCCAGACCGCCCGCACCACCTAGTCGCATCCGTCCCTTCGTCACCACCCGCATTCACCCGCCCCCCGTCGTCACCACCCCGCTCCACCTCGACCAGTGCAAGCCATGTCCGGCTCAAATCCCTCGTCCTCGTCCCGCAAAGACGAGCGCAGGAGCCTGCTCCCCATCTCGGAGCAGTCGCGCGCCCCTCCCACGCCTCCACCCGTCCAGCGACGCTCGTCCAACCCCTTGCCAGGCATCAGCGCCACTGCCTCTTCGCTCCGCACCCGCAGAGCCGGCACCTCGGCCCAGCCCAACGCCAACAAGGCAGGCGCACTCCACCTCTCCGACCTCGACGAAAACGAACTCGACGACGAGGCCCCCGGAGACCTCGACCCCGCCATCAACGTCAAAGTCAGCCGCACCCCGGCGAGCCTCCTCCGCGCCGCACTCACCCCGGCAAAGGCCTCGTCGGACGCCCAGCAGCCTGGCTCGGCCGCAAATCGGCAGTCCGGATCGCTCGCGTCGAATCCAAGCCGCTCTCAGCAGCCTCAGCAGCCATCCGGGTCAACCTCGTCCTCCGTCCGTCCTCCGCCGCCCTCGCCGGCCGCCAGCCGCTTCAAGGGCACACCGGCTCGCGCCACCCGCTACTCGCTCCCCGTCCGCGCAGAGAAGCCTGTCCGTACCACAAAGACCAGCGGCAAGCACATCGTGCTCCCGAGCGAGAGCCAGCTCGCCCCGCTGCTGCCCCAGGAGGAAGAGGATGAAGACGACGACGACGATGACGACGACGACAGCGAGGACGACAGCGGCTCGGGCGACGACGACGACGATGCCGAGTCCGAAGCAGGCGCCGCCGTCCGCCCCGCCGTAGCTGGCGAGGCCAAGCCGACTGGTGCTTCCGCCCTCCCTACTTCGGACGGCGCATCGGGCGCGAAGAAGCCGCAGCTGCCCTCGGAGCCCGTGCTGCTCGGGGGCAGAGGAGCGGGCCATGACCTCGAAGCCGTATCCCAGGCGACCAAGCCTCCGGCGCGCAAGCCTGTCCCTGCTCCGCGAGCTGGCCCCACGATTCCGACGGCGCGTGGCCGCGAGATGGTCGCTCCAGTCGTTGGAAAGCTCGTGACTCCGGCCTCGACGCAGGCCGGACGCCGACCCGCCGCCTCCTCCGCCCTGGCGAGGGCTGCGGTGTCGTCGGTGTCCAGCGCCGCCGCCCGCGGCATCAAGCAGAAACCTGCCGCCACCTTCCGCGCGACGGGCGTCCGAGCTCCGCCGCTGAAGCCGCTCAGGAGCGGTCCCGTCTACCACACTTTCGAGCGCATGGCTCCGTCGGCACGCGTCATGACGCCGTTGCCCCGCCTGACGGCCTACAGCATCTCGTCGTCGATCCACCTCGGCACGCTGCTCGGCTTCCTGCGGCGCGAGCACGGCGTCAAGCCGCGCCTCTACGATGAGTGCGCCTACGCCGTGTACACCAAGCCTCTGCTCCCCGGCTTCGGCCGCGCCAATGTCCGCAGCGCGCCCGAGCCGAGAAGCGCCAGCCCGGGCGCCGAGAGTCGGCGCGAGCGCGAGCTCGAGGAGCGCGAGGAGTTCGGCTACGTCGGCACCTATTTCGAGCATCGCAGCGAAGAGGGCGACGACATCGACCCAGACGGCTACATCAAGGGCGGCGAGGGTCGAGGCAGCGAGAGCGAGAGTCGCCACGGGCACCGTCATCGCGACGGCGACGAGCGGCGGGAGGGGGGCGAGACGAGCGCGTGGGAGAGCGAGGCCGAGCACGGCCGCCGACGCCGAGACAGCGGCGGCCATCTCGAATCCGAGACCGACAACGAGCCGCAGAGCTACGATGGCGCAATGCGCGACCACTCAACCTCTCCTCGCCGTCAGCCGTACCACCTCGGCGGCGGCAGCGGCGGCGGCGGCGACGGCGATGAACGAAGCAACGATGCCAATCGCCAGCAGGACCAGCAACGCCAGCCGCAGCACGAGCGCACGCTGAGCAGCAGCTCGTTTGAGGAGGACGAGGCGATGCTGGCCACGCCGCTTGCAAGGCCGGTGGCAGTCGAGCGCCGCAGCGACGGCTCGGATCCCGAGGACGCCGTACGTCGACCGTTCCTGCTCGAGCGCAAGCGATCGGGAAGCCAGAGCAGCTCGGACCTCGGCGACTACTCGCGGTCGTGGCGCGACGAGGAGCAGCGCCGCTCCAATGCCAGCGACCTGACGGCCGTCGAGGGCGAGGTCACCGACCCGGACACGGCGGGCGCGCGCGACATGCTGATCCAGCAGCTGGCAGAGGAGATCGACGGGCCCAATGCGATTGCATCTTCGTACCGCAGCACCGACACGGTCCTGTCCGCCGAGCTGACCAGCGAGGCCGAGGAGATCCTTGCCGGGCCCGGCGGCGGCGGCTCGAGCCGGCCGAGCAGCCGACGGAGCAGGAGCAGGAGCGCGAGCGATGGCTCTCTGCGCGGCGGCGGCAACGGTGCCGATTCGCCGCTCGATGCGATCCCAGAGGGCGAGGTCCGAGCGCTGGAACAGCTCGTTCCCCTGCCGCCCGAGATGCCGGGCCGGCTGTCGCCATCGCACCGCACCTCTTCCAGGGACCGGCTGCGCCTCGACGACGAGGGCGAGGGCGACCGCGATCGCGAGCGGCGGGTGGCGTCGCCGAGCCGGCCGGAGCTGCCGCGCAAGAAGAGCAAGAGCCGGCGCAAGCAGCGCAAGCGCAACAAGTTCAGCGGGCCCAACATGGCGTCGCACAACCACGACACGTCGGCCAACATGCTGACGCCGCGGCCGATCCTCGAGGCGCTGCAGTCGGCCGAGCTCATCATCCTGCCGTACGGCGTGCTGGTGATGTACAACTTTACGGCGGCCGAGGAGCGCTCGATCATCGACGACGTGCTGTCGTCGGGCTGCGCGCGCGACATTATGGCCGAGGACGATCGCGAGACCGAGGCCTTTCACTTCTGCTACGACCCCAACATTGCGGCGCCGCGCATCTTCAACGACTTTTTCACGTTCCGGGCGCCCAACCACCTGCTCAAGCTGTCGCTGGCGCATGCGATTGCGCAGAGCACCAAGCTGAGCGTGTTCGAGGAGCGGATGCAGGACTCGCTCGAGGTGACGTCGCACATCCCCAAGGAGATGGCGTCGTCGGGCGAGCTGCGCCTCAAGCGGCGCGAGGCGCTGCGCCTGACGGGCCGCCTGTTTAAGCTGCGCGTCGACGTCAACCTCACGTCCAACGTGCTCGACACGCCCGAGCTGTTTTGGAGCGAGGCGTCGCTCAAGCTCCTCTACGACGCCATCCGCGACTACCTCGAGATCGACGAGCGCGTCGAAAACCTAAACGAGCGCCTCGCCGTCGCCAACGACTTGCTCGAGATCATCCACGAGCACATTGCCAACGCTGCCATGTCCAAGATGTGAGTCGTCGAGAAGAGGGCGGCGGCGGCGTTGAGCGCTTCGTCCCGGGGAAAAGCCAGTGAACACGAGTGCTGACAGACAGGGCGGCACCTTTCCCTTCCCTTCCTGTTCTTGCCTCGCCTCGCCTCGCCTCCCCGTCATCGTCCCACCCCGCAGCACCTGGATCGTCATCATCCTCATCGTCGTCGCATGCGCAGTGGCCGTGGGAGAGATTTCGGCCCGCTTCGTCGTCGGCGCCAACCGGACCGCCGAGGAAAAGGCCTTCCGTGCCGCCACTCGCTTCATGGTCCAGGGCCGATCGACGCTCTGAGCCGGATCGGGCCGAGTCGAGTCGAGTCGAGTCGAGTCGAGTCGAGTCGCGCACCCTCCGTCGAGGCCCAGCTCGACGCACAGCAACCTGGATCGTCTAGTCTCTCCCTCCACTACCCTGCCACTCTCAACCGCTCCTGTCAATCTGCCCCTGTGCCTTGCCGTCTTTCATGCATTCATTCCTTGATTTCGTTTTGCGCATCTGTCCCTCGTCCTCGACGACAACGACGACGACGACGCAAGCACGTCCCGCACCTAGAAGCGGGGATACCGCATCTCGATGTCGTTGTGGGCCCACTCCCTCTTCTCCCCGCCGTCCTGCGGGGCGCCATTGAACTCGGCGGCCGTCTGCGGCCCGCGACCCTGGGCCTTGACGACGTACTTGTAGATGACGAGTCCCTCGAGACCCACGGGTCCGCGCGCGTGCGTCCTGCCGGTCGAGATGCCGACCTCTGTGCCGAAGCCGTATCGGAACCCGTCGGCAAAGCGGCTGCTCGCATTGACGAACACATTGGCGCTGCTGAGCGACTGCGTGAACTTCTTGGCGGCCGGATGCTCGACCGGGCTCGCCATCTCGCCGCTAGCCCCCTGGGCGCCTGGCGTAGGGTTGTAGGTGGTGTGCGCGTCGGCGTCGAGGGGACGGCAGAGGATAATGTCGGTATGGTGCGACCCGTGCTCGTTGATGTGTCGGATGGCCTCGTCGACGTCCGAAACGACCTTGATGGCCAGATCGAGGTCGAGGAACTCGGTGTCAAAGTCCTCGGCCGTCGCCGCCACCACCTTGCCCACCTTGGCCGACGACGAGGAGGAGGACGACGAGGGGAGGAGCGAGAGCGACTGCGAGGCGACGGGGAGCGACTCGGCGTCGCAGTGCAGCGTCACGCCGACCTGGAGCAACGCCGACGACAGCGTCGTCCAGAGGCCCGAGGTGAGGTGCGAGCGGTGCAGCAGCAGCGTCTCGAGGGCGTTGCAGGCGGCGGGGTAGTCGGTCTGCGGAGAGGCAGAGGCGGACCGAAGAGCGAGGAGCGAGAAGCGAGGATGCAGCCAGGGCCGTCAGTCACGAGCACGAGCTGCAGGCCGAAGAGGGCACGTCGGAACCAACTCACCTTTGCGTCGATGACGGTGGCGACTGTCATCTCGACCTCGGCGTCCTCGTGAACGTAGCCCGCGCAGAGGCCGTCGGCGTGGCCCATGACGGGCATCCTGGCCTCGCGCTGGATGGAGCGGACCAGCTCGTTGCTTCCGCGTGGGATGACGAGGTCGACGTACCGGTCCTGGTGCAGCAGCGCGGCGACGTCGCCTCGGGTCTCTACCGTCTGGACCAGGTCGCTGGGGAGCGGGGTGGTGGCGAGCGCGGCGGCCACGACCTTTGCCATGACTGCTGCGGTGTGCTTGCTCTCCTTGCCCCCCTTGAGGATGGCGGCGTTGCCCGACTTGATGGCGAGCGAGGCAATGTTGATGATGACCTCGGGACGCGCCTCGAAGATGCAGAGGAGCACGCCGATGGGGCAGGTGAGGCGGTAGAGGTCGAGCGCGCCCGACTTGGACGTGGGTTCGGCGAGGCGCTTGGCGTAGGTGCAGACGTCGAGGGGCGAGGGCAGAGCTGCGACGTCCGATACGCCCTGGAGCATCGACTCCCACTTGCCCGGCTTGGAAAAGAGGTCGAGGCGGGAGGCGAGCGAGGCGGACAGGTTGCCGGCGGCGACCTGCTCGTTTGCGAGGCGCATGTCCTCCTTGTTTGCGGCCTCGATCTCGTCGCGGGCATCCTGGAGGTGGGCGCGGATCTGCTCGAGTGCTGCGCTGCGGGCCTGGTCGGCGGCGGCGCCCTGGGTAAGACGCTGCTGTGCCTCTTCAAAGGCGTGCTTGGCGCGCCTGGCGATCTGTTCGGCATCAACGGACATGGTGCAGAGGGCGGCAGGGTTTAGAGAGGGGAGGGGAGGGGAAGAGGCGGCCCGTATGCGTGCGGCCGGTACGATGATGGTGGGTCGAGGAGAAGAGAGGAGAGAGAGAGAGAGAGGTGGCTCGAGTCAGCGACAGCGTCGAGCAAGAAGACGGCAACCCTCGGGGTCTTGGACGGCCAAACGCCCCGAGGCTCAGGCGCCCACGCATGTGAGAGGTGGGGAGGGCACATCGGGGGCGAGAGAGCGATTCCTCGCTCGCCCCCATCCCCGATGCGCTCGGTCGTGTCGGGTCCGAAGCGCGTTTTTCTTCTTGGCCGCGGCAGAGGCTGCGCCGTCGTCACCATTTCGGGTGACCCTCTCTCCACCTCTCGACTGCGCTCCTTCTCTTGTATGCTCTGACCCCCTCGCTACCTCCTCCCCAACCCAACACAGCACAGCGGGCACAGCCTTCAACCATGCCTCGCACGTCCCTCCTCGCCGGCCTCGCCGCATCCTCGCGCTCCAGGATGCTCCGCCCCTCGACGCCGCGCATCTTTTCGGCGCCATCGGTCAGCAGGCAACCCTCCTCTTCTCGCCTGCTCGTCCAGGCAACAGCACCGACAGCACCGACAACGCCAACGCCAGCGGTATCGGCGCATCCTCGCACTCCCGGGGCATCCACGTCGCTCCTGCGCTCCTTCAACTCGCTCTCGCTCTCCTCTGGCGTCGCGCGGTCGGCCGCCTCGCCCCTCTCGCTCCTCTCCGCCCTCTCCCGGCCCACCCTCTCCTCTTCCTCGTCGACCTCCCCCCTTGCAACTGCCACCGTCGCATCGGCGAGGTCGGTCACTTACGGCTCCGAATACCAGCCCTCGCAGAGGATCCGAAAGAGGAGGCACGGCTTCCTCGCTCGCATCAAGACCAAAAACGGCAGGAAGACAATCGCCCGGAGGAGGGCAAAGGGCAAGGCCAAGCTCAGCCACTGAGGAGCTCGAAGCTCGCGGCTCGATGTGACACAGATCAGCCACCTCGACTCTTCTGTGGGGACCTGGCCTGCATCTCAACTGCGACAACTTTGCAGCGTCTCGGGCGCACGATGGAATCTGGGGATCAGTGCGCTGCCCGGACGGCGTCCCGACATGGTTGAGCGCTGATTCGTTCGGCTGCTTCGATCGGCAAAGAGGGCATCCCGCATGTCCTGCGATGAAGGACCACCGACATTCGGCAATCGCGTCGAGCTGTCTTGCCCTCTCGACCTGCGCTTTCGACGGTGCTGCGGCTGCAGGCTCTCTCATGTCGACTCGCCCCTCTGGCCACCTTTAAAATCCGGTCGGCAAGCAAGTCAACGACGGCATCCTCGTACGGTCACTCTTTCCTCCGGCCACCGTCCTTTCCCTCGTGGCTAGGCTCGCATCCACGCAACACCCCGTTTCCTTACGACCTGTACATACCTCGCCCCAGCACCAGAACATCGCTTCACTTCGCCTAACCGCCGGGTTTCCTCGTGACGTCTTTGCCGCGCTGCTGCAGCGGACATGGCACGCGGTGCACTTCCTTGGCCGCACATTGATCTGTGCCGTTCGCGGCGCGGCTTGCACCGATTGAAAAGGGCCGCCGCGTGGCTCAGTCGCCATCCCGCACGTGCGAGTCCTGTCCTGTGGCCTCGGCGCGATCCGACGTCGTCGTCCGGCGATGATATCTTCAACTTGGAGTGTGCTGGCACTGCCGGGCCTCAAGGAACTTTGTCGTGACGGCCACAGTCTCCGTCTTGCGAACGCGACCTGGCCCCCGAGGTGCTCTTTGGAACGAATGTCGCCTCGATTATCGGCCTCCTTTCCACCGTCTCGCCGCGGCGGGTAGACTTGCTTTCTTCCTTCACCACCAGTCTCTTTGCTCCTCGAGTCCGCAGTCAAGGCTACATCCTTCATCAACTTCTCATATTCACATCGGAGGCAAGGCCCACCTCGTCGCTCGGCATCGTCTTCGGTCCCGACGGGTAGAGACGGAGGCGGATCCGAAAGCCCTCACTCACCCACCAGCCGTGCCGTCCAGCCGACCGACGCCGAAGTGACAACCCCGACCTGAACCCTTGCGTCGTTGTCGTTCTCTGACTGCCGCCCCGTTCCTTGTTACACGACAACCGGCCACTTTTTTTCCTTCCTCCTTCCCGTCCCGTCTGCGTCCTGCCAAGAATGAGATGGTCAGCATCGTTTGTCATGGCATGACCTAGGCGAAGCATCCATGCCACTCTAGTCAGCCGGCGCTTCTGATGTTCACCACTGCTGGTACCGTACTGTACCGAATTCGAGCGGTTGGTCGGGGCGTTTGTTAGAGGGGCAACCTTCCCCTCACCTGAGCGATCGACGATCGGGTTGCAACGTCCAGGAGTCTTCGTCACTTCCCATGGGGCCTACCCAGCCGGCTACTAACCGCCTCTTGTTTCGCGGCAAGCCGGGTGCATAGCTGGGACAACGAGGAGACCTTGCTTGCCCGAGCAGACAGGCCGGCAGGCAAGCAAGCAGATTGCATCTCGCTGTATGTACAGTACTGTACAGTACCCTGGGCCGACCGCATGTCGCCTCTCCCTGCGCGCGAGCTGCGATTTGCGCCAAATCTTCTCACCGGTCTGCAGCGCTCATCACGTCGCTCATGCCAAGATGGTGCAAAAGCTTGCTCGTCGCAGGGTATGTCTGTTTGTACATATGTATATACGCTTCGGTCCGGATCTGCATCAGCCGCGTCCTCTGACAGGTCATCTGGCCGACAACGGGGCAGGGGGGGGCGAAGAATCGAGAGGCGAACGGGGGATGCCAGATGCGATTGCCGACAGACAGGTTCACCCGCCTTGCGTGCACCTTCCCGCCGCCGCGGCCCCCAACCTTGCTGCGGGTACGGAAAGAAGGGACGATAGAGAGAGTGACAGGCAGGTAGGCTGGGTCGCGAGCTCGATTCGGCAGGGGAGCAACCGACGGCGCGACGTCGACCAGGAGGCGGGCGCGAGGAAGGTTGAGCGGCAGACAGAAGGGGAGGGGGAGACCCTTGCAGATGGGTGCGCAGGCGGGGCAGGCAGGGCGTGCCTCGCGATCTCTTTCTCGCCAATGCTGCCTCGCTCGCTCCTGCTCCTTCCGACAGCTGACTCGCTCCGTGTCTCCTCTCGTAGACGCTTGCAGACCCCTCTCACCTGATGCTCGCCTGAAGGGAGGGCAGGCAGGAACGGTCCAGTAGGGTCGCGACTCGTGGTGGCGACTGATGGGGTCGAGAGGGACGCGGTTGGCTTGCAAGCCGGAGCGACGAGAGTTCCGGACGGAAGCTTCGCGCTTGCCGTTCGGGGTGGCGGCCCGCTCTGCTCTTTCGTCCAGAGGCTGGCGACGTGGCCGTGCGGGCTCGACATGCCAGAGGCCCCTAGAGCCTCGGTCTGCTCGGCGCTTCGCGGGCTAGGCATGAGAACCCCAGCTGATCAGCCGGAACGGCTTCGCTCCGAGGGTTGCCATGGCCACCCACCGCAGGCTGAACCTCCGGCGACAACTTACTGTAGATCCCCCGGTGCGGTCTCGGGGTGGCGGCGGCGGCGGCGGCGGGTTGTCTACTGTAGACCAACGGCAACGCGTCGGCGAGCGCGTCGTTGTCATCGTCAAGGTGACGGCAACGTTGCCCGATGTGCGTGTCCGAGGGGCCTGGCCTGCCTCGCGGAAAAAGCCACGCGCGCGGACGGGCTTCGGGATGGAAGGAGTGGACTTCGGACTGCGAAACAAGACTCGGACCGCAGCGATGGGAAGGGAACGTCGGCCCAGTCTGGCATGCGGCGGCCGGTCGGCCTCGATGGCTGGCAGCAGCTGCTATAGGGGTCGCGAGCCTGGGGGCCGAGAGGCGTCGGGCGAGGGGCGGGCGGCAATCGAGCAAGCTAAGGGGATGGCCGGTCCACGGCGTCCGCCCGCCCGCCATCAGCACTCGGCGGACCCTGGTCCTCGACGCATGAGCGTTGGACCTGCATCGGGTGAAGTCGAGTTGCCGTCTTGGCTCCCGCGCCCAGTCGGCCAGACCAGGAGAGGTGGGCATCCGGCTGCGGCGAGACCACCTTCGTTGTACTGCGACGACGCCCGACGAGAGGTGGGGCGGGCACCAAGAGCGACTTCAGAGGCTCTCCATCAGCTCAGAGATACGGCTCGACCAGACAGACACACAGGGCCGACTCGACTTTGCGCTTCCAAGTTCGCCGGCCCTGTGCCCAATCGACTTGGCTCGACGCGCGCGCCATGGCATCGGTCGGCACGCAGGCCACATTCCTTCGTCGGGATCGACGTCGAAAAAAACCTTAGCTCTGATCGGGCACAGTCATGGTCACAGAGGAGAGGATACGCCCTGCTCGATGGAAGGCGCGCACATGGCAAGTCAAGGCAAGGCAAGGCCTGTCAGACCCTTTGCACGTTTGGGCACGCCATGCCATGCCATGCCTCGCCTTGCCCGCCGATCGTTTGACATTTCGAGACCGTGTCTGGCATCGTGTGGCGATCAACCTCCTCGCCAGACACGCCTGCCTGTCGCCTGTGCAATTCGCCGATCAAAGTATGTACTGTACTGTACGGCTGTCGCAACCTGTTTGACATCGGACGCAAGGGCGGCGCGACTAAGCGCTTGAATCCGCATCCTCGCCCTCTTTTGTCGATCGATCGCTGATCGCGGTGTCTCCCGAGGCAAGGCAGGCCTCCGGGCCTCGTCATGACGCGAGCGATATGTACCGATCCGTTGGGTCGCGGACACGCTTCCAATAGATACGCCTACAGCCCCGATCCGTCGCAGGACGCCGAGTCGGGCAGGACAGGCAGGCGTCCAGACGGGACAGGCGACGCAGATTCGAGGGGAAGCCTGTCAGGAGGTCCACCGGCCTTCGTGAAGTCTGATCCGCCTAGGGCGAACAAAGATCGCGATCGGGGCAAGACGAGAGACCCCTTCCACCTAGACGAGAGATGCCCATGACAGGTTCCCGGCGCATGTCTCGCCCGACCCCATCGACGACCTCCTGGCCTGGTCTAGCCAACTTCGGCTGATGGTTCGTTCGTCGGAGCGGGGAAGTGGGTGTGCCACTTCGGCCTCGACGATGGCCAACCTCCAGCGACGTTGACGACGACCAACGGTGCGGAGCCGGCGTTCAAGCTCCATGATGGACGGCGGACTCGATTGAATTTCAATTTCTTGCCCTCGTCGACGACGACGGCCCGTAACTTATGTATGTATGTACCCATACCGTGCGTGCATGTGTGTGCTTCGGAGACGGCCTTGTCCTGGGAACCTCGTCTCGGTCTGTCCCGCGCGCGGAACCTCGGCCGCACTCTACCCCACGCTGCAGAGCGGTACACGCGGTTTCCGCCGCCTCGCTGCAGCGAGAGTCCGCTACTTTTATCCGGCTTCACTCGTTGGATCATCGAGGACCGCGCCGCACCGCTTGCTACCGGTGTGACCGCTCGACCTTCGCCGATGGGAGAGGCTCGTCTACCATGAAGGTGGCGTTTGAGAGTGCCTCGACGACATGGTGCTGTAGCGGAGCTGTGCATTGGGCTGATTCGCTTCTTGACGAACAAAAAAAGAGGAGGATTGAAGCTTTCACCTGACTGCGGACTCGACAATCGGGCTGCACGCCTCTGCTGGGCCTTGCATAGAGCACAGTGCGCGTACACACCGCCGGCGTATACGTACAGGAGTTACTGTACATACAGTAGGTGTGGTGCGCCCCATGCTTACGCCTATGGGTCGGGCCTCGACGAACGGATCCCGCTTGTGCTCCCCTTTACCTACCGCAGCTGCGCTTGTGTCGACATGACGCCACTTCCGGCGGACAGAGGCAGGCGCAAAGCGCTAGCTGATATGAAATGAGGTCGGTCGCCCGCGCCCCCGCTGTCGTCACCAATCGGCCATGGCAGCGATGCGCTTGCCTACACTACTATGTACATACATACGCTTGCGGCACGCCATGTCGGCAAGTCGTCGAGAGAATTCGTGTTGGAGGCTGGGTCGATGGACCCGGGCTAGCTGTTTTGCGCCACCATCGGCCAGGGGCCGTCTGAATGTCTCACCTTGCCATTCTGCGCACCATCAAGGGCCCGACCACTGCCCGCCGGATGAAGCAGGCGCATCGCCCAGGCCAGTTCAGACTGGGCGCAAGACACTCTGGTTCACCGATACCTACAGTAACGACAACGCAGCGATGCAGTACCTACAGTACGTGCCGGCATGCTCTAGGATGGAGGAGGTCTACCGGTAACTCCTTGTGGTCGCCTGCGATTCCTGATATTCGGACAACGTGTGTCGGGCTGCGCCGAGGCGGTAGCGCAGCGCGTGCTACGCAGTCGATGTCTCGCAAGATCCGTCTGGGGCGTCGCGTCGCAACGTCGCCAGCCAGCAGGCCTGGCAGGCAGATAGCTCGCCTGGCGAGGCTCAGGTTGGCGGGCAACCAGGCTGCACCACCTGGATACGTGCGTGGTCGTCTCGTTGATCCGTGCGTCGTTGGCACCTCGGCAACGCCCCGGCTTTTGAGCTTCGACCCTGGCCCTGACCTGGTCGTCGCAGGCCATCACCATGACCGAGTAATGAATCGGCTCCTCGACGGCTATTCGATGGCGGCCAGCATGACCTTCCGCGCAACCGACAACGACGGTATGTTTCTCGCCACACCTCTCAGAGGCGAGTTGTGCAGAAACACACCGCCGGCCAGGCTTCATGCTTGGCGACCCATTCGGTCCTCACGCTCTGACCCGCCTCGCCTGTATCCGACGTCGACTGTATGTATCGTCCTGCTGACCAGCACGTAGCCGGCGTCGGCTGATCAGGGAAACCTGGCGAAAGGGGTCCTTGTGTCGGAGCGACATGCTGACCCCTTTTGCCAGGTCGATCGTGGGCTTTGCTGCGGCGAATCCGAGGCCGCCATGACGGCGCCACCACCATCGTGAGGGGGGAGGGGGGAGGTTCGCCACCCGTCGGATCGATGCATTCGAGGGATCCTCGCCCCTGCCTGCCCGCCTGCCTGCCCGCCTGCGTACCTGGCTGGATTCTTCGACCAGGGGCGCCGATGCCATGTCGAGAGGCGGCTTGTGCGTGCCTGTATGTAGTCCGTACGGAGCGGCCGAGCCTGGGATCGAGAGCCCGAGAGGCAGGAACGCAGCCCCAAGGCGACGCGCCGACGACGCGGTGCAAAAGTCATACGCACCACAAGTGGCCGCTTCGGCTCGGAGTTGGCGCGGGTGGGTTGCACGCAAGCAGAGGCTAGGCTAGGCCAGGGAGCAACAGCAAGCAAGCTAACGAGTGTAGGGGTCCACACAGACGACGGGCTCAGCCTGCAAACACCGACCAAAGCTTGACAACCAACGGCGAGGCAGGTTGAGATTCAAAGCGGCGGCCTGCCTAGCGATATCGGGGAGAGCTGCCGTCGTATGTACATAGAGATACCGTTGCCTCGCACCGCCCGCTCGTAAGCAGCTTGCATGAGAGCCGACCTCACCCACCGAGTGGACGCGAAGAGATATCCAACCGGTGATTTCGTTGGAGACGAAGCAGGTGCTCGACGACGAAATGCAGAGTGAGCGCCGCAACGAACGGACTGGGAGGACCGAGTCAAGAACAAGCAGCAAGAAGCTTGCGATCCAGCAGTCGCCTCGGGGCGGGCCGACGCTGTCCATGCTGATGACGCCAGGAGGAGAGCGCGGGCACTCTTGCGGGCTCGAGAACGAAGCGGCATACAACCCACGCCACCAACGCGCCAACCAAGGAGGCCAGGCTTGTCGGGCCTACTTACCTGCTCTCGAGGACACCAAGGTTGTCCACGGCGGTGGCGGCAACGAAGGTGTTCTAGGCTACGGCCGAAGTTCGCAGCGATAGAGGCTAGCGGGACGAAATGGGAGGCGAGAACGAGGTACACAGCGTTCTGCAAGCAGGCACGAGATCGGCAAGTGACCCTTGCCCGCCCGCTGCCCGCCAGCGGGTGGGAAGCTGTTTGTGCGTCGCTTCGGTCAGGATCCTTGCCCTCCTTTCGACGACAGACCTCGACGGCATTACTGATATTGCTCCTGTGCAAAACTGGCCACCTTGTTCCCTTTCGATGCTCAGATCAAGGCAGAGGCAGGGAATCTCCCCTGCTGGATCGATGAGCGATGTCGGACGGACGGACGGACGTCGGCGCCGTCTCCGACGCAACCCCGACCCTAGGGCAGCCACTTGCGTCGTCGTCGTTCGATACAGCGCAGGACGGGTGCCCAACAGCCCCCCCCTGTATGCCCCTTCTTCTGGACATGGCTCGCCCTCTGGCTCGCTTCCCCGGATCTCACTTGCTCTATCTCCCTCTTGCCCTCAAAGTCACGCCCGAGGTACAGCCTGGGCAGCTACACCACCGCCGCATGGGTTGGTGTAGGAAGAATGCACACATGCCTGCCTGCCTGTTTGCCTGCCTGCCTCTTTGAGCTCGCCCGTCATCGGCTCTGTTCGTGAAGATCGAACGGCATGGCGTCCCCTTTCTTCCTAGATCCTCTTAGCGCTCCTTCCGCCTGCTCGCAAGTCGCAGCAGAGTCTCGTGCGTGCTACCTGGAACGTGTGTGTGACCTGCTGCTGCTGCCGCTGCCGCCGCTGCCGCCTGGCGCTCCGACGAGGCCGGCGACCGCCCGGACCATGGAACTAGTCGTCCATCCGCGGCCATCGAAGGGATGCCAGGACCACCGACAGAGGCTAGGCACTTGGCTACCTGGGCCCTTGGCACTCCGATCTTATGCTGCATCCCCTCGACGCCCGCGCCGCTTGGCCCCCTCTTTGGGGGCTTTGGCGAGTGTCCGGCACCATCACGCCTCGCTTCTTTGGCTCCGCCTGCGTCGTCCTTCGCTTCATGCATTCCGCAACGGCCACCGCACCTTCCGGCCCCCTTTGCTACCTACCTTTCCCCTGTCCCTCTCTCCTCCTCCCCCCCCCCCCAGCGCGAGCCTGATACCGCACATACCGGCAAGGCCAAGAACATGGGCGCCTTCCATTAGCACCTGAGCTCCTCTCCCACCCAGTCTTCACCACCACCCCGCCTCCCTGCCGTCCACCTCTCACCGTTCTTCGCATTCATCGCCGTCCCCTTCTTCCCTTTGCTCTTCAACACCATCCAGTCCCCTTGCTCAGCGCGCCCCTTGGACCACCATCGCCATCGTCACCACCACCACTGCCACAACGACGACGACGACGACGACGACGACGACGCCGACGCCGACAACGTTGCACCACCACGCTCCTTCCGCCAATCACCAAACGGATCCTGCCGCCCGAACCGCGTACCCCCTGCATGGCGACCGCCAAGCTCACGCTCACCGTCGTCGACTTCATCGCGCCCTGACCATCGAGCTAGCTGATTGCTCGAACCCGCTCCGCGACGAAAAGGTTGTTCAGCGCCGGTAGCTGCTCTTTCTTCTTCGCCTGCCATCCCCGGTGCTCCCCGGTACTTCGCCTGCCTGCACCTTGACCATCCCCAAGTACATCGACCTTTGCTCCGCTCCGCTGCACAGCCCGCCCCCGCTTCTCTCCTCACCCTCTGCGGGACACCTTCGTCGAAGCCGCTTCGGAACTCCTTGGCCTCTGCAGCGACAGCATCCCGGATCATTGCCATGTGAGTCGAACAGGGCAATCATGAATGCAACCCACCAGCAGCTGGCGTCACGCTTCGGCGCCCTCCAGCAATCTTACACCCGCCCATGACTGACACGGATCACGCCCCTGGTCATCTCGCTCCCACCCCCTGCTGCAAACTCCTGGCAAGCAGTTTCGATCACGCCCGCGCCGTCACAATGCTCGCCGCCGCACCACTCGCGCGGCCCGACATGACACAACCGTCGCCACCGCCACCTACCAAGGATCGCGAGTTCTCGTGGCGTGACATGGATTGCGACGACGACGATGACCACCGCATTAAGCTCGTCGATGACGGTGCCGCTACCCACCACGGCGACGAGCCGCTGGCATCCTACTTTGGCATGATGCCGTCGCTTTCGAGCAGCTCGATCGCATCCTCGGTCACCAGCAGCGGCACCGCCGCCGAAGCCGAGCCCGAGTTGAGCCAGTCTCTCGGATCCACATCGAGCTTCGACCTGCGAACGCCGCTCAAGCAGTCGCAAGCTCACAACCACAACCTTGTTCAGGCCAACGCGGGCCTACAAGGTTTCCCGATCGCCTACCCTACAATCGAAGCCAAGATGCCCTCCAGCCTCACCAATCTGCCCAGTGGCCGCGTTGTCAAGCCGTCGGCCACCTCAACCCTCTCTCGCAGCCACGACGCATACTCTGAACAGCAGCTCGCGGAAGGCGCCGAGTGGCGGCTGCCATTCGGCGGAGCGGCCCCCATGACCCCGGCCAGCGCCAGGAACGATGGTGCCGGCGCCGGTGGTGGTGCCGGCAGCAACTTTGGCCTCGACGACGATCTCTCGCCGACTCGCACATCGAGCGCAACGACTGGCCGTGACTCACAGCCATCGTCATCGTCCATGTCGGCCAGCTCCTCGCCGATGTCCAAGATGCACACGCACCGGCCTAAGCTCTCACTTCCCTTGCTGGCACCGTCTGCCTTTTCACGTCCCAACATCCCCCAGACTCCCGGAGGATCGCTCTGCCTCGGCGCTCGGGACGGCGCGGCGACGGGTGCGCCCATGAGCCCCTTTGTGCCTCCGACGCCCCTGGTCGCCTCGGTATTTAGCAAGGACGCAACCAGCCGTCAGGGCTTCTTTGACGGCACCTGCGGCGACTCGGCCTCGGACACGTCGCCCTCGCCGACGCTGCAGAAGCGACAGAGCATGCCCATGGCCGTTTCCACGCCCAAGCAGCCGCGGCTCACGCACATCCCCCTCCAGCGCCACGGCTCGATCGGGATGTCGCCTCTGTCGTCCGAGTTTGCCAACGTCAGCATGCGCGCCGACTCCCGCAGCAGCGACCTGATGTCCTCGGAAGCCGCCACCGCCCGCAGCAGCTCGACCGTACGCACCGCCTCGCTCGGCGTCGAGGCATCGCCCTCGGATGCATCGACATCGTCCAAGGTGCACACACCGCCCTACTCGCCCCTCTTCCTCGGCCGAAGCCTGCAGGACGGCAGCTGCTCTCCCGGTCGCCTCAGCAGCACGAGCAGCGGCATTGGGGGCGCCAGCATCTCGAGCAACAGCAGCAGCAGCAAGAAGCGTGCCAAGGACGCCATCCTCGGAGGCGGTGCCGGCATGGCTCGCTCCTTCAGCGCGTCTCGAATCAAGACGAGCAGAGCCAAGGCGGCGCCGAAACCTTTCAACCTGACCAGGCCGACCATTGTCCAGAGAGCGAGCTCCTCGGCGCAGCAGCAGCCCATGTCGGCGCCCTTGATGAAGATCTCCTTCTCCGAGCAGCAGCAGCAGCAGCCGCAGCAGGCGCTGGGGCCGGTGCCAGAGATTCGCGGTGCCATCATCGACTCGCCAGGACAGGCTTCGGTCGTGCCACCGGTCCCCTCGCCGTCGCTGCTGTCGCCGCACACGGTCGCCTCAAAGCCGCTGCACGGCGGTGCGCCCATGGAGAAGTCGTTTTCGGCGCCTCCGAAGCCGGCGCAGACGGTCTCGGCGCGCCACCTCGCCAACCACCGGCTGCACCCGATCTTTGCAAAGTCCTACACCATCCGCGACGAGCTGGGCAGCGGCGGCTTCGGCTTCGTCGTCTCGGCCACGCGCAACGCCGACAGGATGCCCGTCGCGGTCAAGTTCATCTTCAAGGAAAAGGTGCCCGCCCACGGCTGGGTGCGCGACCCCAAGCTGGGCGTGATCCCGATGGAGGCGTTCGTGCTCAAGGTCGTCGACCACCCGGGCGTGGTCAAGTTCATCGACCTCTTTGACGACGACCTCTACTTCTACCTCGTCATGGAGCTCCACGGTACGCCCTGGAAGCAGCCGACGGCGGCGGCGGCAGCGGCGGCGGTAGAGGCCGAGGCGCTCGCCAGCACGCAGCTCGACTCGGGCATGGGCGCAGGTCACCCGGGACCCGCGGCGATGCAGCGCCGGACGTCGTGCGACCTGTTTGAGTGCATCGAGCAGCACTCGCGCCTGAGCGAGGAGCAGGCGCGCTGGGTGTTTGCGCAGGTCGTCGAGGTCGTCTGGCACCTCGACCGCGCCGGCATCTGCCACCGCGACATCAAGGACGAGAACTGCGTCGTCGATGCCGACTTCAACGTCAAGCTCATCGACTTTGGCAGCGCCGTCATCACCGACGTCCGCAAGCCCACGCCCTACTTTAACCGCTTCTTTGGCACCATGACGTTTGCCAGCTCCGAGATCCTGCAGGGCAAGCCCTACCGCGCGCCGCACGCCGAGATCTGGAGCCTGGGCGTGCTGCTCAGCATCCTCCTCAGCGGCGAGTGCCCCTTTGCCGACCCGACGGCCGCCATCAAGGGCAGGATCTCGAAGCCAAAGGGAGCCTGGTCGCCCGAGGCCCTCAGCCTGCTCTTTATGTGCCTCGAGGTCAACCCGGACGCCCGCGCCACCATCCAGCAGATCCGGGCGCACCCCTGGGTCAGGCGAGCATGGACCGACCGCGGGCGCCTGTGAGGCGCGCAGCGCCTCGCCCCGTCTTGCCTTGCCTTGCCTTGCCTTGCCGTGTCGCAAGTCGCCACTCCCATCGTCGTCTAGACGCAACCCGCCCGCCGAGCATCCACCCGACCCCAAGACTGCACCAGCATCGCCCCCCGGACTCTCTTTCAAGAACGTCTCAAAAGATACCTGTCACCCAATCAACAGCATCGACCCCCGACCTCGCCTTTCGGACACGTCGCCCGGCTTTTGCCCCTCCTCGATCTCGTCTGCAGTCCCACCCTACCCGTCGAACAGGGCACGCCGTCCTTCGACTGCCGATCGGACCTCGGACCTCGTCCTGCCCGCGACGCCTCCCCTGACCCTCTAATCACGTTATCGATCCCGTCCACACAGAGACGGCTCTGCTTGCCGGCCTCTACGTCTCCCCCCCCCCCCCCCCCCTGCTCCATCCTCGTCCGTCCAGGACAATCGCATCTCTCCTTCCCCCGAACGCTTCCGTCTGACCCTACACACGCCGTCACGCTTCATCTATCGCTTCCCGTCTGTCCCAGTCTCTGGCCCGCTCTTCCCGCTCCGTTCGAATCATCTACTGTATCGTATATAACCGCCGCTCGAGCCCCCATCTCTTATCTCGCTCTCGCTCTCGCTCTCGCTCGCCCTCTGTGCGCCTCACGCTGGAGGTGAACTCAATCCCATTCCGCAACACTCGTTTACATTCTCCTCGAAATCGCTCCAGTCTGCCCAGCCTCGATCTCGCGGAAGAGGGGACACCGTGACCGTCTAGACGCGGATGCTGGCAACGCCCTTCTGGATACCGGCGACACTGGCGCCGCCGCTGACGGCAAAGATGCACAGGCGCCCATCGACGCCGCTGGTGCTGATGCTCTCGACGGCGTCGCGGCCACCGCTGTAGGGTCGCACGCTCGTAATCGTGTTCTGATGCGTGGTGTGCAGCTCGCCGTCGGCTCCGACGCTGGCACCGGCAACGGCGCCAAGGTGACCGGCGATGCTGCCTCCACCGCCCGCACCGGCACCGGCACCGGCACCGGCGCCACCGGCAGCGGCAGAGGGGGAGGAGGAAGAGCCGCGGCTGTCGGCCGACTTGAAGCGGTTGAAGGCCTCGTTGTTCAGGCGGCCCACACCGGCACCCGCACCGAGACCGGGCGCCTTGGGCGGCGGCGGCGGGGGAGCGCCCTTGGCAGCGGCGGCACCGGCAGTGTCGAGCGACTTGACCAGCGTCCAGCCCGACGAGACGTCGCCCTCGAACAGCACCGGCTGGCAGTCGTGGCCGGCGGCGATGAGCTGCGTCTCGGAGATGAACGTCAGGGTGACATAGGGCAGCGTGGGCGAGCGGACGACGTGGACGGCGTGCGGCGCCGTCTCGGGACCCGAAGGGTATACGACGGTGAGCGAGGAGTCGTGGCCTGCACGAGGGGATGCAGCAGAGCGGAGATAGACGTTGTCAGCAAGGCGAGGGCGCGGGAAAGACATCAGGTGCCACCACTCGAATTACGCACCGACAAAGGCGAGCGCATCGCCGCTAGGGCTGAACGAGACGCCGTGGACCCATCCGCCAGCGGGCGTGCCGTACTCGCCGCAGACGGTGCCAAAGGGCAGCCTCTCTCCCCACACGCTGGGCGGGGGCTTGGCGTCGATGCCCTTGATGAAGGCGCTGAAGACGCGGGCCTTCATGTCGGCGCAGCCGGCGGCGAGGAGGACATTGTTGGGGTGCCAGTCGAGCGAGAGGATCGTGGAGCGCAGGGGGCGCTTGATGTGCTTGGCGACCCACCAGTCGTTGTCCTCCTCAAAGGAGCAGATCGACACGATGCGGGCGCCGCTGGCGACGGCGAACTTGTCTTCGTTGGGGCTCCACCGCACGAATGTGGCGGCGCGGTTGAGACGGAGGAGGACCAGCGTGGGCTTCCAGACCTGAGCGCCGGTCTGGGCGTCGGGGGTGAGCTGCCAGACGTAGGCGTTGCGGTCCTGGGAGCAGGTGACGAGGCGGTTGGACTGGGGCGCCCAGTCGATGCCGGTGACGAGCTTGTCGTGCTCCGACAGGGTGTGCTCCAGCGTCCAGCCCGAGGGCGATGCGGCGTAGATGAAGACCTCGTTCGAGTTGGGCGAGACGGCCACCTTGGACCGGTCGGCGTTGAAGGCGTGGGCCGTCAAGGGGCCGAGCGAGAGCTGGTGGACCTGCTGTGCCATGGCGGGCGAGTGGTGGTCGGAGCAGGTGAAGGGTGTCGGTAGAGTACGGAGCGGTGGTGTTGGAAGTTCAGGATGCCGTCGAGGACTAGCAGTCGACTCTCTGGCAGAGTTGGTGGATGCGATGCGGTGGGATGGCGGTGGTGGTGGTGATGGTGGTGGCAGGCGAAGAGGCGGTGGACGGAGAGCGGATGTCTGCAGCCATCGGTCATCGCACGCCCGCGCCCGACGGTGGTCAGTGCATGGGTCCGGCCCACTGGCACCAGCAGCGTTTTCGGCCGACAGGCGAGGAGGCTCAAAACGTCACGTCGCGTATTTTCATTTTCGTAAAGATCATGGAAACAAAAACCCGGGAGAGATACATCGCGGTCGGTCAACACAACGTGGCTGGTCGTAGTCATGAGTACAGAGGAAGGCGGAAGGTCGGAAGGCAGGGAGGTGGACAAGTGAAAAGGGGAAGCGTCGGCCGTGGCAGATCGTTTAGTGGGCGTCCTTGGTGACGGTGTGAACCTGGGGACCCGACACCTCGGTCTTGGAATTCTTTTCGTCGTACGAGCCCGTCTCGAGGTCGTCCGAGAGGTTCTTGTGGTGCGGCACGGGGCCGTCGACGGCGGCCGTGGCGGCGCTGACGGCCTCGAAGTGCGATCCCTTCCTCTCGGTGCCGAGGGCGACCCAGACGGCAATGCCGAGCGCGATGATGGCGGTGGCAATGGCCATGGTCGGGCCAAAGGCCTGCGTCCTCTTGCCGTTCGGGTTGGTGTAGTAGTGGCTCTCCGAGATGGCGGTGACGATCTGAGCCGAGGGCGACGAGATCATGTTGCCGATCTGGTACGCGATACCGGGGAACGAGGCACGGAAGGCCGGAGGCGACAGCTCGTTGAGGTGGACGGGGATGACACCCCAAGCGCCCTGGACGAAGAACTGCAGCATGAAGCCGCCGGCCATCAGGCCGCCGAGGCTCTTGGGCAGAATCCAGGCCGGGATGAGAAGGCCAGACATGACGGCGGCGAGGACAATCGTGCGGCGGCGTCCAAAGAACTGCGAGATGTAGCCGATGATCGTTCCGCCCACGCAGGCACCTGTCTTCATCAGGATACCTGCAAGGCTCGACTGGTTCTTCGTGTAGCCCATTCCGACCTCGATGAAGACAGCGTAGTTGTCCTGCGTTTTGAGAGCAGACACGAGGCAGCGAGCAAGGAGGGGGAAAAATAGCGGGAGATTCTGGTAAGTAGACGTCCAAAATGAAGGCTTCAAAAAGGGAGATCGTTTGCTCGCCTGAGTGGTGTGAGAAAAGTAGTTGAAGAGAGCCATGAGGACGCAGCAGTAGACCATCATCTTCCACTGGGTGCGGAAGACGGTGCCGACCTGGCTCCGGAAGGCGCGAACGCCGCCGCCGCGTCCGTTTTGTTTTTTCGCGTCGAGGAACTGCTTGGACTCGGGGAAGAGTGCGCGCACGACGCCGACGAAGAACGAAGCGCCGGCGCCGATCCAGAAGAGGGTGCGGAATCCGTGCTTGCCGCCCTTGGGGGCGAGGGTGAGGTTGAAGAGGGCAGCGAAGACGTATCCGAGCGAGTAGCCCTGCTGGAGGACACCCGAGAGGAGACCGCGGGCCTCGGTGGGGACGTTCTCGAGGGCCATGGAGACGGCGCCTCCCCAGATACCGCCCATTCCGATTCCGAAGAGGGCGCGAACGGCGAGGAACTCGTTGAAAGTCCTGGCGTAGACGGTGCCGACCTGGAGCGCGCCGATGATGAACATGTTGATGACCATGGGCCACTTACGGCCCCAGTAGTCGCCTGCGACACCGAACAGGGCGGCACCGATGGATCGGAGGAGGAGAGTGAGGGTGATGGCGGTCGAGACCTGAGTCTTGCTGACGCCGTAGAAGGCCGAGAGTCGGGTGAGGGAGATTGAGACCGAGTGGAAGTCGTAGCCGTCGACGGTCCAGGCGGCGAGGCCGACGAGGTAGTAGAGCCAGTTTGTGGCCGAGAGCATGCGAAGCAGCTTGATGGGGTTCTTTGGCATCTCGGGCGACTGCCACTCCTCGCGCTCCTGACCATTCTCGTCGATGATTGTGACGCGCTGCTGCCATCGGCTGCGCGAGCGGACAGTCAAGGGGATGTGGAATTCGCAGCGGTCAGAAGATCGTCCCCGGCGCTGTCGTCGCTTCGTTGATCGTCGTCGTTGCCATCGACACCAGCACGCTGCTCCCGACACGACCTTGGGTCCACGTGTCTGGCCCCCTGGGACGATCCCGAATGGTTCGGGGATCCACGGCGGTCAGGTGGGCCCAGGTGGAGCGAGGCGAGCGCGCTGTTTGGCGGGCCGCTAATTTTGGATTTTTTTTTCTGTGTGGTGGGGCCGACGCCTCGGCTGGCCGTTGCGGGGGATCGGCTGTACAGCGGAGCTGCAACCGAACGCGGCGGTTGCGGCGGCAGAGTCGGGCGGCTGCGTCGGCCCACGGTCGGTCGCGGCGTTAGGCCAGCTGGTAGGAGCAGGCAGAACAGCGGCCAGGACAGCGGGCGCAAAGGCCGGTGGGAGGGAATGCGCAGCCCCCCGCATGCATGCATGGCGGGTATCCATGCACGCGAGCTGCTGCCAAGACCGCACTAAAACAGCCCTCGCCTGGCGTGGCCTGCTACAGTAACGTGCCTCGTACGGCCTGCTGACCCCTGTCTCCTCTCAACGGCGAGGCGTGGACATGGCAGCGACGTCGGTGCGCCAGACCATGATGGCCTGACCTGGCTGGCCTGTGCCGTCCCCCTGAATGCTGGCCGGATCGCTTCGAAGCACGACGGACGAGCGACACCGGGATCACTCACAATAGGTCCCTGAAGTTCTGGGCAGCCTGGGCAGCGAGGCCCATCGGCTTGGGGGCGGAGTCGGACATGTTGCGGAAGGTCGCGGAGGTCGTTGGGCGAAAACTTGTCGCTGGCGGCCGGCTCTCTTGCTGGGGATCTGTCTGCTACGGTGGCGCCACTCCGTCAAAGGTTGCTTGCCTCGTCGAAAGGGAGTGAGAGGAGGAGGGGGAGGACGGGAGATGAAGGACGGGGGGCTGATGGATGGAGACGACATCTAGACTCGACCTCTTATACGTGTCCATCGAGGAGAGCTTGCGAGCAACGCCGCCCCAGCACTTCACACATGGGCCGCCACGAGGAGCAGAGCTTCAGTTGGGGCCCCAATCTGTTGGAATGCGGGGCACCGCAGCCAGTCTCGCGACTCGACGACTGCTCTGCTGCTACCGCACCCGCCACAGTAGCCAGCTCGCGAGTCCGGGGCGACACGCTACCGTAGCGCGCTTGCCTCTGCACACACGCATACCCTCACGGAGAATCTGCAACGGCAACGCGTTAGCGCGCTTTACCACGAGTCTCCTCTCATTCAATGTGGCGGCCTCGTTTGAGCAGCCGGACGGTGGATGTCGCCGAGCGGGGCACCTCGTCAGGGGCGCTCGCATGCGTCGCCGCCAGCTTCTCGGATGTCTACGTGTGCTGCTCGTCTCCCGCGTTGCGAGGCTAGGCTGCAGCGCCGAGGTGCCGTCGTGCGAGGGCGGCGACCCCCGTCCAGACCTTCGTCTCGGGAGAAAACGGGGCTCGACGACGGAGATGGGAATGGCACACATGAGGGCTGCACGTCGTCGCTACAGTGAGACCAAGAGTGGCGGAGACAAAGAGGTTCCCGGTCAGCCGCTCACAGGTAGCTTCGGCAGGTGCTTCCTCAGGGACCGCGAGGAGATCAGTGCCATAAAGGGGCTGCCAGTGCCCAATGGCAGGGAGGTGTCGCCGTAAGCAGGAACCGGGCGATTGCCTCGAACAAAAGGGCACACGCCACAGAGGCCTCGGGGGCTGGCAGCTCGTGATGCCTGCTCGGACAGCGGGCGTCTACCGACAGAAGGGACAGGGTACCTTACCTGCTGCTGCGATTGGTTCGTCGGCAAAGTGCGGTCTAGTGCGCACCTATGGGCCGCCTCCTGACTGGCCAGGCCTTCGCGAGACGGCTGTTTTGCAAAGGTTACACACGTACATACAGAGTACAGCACGGAGGGGATATTAAAATGTTCCTATGCCCGCGTGCGGCGTCGGAGGTTCAAAAAGCACCGCAGCGGCGGCGAAGGCAGAGGCCGGGCAACGACAAGGACGGCGGCAGGCACCAGCACAGGCATAGAGGCGAGCTCGATCCGCCCGCGGAGAGTTCCGCGGGTGTCTTTCCGCTGGTCCCATGCAAGCCTGGCCGTTTCCAGTCCCAGCTCTCACTTGCCCGAATCGGTGGTAAGCAGCAACGAGAGGTCGCGAGGGGCGGTGAACGACCCTGGCTTGCGTCGTTTCCGAGATGCCTGGAGAAGAGATTGATGGACTTGGCGCGCCCTGGCTGTGTTCGTGGCCACCCACGTCTAGAGGAGCCAACCGCTCGGCCTCGTACGAGTGCCGAATCCCTCGTCCTCGCCGATGATGTATGGCGGCTTTGTCCTCTCGAGAAAGGATGCAGCGGCTGTGTGAGGCTGATGTTTTTCTCGGAGCGACCGAGGCCGAGGCAGAGAGGCAGGCAGCTGCCCTCGCCCAGATGGCCCGCGGGCGATACCTGATCACCGACAGCGGTAGAGCGTAGTGAGGTGGCGCGCGTGTGTCTTGCAGGGGCGGAGAGTGACCGGCGAGGCCTCGGTCCGCCCGTCACCGCCTACCCGTGATGGGCGCCCCTTCACCGACGAGGGTATAGAAAACCGCGGGCACGGTGACCGATGGGCGGCCGATGTCGTTGTCAGTCTCAGCGCCCTGTAGCTGCCGTTCTCCATGAACGCGACAAGTCGGCGTGTCCTAGGCGTGCGGCCGCGCGCCTGACGACTCCGTCGACCCCTCCCACTTTTGTGGGGTAAAGATTCATGCTTCCCGCGTCGAGATCGATGCGATGGTCGAGGGGCGGTGACGATGAATCTCTGACCAATCAGAGCGATCGCAGACTAAGCAACTCGATCCCGTATCGAGCCGAAAGGGGATCCGTGGCACTGTGGCATCTGGGAAGAGCCAACGAGGTACCGGTACCGCCCCATACACGCTCGAGTGGCGGAAAGACCCGGGACAGGGCAGAGCTTCCGACACGGGGACCGCGCCCGTCGCCTCCTTTGGATTTTGACCGCCTGTCGCCGAGTGCTTAGCCCTGCCTCCTGCTGCGGTACCAGAACCTACCGTGGTCGCACGAGGCTGCCATGCCAGCGTTCCACGAGTGCGGCACTGTCTAATCGCGTGAGGGCGCTGCGTAAATTGAACAACGGCCCGGGGTCAGAGGTACGTGGCGCCGGTCCGGAAAGGAAACGGGACGTGCCGCGTCGCGACTCCACCGGGCGTGGGCACCGGACGCTGGCATGCGTGGCACACTCTGTGTGGGCAGCCGAGATGCTAAGCCGTAGCGAGAGTCTTGGCAGCATCGCGGATACGTACGTGTGCGGGTAGTTATGGCCAATTGACCGACCGACCGGGCTTGCGAGCAATCAGCGTTGACCGCGACGACGTCAAGCCGCCCATGTTGGTACCTACATGGTCGATTTGCTTGCGCCTGCTCGTGCTTGTGTGCAACGCCCAGTGTGCGATGCGCAACGCTGAGCAGCTGATGAGCCCCCCTGGGGCGTCCGTCTCGACAGCGTCCCTATGACGGCTTGTGCAAGGAAGGAGGTCGAGGCAGCGGAAGCACATCGGCCACGAGCTCGCGGGCTCCAGCCAGCTCGAGGGCCCGAATCCGTCTGCAGTTCGAACTTGGCCGGCGCGCTCGCCAGCTTTTCGGATTTCGGGAGTTTCTTCTGCCAGAGCTCAGGGTCCCTCTTGTCCGCGACAGCCCTCTGGGTCATCAGCGCTTTGAATCATCAGCAATTTGAATCATCAGCAATTTGAACTCATCAGCCCCATCAGCCCTTTGAACTCATCAAGCCTTTGGCATCATCAACCCTTTGGCATCATCAACCCTTTGGCATCATCAGCTGTTTGGCATCATCAGCTTGTTGAGCACTTGTGGTCAAAGAGACAAGCAAACAACAGTCAAGCATCAGTAGCTCATCTGCTGCAGGCAAAGAGGGCAAAGATGCAGCACTGCTCCTGCCTGGTGGAAGCACAGCTGAGCACTACCATGGCTGTGGACTGTAGAACATCAACATCAGCTTGATTGGCTTGCAGGCCAAGCTGCATGAAGAGCTGGGCAGCTTGAACCCCTCCATCTGTCTGGCCTTAGGTGGAATTGATGTGTTGCATGATGTGTTGCATGATGTCCTGCATGATGTTTTGCATGGCTTTGCTGAATGCTGGCTCAAGTCAATGGGACCATTATCAAGGCTCTGAAATATAGTGAGTAGCCTCCTGTGCCCAACCATCAAGCAGAGTTGATATTCACCTGAAATGGCTCAGTGCCACTCCAGACCTTCAACCCAAGCTCAGGCTGCTTTGGCAGAGCTTGGGCTGGACTGCTGTCAACTCTCCAATTTGTGACGGACTTTGTCACGTTTGGTGTTATAGTTGAACAGTCAAGGTTCAGCAAGGCGGAAGATGAAAGGTACAGACAAGAGTTCCACTTGCTGTTGAGGGCATCGCCCGACACAGTCAAGGCCATGGGGGTTCTGTTAAGCCCTAGGGGTCTTGCTAACCGTAGGTAGGCCTAAGGCGGCGTAGTGTACCGGGAGAGGTTGAGGGAGACAGTAAGTGTGTGAGGGGATATCGATATCGTACCGTAGGATCCTGTAGATACTAAGTACAATTGACGACCGGAAGCAAACACCTAGCTACTCCGGCCTCGCACTGTCTACCCTGCCGGTAGGGTCGACACTACCGCAGCGCGGGTCGCGCCCCTCGGGTCCGAGCCCCGGTACGGCGCGCCTCTCGGGGTTGCCCTAACAGGTTCCACATACATCTCTCGGTGAGCCAATGCCTGTCAGCAGGTACTGGGTCCCGCAGGGTTCAGGCCAGGAGCCTGGCACTTATGTGTTAGGCCGAGTTCCAAAGTGGGCGACGCGCAGGAACAAGACCGTTGCAACAGCTAGACTGCCGACTGGCAGGTCTAGCTGACAGGGCCATATAGACCCTCCCAGGCAATTCGGAACCGTACTGCTGGGGCTGCCATAACAGGGGGCTGTTGGCTGTGCGAGGCTGGCTGTGCGAGCAAGAAGGGGGGCTGTTGGCTGTGCGAGGCTGGCTGTGCGAGCAAGAAGGGGGGCTGTTGGCTGTGCGAGGCTGGCTGTGCGAGCAAGACAGGTGCTAGCAGGGGAAAGGGGACTCGCGCAGAGACCACTTCACACCCACGCCTTGCAAGCCAAAAAGGCTAACCGGGCGATGCACAGATCGGATCGACAGGAACATTATTGCAGTGACGGCGACGCGAGCGGCAGAATGAATGACAGAGGGCGGTGCAAGGATGGACAGCGATGAAGAGGCGGGAAGCATTGACAACGATTGTAGGCCCCGAGCGGGCTGATGAAACGATGGGAAGGGACAGTATGGAGGATGACGGGGGCCACGGGGGGTCGATCTGGGGAACGGCGGAAAGGGAAAGTGCTTGGCGAAGGGACGACGACGACGCGGAACGGCGCGGAGCGGAACGGATAGCCGATTCCGGAGCGGATGGGGATGGGGATGGGGATGCATGCTACAAAGACGGGATGGAGGGGCGGACGGATGGATCCGCAAGCGAGTGCTGGATCTGAGTGCGAATTAAAGGGAAAGAGAAGGAAGGCGCGACCGGGTCTGTAGGTAGATGCCCGGGTCCTTGTGTTTGCTGGCGGATTCTATTGACTGTGATGCGAGCCCGTTGCTGTGAGTCCAAAGGATGCGGAGAGGGAAGGATCGATGGTCGGGGTCGGGGTCTGCGTGTCTGGACGATGCTGAACGAGGGACGGACGGGATCCTGGAAGCGACCTGTGCACGGCCAGAGGTTGATTGATGGGCATCAGAGGGCGCCCTCCTCCATGCAGCTGTCCCTCCAGCCGCGCTCGAGCTCGGCGCGATCGGCCCTGCACCAGGCAGACTCGAGCTCGGTCACGATGGCGTCGTCGGCCCGTGGCATAGGAGGCGACGACGATGTCGAAGCCGACGAGGTCGACACCACGTCATCGTAAAAGGGGAGCGAGGCGGCGACGCTCCGCTCGCGGTACCGCAGCGAGCCGCTGTCGGACTGGAACGACAGGCGCGAAGACGCAGGACCTCCTCCGAGGTTGGACGAGCTCCATCCCTGCTCGAGGCAGCCGGTCGAGTCGTCGCCCTCGGAATTGTCGTCGTCCCACTCGCCGGCCATGCGATCGTAGTCGCTGCGCTTCTTTGAGTGCGTGTAGATCCGGCGCTCGGCTTCCTCGGCCTCCTTTTGCTCGAGCTCCGGCTCCTCGACGATGACCATGAGCGACGAGGGACCGTTTTCGGTCCACGAGGGCAGGATGATGTCGCCCGACGGCGTGGTCTCGAGCTCGTTGGTTGTCGAGAGGGTGCGCGCGCCCTGCTGTTGCATCCTGTTGTCGCCGCTGGTGCCCCGCTGCGGACCGAGGGGCATCAGCGGGTGTCCGGCGGTGGGACGAGGGGGCAGGCGGGGCTTGCCCGAGGACCAGGTGCGCGGCTGAGGCTTTGACGCAGCGCCACGCCCTCCGGCAGCAGCCAACGCAGCCTTCCGGGCCAGGGTCTTGGTACGGCGGTTGCGGTACTCGGCTTTCCTGCCAAAGAGGCGATCAAGCCAGCCCTTGACGGTGCAGGCGAGCCAGACGACCTGCAGCACAGCGAAGACGGCCATGAACGTTTGCTTCGGTCCGTCTGCCTCACGCCATTGCCGGGCCAGGCCGTGGAATAGCGCAGCGGTCAGGCCCGATGCAGCGGCGACCGGGCGGCCGAGCGCCTTCTTGACATCGGCATCGTGCACCTTGTGAGCGAGCGCAGATGCCTTCAGGCCGGGCCGGGGGAGGGATTGGCCCAGGCTGGTGAGCAGAGGCCTGGCGGAGCCCCGGAAGGGCGACACCTGCTTCCAGGCCTGGTGGACGCGGTGGCAGCCCTGGTGCACCCGATCCGATAGCCCTTGACCATCCACTCCGGTCGACCACTTGCCCACGACGCCAAGCGCCGACGGCCAGGTCCAGGGCAGGGTCTGCTGATCGAGCTGCGTTGCCAGAAGCTGAGAATAGGACGCTACTCCTGCGTCGCGGGCAAACACGCGAGGCTTGCCAGTGCGCTCACGACCCGCTGATTCGAGCCGAGTGCTGTTCTGCGCCTCGTTCGCGGGACCCGCGGCAATGATACCGGCATCACCGGGAGCTGACCATTGCGAGCTAACGCCAGGGCCGGCAGGGACGATGGTGCGGCCAACGGGCTGTACCGTGTAGTGAAGGGCGACGGGCCGGTGGTCCAGGCGCTGGTCGCTGGACGGCATAGCGGTGACTTCGAGCAGTGGCACTTCGGATGCCTGCGCTCCACCACTCGCCGGACGTGCGCTGAGGAGCCACCGGTGGACGTGTCGGGGGTCGAGGTCAGGGATGTTCTTGCCTCTGAGCTTCAGAGATCGCGGATGAGCTGGCAGCAGGGAGATGAGCCATGGCGACTGCCCGGCAGCGCCTTGCGGAGGGAGAGCTGCGCCGCCCGTCCAGCTCTCGAGGGCGGCCACGCGGGTTGGGTCGAAAGGGTCGAGCGTCCACTGAGCAGCCTGGGCGGTGGTGGTTTCATGACTGACGAGCGGGTGGACGACCGAGTCCGTGGTGCTTCCATCGGCGTGATGGATGACGATAGAGTCGGCGGTGAGCGTTGCATTGAGCGTCCACAGGGAAGAAGGGGGACCCGCGACTGCGGCCGTCTCCGCCGCTGGACTCTCGAGCAGCCAGACGAGGTTGGTCGCGGCGCTTCCGCCTGGTTTCTGCGGAGCAGAGGCTTGGGCTGGCAAAGCGCTAGCGAGGCAGACCAAGAGAGCGGTCGCCGAAGCGGAGCGCATGGTCGTGTCGAGAGGGCCAACTCTGGGAAATGGCTTGCCTTGGTTGGTGTTGTTTCGGGATACGAGCGAGTCGGTGTGTGGTTGCAGTCGAGCTGCGACGGCTGCTCTGTAGTACGAGTGGTTGATGACAGGAGCGCAAGGCGTGCGGCGACAGAGCAAGGCGCTGATATCGGTGGGTCGGTGTAGGTTGGGAGTCTGTTGATGGTGGAGCGAGGGCAGGAGCGATGGACCAGCATCACAAAGGGGGACGAGATGCAGGCAGATGGGAGAGGTTGCGCCACCCACACTGCGACCTGCTGTGGCCGCCGACCAGCGATTCGCTCGCCGAAGCACCCGCGGGACGCACCGCAAAACGAGGGGCCCACCCTACCTGCCCTGCGCCTCTGAGAAAAAAACAGCGAGCGAGGGCCCCTGCCTGCCAGGTGGCCAGCTTGCCTCCGCCCGCTTGCCGAAGCTGCACGGGCTGGAGAGCCCCTCTCGCTTCACCGAAATAGCAATCAGGCCCGCACGACGGTATGGACCGAGTCGAGGCACGACTCGACCATCCCGACACCGCAACTACTGCGTGCGCTCTGTGCGTAACGGATGGTACGCTGGACAAGCCTAATACAACAGCTGTGCTGCCAGCGCCACTGTGGTGGGCGGCAGATCCAGCAGCGCGGCGGTCGGTCAACCGGCAAGGCGGAGCGTAACGCCAGGCCAAATTCGGCTCCGAGCCTCTCCCCACTCGCCTTTCAACGCCCCGCCAAGCAGCGCGCTGCAAGGGCCAGGCGAGGTGACGGAGGCGGTGCAGCCCTGTGATGCGAGCCGAGCTTTCGGGCCACCCGCCTAGCCAACCCAACGAGAAGAAGCGCGCCTACCAGAGCGACGAGAACCAGCGAGCAGCACCTTGCTTGCCTTGTTGCCATCATCCTGCTTCGCTCCATTAATCGGCATCGACCCGACACCTTATCGAGGATGACTTCGCAGAACCAGCCGGCGGCGCCGAGCCAAGACTCGGCCACGCCGACGGCCGAGCCGCTTCGGGATGCGCCGACACCGACGTCTTCGGTCTCGGCCGCGCCAGACAAGCGTCCGAGATGGCTCTACGCCAGGGGCAAGGGATGGGCGACCTTTGCCGTCGAGGACGACAAGGCGCTCGAGGAGCGATGGCAGCAGCTCGGCGGCGCACAGTGGGCCGAGAGCCTCGAGGCGGCCCAGGGCGATGACGAGGACGACGAGGATGGTACGCAACGACAGGGACAGGGTGACGGCCAAGGCGACGATGCAGCAGAGCAGCCCAAGGCGAAGCGTCGACAGCGCCCGCCTATGCCCACCGCACCGCCTTCGGGCGTCGATGCCGTCCGCTCGGCCATCAGCGGCGTCACAGACCTGCCCGGAAAGGCCAAGCGCACCATCAAGCAGACCGCCGACCAGGCGTCGGGCGCCATGTCGAAACCTACCGGCTCGGACACGCCGCTGACAAAGGTGGCAAAGGGAGCAAAGAAGGCGACGGAACACGAAGGCTCCGGCAGCGACGGTGTCAAGGCAAAGAGCGACGGCGACGACCGCAACACGGATGCGGATGGCAGCGACGCCCCCTCGTCCAAGCAAAAGGACGGGAAGACCATGGTCAACGAGATCCTGGACCCAGACCAGCCAGAGTCTGAGCGCCGCTCCAAGGTCGCCGTCATGGAGGACAAGCTGTTCGACGTCGACCTCGAGCGCATGGTCCTCTACCCAGTCTTCTGGAAGGGCGTGCTCCTGAAAGTGGTGCGCGCAGAGTGGTTCTACTCGTCCTCGACCGACGGCTCCTACGCGCCCATCTCGTGGGACGATCACCTCAGCGGAGATCTCGACGCCGCCTACGACAAGGCAAGACCCTGGACACGCGGCGAGGACGCTGCCACCGACGTCAAGAAGCCCAAGGACGGCAAGCGCAGCGATGCAAAACAGGGGAGCGACGAGGAAGAGGTGGTCGACAAGGACGACCTCGTCCCCCTGCCGAGCATGGAAAATCAGGGAAGGATCCTCTTCGAGGACGCCGAGGTCGGACGCATCTTTTCCGAGGACCTGCGAGGTCGCTTCCTCTCGGTGCTGGGCGGGTCCATCGTCGTCCGCGGCTTCGACAAGGCCGAGGCCATAGCCCGCCAGAAGTCGAGCGGCTCCTACCTGCCATTTTCGCTGCCCTGGGCCGCCGACGATGAGGACGCCTCGGACGACGAGTCGGGCGATCAGGCCGGGGACGCCAAGCAGCGCCGGCAGGAGCAGGGCTCCACCTTTGGCGCCCGCAGCGCTTCGAAGAGGGAGGGCGCGGCTCGCCCGGGCGGCAAGCCTCCTGCAGGTGGTGGTGCCGACGAGTCGAGCCCCTCAAAGGCCAGCGGAGATGATACGGACGAGCGCAAGTCGTTTGCGTCGCGTTTGTGGCCATCGAGCGACTCCCTCACCCGCCCCGCCGTGGCGTTGCTGCGCATGGTAGGCTACAGCAGGGACGACGCCGCCGAGGAGGGCAAGCGGCGGGTCAAGCAGAAGGCGACCGAGGACGAAGTGGACCGACAGCGCAACTCGAACACGGCGCAGGGATCCGGCGGCGGGGAAAAGGTCGACGCGTCCAAGGAAAGCGACCAGCCCGAGATCGACGAGGATCTCAAGGACGAGCCGCCGGAGCTGGTGCTCGCCATCCATGGCATCGGACAGCAGCTTACCGAAGACTTTGACGCTCTCGACTTTGTCTACGACGTCGAGCGGCTCCGCAACGTGTCCAACAAGCAGGCGGCCGACCCGGCGGTCCGCAGGCTGGCACGAGGGCGGAGGGCGCAGTACATCCCCATCTGCTGGCGTCGCGCGCTCAAGTTTGACGAGAAGCCCGAGGGCAACGACAACTTCTATACCCTGGACGACGTGACCAACTCGGCCGCCATCCCCATCGTACGCAACGTCATCAGCAAAGTGGTCCTCGATGTGCCATTCTACCTTTCTCACCATCGCCAGAAGATGATCGAGTCCGTCACCGCCGAGCTCAACCGGACCTACCGCCTCTTCTGCCGACGCAACCCGGACTTTGAGAGGAAGGGCGGGCGCGTATCGATCATCGGCCACTCGCTCGGCTCAGCGCTGGCGACCGACATTCTATCTGCGCAGCCGACGCGCGTGCCGCCGATGCACGAGGTCGCTGAAGAGGACCCGGACCGGCTCAAGGAGAACAAGCACCTGCACTTCAACGTCAAGAACCTCTTCTTCATCGGCTCTCCCGTGGGCTTCTTCCTCTATCTTGATGGCGGGCAGCTCATCGCTCGGCGTGGCACCCTACGCAGCCGCGCGGAAGCCAAGGAAGGCGAGGAGGACGCCAGCTGGGATGCACAGGGCAAGTACGGCTGCCTGGCGACCGAGACAGTCTACAACATCTACAATCCCACCGACCCGGTCGCCTTCCAGCTGGGAGCCACGGCGGACCGCACCTACGCCAGTATGGTCAAGCCCATCCCGATTGCAGATGCGGCCGGTGCGCTCCTCCAGGCCCTCGCCCTGCCGCGGCTGAGCGTGACGAGGATCTTTGAAAAGTACGGCGAGCACCCGTTCAAGGGCGTCGGCAAGATTGTCTGGCAGGCGCAGCGCTACGAGGAGGGCAACGACGACGATGACGAGCCCGGATCGGAGGACGGGGCGGCCGACATCGACGAGATCGCGGCGTCCGAAAGGCGGCTGCAGAAGGAGCGCGAGTTGGGACGCAAGATCCTCGACTCTTCGCACTTCCTCAAGCATGTCCGCAAGATGAAGAAGCTCGACGAGGACGCCAAGAAGAAGCGGGAGCAGGCCGACCGAGAGTCCAAGGAGGAGGGCGATGAAAAGGACGGCGACGAGGGCCGGGGCCACGACGAGCAGGACGGCGAGGCAGATACCGACGACGGCAGTGACGGCGGGTCGAAGCAGGCGCTGGTAGACGAGCCAGCGCCCATGGCAACCGAGGTCGGAACGCTACAGAAGCGCCTGCAACCGCGCCGAACACTCGACACGGCCAAGAAGCGCGGCCTTTCGCTGCAGACCGCCCCTTCCTCGCCCGAGGCGGGGCCGGAGGACGAGGGGCAGCACGTCGACCTCGACATGCTCGAGCGGGGCGAGCGGCGCTTCCGCGCCCTCAACCCGCACGGCTGCATCGACTTTATGCTCGCGGGCTCGATTGGCTTTAGCGAGTACCTCGACGCCCTCTCGGCCCACCTCCAGTACTGGACCCACCCGGACTTTGCCACTTTCGTCCTCACCCAGCTCTTTGCTGACTGGAGCGGCGGCGATAACGTCACCGTCGTCCCCGACGTCGAGATTCCGGGGAAGCCGGGGGAAGGGGAGGACGACGAGGAGCAGGAGGAAGACGAGGATGATCAAGAGGGAGAGGAAGATGAAGATGACGAGGACAGTGACGAGTTCGAGAAAGAGTAGAGGCAGAGCAGGCTGGTGCGCTGCCGCCTCTGCGAACCTATCGGACGCACATCAAGAGCACGCCATCACGATACACATCCCCGGACGCGCGTCAAGGGCCAGCGGAAACTGGAAAACGGGATTTCTTCTCCTCAGTCGACAGATAATGTCCAAGCCATGGTGATACAGGGGTCCGGGTCCGGGTCGAGATGAGGGCGACGTCGTCGGGAGTTTGATACAGTCGCGGAAGGGACAGGTGAGCGCAGAAGAGGTGTCCTCGCCGATCAAGGACGAGTGGTGGCAGAGGGCTGGCTGGCGGGGGCACGGCGAGCACGAGGGGCAGCGAGGTGGCCGTGCTTGTCGCCCTCGCCGGCGCCCTTTCGCGCCATGGCCTCTGCCTCGTCCTTTCTTCTCTGGCGGACGGCCTGGTGGGCGTCGGCGAGCGAGTTCTTCATCTCGCATGCCTTCTGCCACTTTGTCGCCATCATCCTGTCGTCGCCGCACGTGTACAGGGGCAAGGGAGCGGAGAGCGAGAGAAACGGGCGGGGTCAGCCACGACGGAGTTCGACGGCAGACGAGCGAGGGAAGCACCGCTGAACGAGCCGAGCCGACTCACCTCATCCTCACGCCAGCGCGGACGGCCTTGATGGCGACGTTCCACCGCCTCCTGGCCGGGTTGAAGCGCGCCACCATGTCGTCCCTCTGCCGCCGCCGCTCGTCGCCCTCGATGCGGAGGTGGAGTAGCAGGCTGTCGATCTCGTCGTCGACCTCGACCAGGCCGCGCAGCAGCAGGGTGATGTACGTCTTCTGGTGGGCGAGGTCGGAGCGCAGGTCGCTCTCGCGCGTCAGCTTGGCCTTGAGGTAGCGGATCTGCAGCATCAGCCCCTTGCACTCCTGCGCGTGCTGCGCCCGGAGCTCGAGGAGGTGCTGCTGCGCCACTGCGGCTTGATGCGACGAGCTGACGTAGGGCGGTGGCGCGGCGGATCTGTCATCGTCGTCGTGAACGTCAAGGGGGGGAAAAGGAAGCACGTGCGGGCAAAGTCAGCCAGCCAGTTCGAATCATCCGGCCGCGTTGTGGGCTGGGTATCGATCGCATCGCCACTCACCTGATGCGGTCGGCTTCTTCGAGCTTGGCCTTGACGTCCTCGACCTCCTTGGTCTTGAGCTTGAGCTGCCGGACGAGCTCCTGCACCTGCTGCAAGTCCCTCGCGCGCTGCCGCTCCTTGTCCTCGTCGTCCTTCTCGCGCTTCCGCTGGGCGCGCTCGCGCTCGGCCCGCAGCGCCTCGAGGTCGCTGCCCTGCCTGTCGGCTTCGCGCCTGACCCTGCGCAGCTCGCTCTCGAAGCGCCCAACATCGCGCACAATGTCGTCGCGCTCGGCTCGCAGCCTGTCGCGATCGCCGACGACTTCGGCGTACTCGGCCCGCTTGCTCCGCAGCGCGGCGTGGGTCGCCTCCATCTGCTCAATCTGCTCGTCGAGCTGAGCCTGGTGCGCTGCGAGCGCCTGCCTCGACACGGCGAGGTCGGCCGCGACCGACTCGTACCGCTCGTTGACCTTGGCGAACTTGGCGTGCAGATCGGCGCGCTGCGAGAGGAGGTCGTGGCGTTCCTGCCTGAGCTCCTCGACCTGCGCCTGGGCCGACTCGACCTGCTGCGACAGCGCATCGACCTGCGCCTGCATGCCGGACCGGCTCCGGGGATCCGAGCCATCCGATCGGGTCGACTTGTCGAAGAGCTGCCGACTGAGGCTCTCGAGGCCGCCCATCTTGTCCTGCAGCTTCCGCTTGACGGCGTCGAGCTCGCTCTGCGTGCTCATCAGCCTCGTCTCGATGTCGGCCTTCTCCTGCGACGTGGCCTTGGACTTGGCCAGCATCTCGCGCTGGCGCACCTGTTCGGCGTGCAGGTCATCTTGCAGCGAGGCGGCCGCCGTCCGGAACCGGTCCAGCTCGGCGAGGACGCCGCGATACTCGCGCCTCTCGCGGCTGCGGTCGGCGAGCTCGTGCTCGCGGCGCTCCACCTCGGCCTCGCGCGTCTTGAGCTGGTCGTGGTCGCTGGCCCATCGGCTCTTGAGTGCCTCGAGCTGCGCGTGGACGTCGGCAAACACCCTCTGCCGCTGCACCGCACTGCGAGTGCTCTTGTTGGGGCTGTCGCTGACCGAGAAGCTGGAGCTGCCGGCAGCTCCAGCCGCCGCACTCGCTCGCATCCTCAGACGCTCCAGCTCCGCCTCGAGCTCGGCGATCCTCTGGTTGGCGCGTTCTAGGCGTTCCGCCAACGTGAGGTGGGCCACGCCGGCGCTGTCGAGCTTCTGCAGCTTGGCATCGATCGAGGCGTTGGCCTCGTCCAGCGCCGACTCAAGGAAGGCGATCCTCTCTGCAACACCTGCACCGCCAAGGCTGGACTCGTTGTACAGCCACGATGCCTCGCTGAGCGGGGCGGGCGACCTCGGCGTCTTCATCGGGCTGATGTGGCGGAGATTCAGGACCGACTTGGGGAGAGGCGACCGGCCTCCCGGCGTCGTTGGCGAGAGCTTCGATCCTTTGTCGCCGGATCGGGCCATCTCCTGGTCCTGTTCTTGCTGCTGCTGCGAGAGGAGGGCCAAGCTACTGCCGACGCCGGCGCTGATCATCTTGCGGTATTCGTCGACGCGGAGCTGAAGCTCGCTCTTCTGCTTCTTGAGCAGCTGTACTTCGAGATCTTTGGCGCGGACGTTGTCGGCCTCGGACGTGGGCGAAGACGCTCGGCCTTCGATCTGGGACTGAAGCTGCTCGATCGTTTCTCGGGCCGAGGTGAGCTGCCTCTCAAGCGATGCCGCTCGTCTGTCGGCGCTCGAGCGAGATCTCTGACTGCCGACGCTGCGGGTGAGGTCGGACCGCTTGGCGGTGGCGTCGGGGTCTTGCTCCTCGGCTCGCAACGCGGCTAGCTCGTCGTCCGCCCGCTCCGCCCGATGTCGCTCCTCTTCGAGATCAGCTTCGAGGTCAGCCACCTCGGCCTTCCAGGCTTCGACCTGCCTCTCGAGCGCCTGCACACGCTCAGCGTGCTCGCTGGCGCGATCCGACGCTTCCTTGCTCTCGGAGCGTGCAGTCTCGACCTCCCGCTCGAGCTGCTGGGCCTTGCGCGAGAGACTAGACACTTGCTGCCGGAGCTCGACGTTCTCGGTCTCTGCCGAGTCCCTGCCCTCTGCCCTGGCCTGCTGGGAGTCGAGTTCGGCGCGCAGGCGATCGCAGGCCTGGCGTGACTCCTCGAGCTCGTTCTCGAGCCGGTCGGCACGATCGAGCGCCTCGTCCCGAGCGGCCTCGACCTTCTCGAGGGTCTCAAACGAGTAGGCTTTAGCTTGCTGGACCTGTTGCTCAAACTGCTTGCGCTCGTCTTCGAGCCGGTCCTCGAGGTCCATGATGTCCTCGTCCCTTTCCTTGAGCTGGGCCTGCAGCTCCTCGATCTCAAAGCGGAGCTGCGCGGTCTCGCCGTCGTTCGATGCTTGTGACCGTCCGCTCCTCTCGTCGCCAGCAGGGTCCCGATCGCCCTGGGCGTCGGCGGAATCGGCTCCGTTGCGGACCTGCTCGAGCTCGGCGTGGAGCGTCTCGATCTCACGCTCGCGCTCGTCCAGCAGATCGGCAAGCTCCTGAGCCTCCTTGTCAAGCGCATTGGCGCGTTCTCGCTCGGCGAGGAGATCCTCCGCGGCGTTGTTCTGAGCTCCAGGCAAAGGAGAGCCGGCAGCTTTCATGTCGGTGGAGACGCTTTCAGAAGTGGATCCGCGGCGCAGCTCTCCGTTCTGCCTGCGAAGCTCCTCGAGCTGCCGCGAAAGCTCGTCGCGCTCCCTCTTCAGCTCGTCGTTCTCCGCATCGAGTCTGGCGTTGAGTTTGCTCTGGTAGACGGCCAGCCGCGAAGGGTCGACGCGAGGGCGCGCCGCCGCGTTGGCATCCGTGCCTACCTCGGCCGCGCCGAGGCCGGGGAAGGAGGTGTTGGCACGAAGGCCTAAAGGTCCATGAACGGATGTCTGAGGTGGGGCTGTCAGGTCGTTCGAGGACGCCTCGGACAGGCCGGCGAGCGACTCGAGGATGGTCTGGTTGTCCTGGCCGCCGCGCGACGAGCCGTCGTACGCAGCATAAGGCGAGACCTGGCTCTGCATGCTGCCGGAGCGGTCACTGGTGTCGCCCAGGCGCGACAAAGCTCCCCGACGCAGCAGTTCAGCGATGCCGCCCTTTGGCAAAGGCGTCCGCCCGGCCGCAAACGTGTTGGCTTTGCCGAGCCTGTCCATCCGGTGCCTGGGCGTGATGGCGTCGGCGCTTGATGGCGAGGTCTCATCGTCACCTTGCGGGGTCTCCTCAGGGACGCGGGCCGGCGTTTGGCTCAGGATGGCCTGGGCCTGCAGCCGCTCGAGGGTGCGGATGCGCGTATCCTTCCGGCTGCTCCCGATGGTCGCAGTCGCCTTGACGCTATTGAGCAGATACGCCTTCATCTTCTCGTGGTCGGCGGCGCTCGTCTGTGCTCGGGGTGTCGCTGCCCCATTGACGGCCCCCGCATCGACGTCTTCACCCGTGCCTGGGCGCGACGAGCCTTCGTGAGGAGGGACACGAGATGGCGTGACGCCTGCATCGAGCTCCCGCCCCAGCCTGCTCTTGCCAAGCACCACTCGGTCGGCCTGACGAGCCAGTCGCGCTGCGGCTGGGCTGGAAAAGGTGGTGGCGCTCCTCTCGCCATCGACGTCGGCCCCAGTCTGACCGCTGGTGTCGATCGAAGGCGGCGGCGGCGGCATTGACGACGAGTCGTCTTGGGCAGTGGACCCCGATGCACCCATCGCCTCTGCCGTCGTTGGTTGCGTGTCTGTGTGCGATGCGGCTAGCGCTCGGGTCGCGTCTTCCTCCTCGTCGTCGATCATGGACTCATCGTTGACATCGCCCAGCTGCCTCCGCGCCTCCCTTCGCCTCCTCCAGTCGCTTCCGGAGCTCTCAGCGAGAGGGCTGTCACGAGGATCGGGCTGCCGCGGCGACTCAGGCACATCGACCCCGGGCGCGGTTGTGCCGTCTTGCGTTTGAGGATCGATCTCTGAGAGGTGCATAGTGCCCGTCTGGACCTCGGCATCTGCGTCGGCATCGGCAGCCGAACCCTCTTCTGTCTCCGAGGGAGCCGCCGCCGACACAGTGTCGTAAACGACAAAGTCCCTGGCCGCCGCCGGCGTACGTCTGGATGAGACGGCATCGGCTCCATCCGTCGCGGCCGCGTCCTGATCGACGTCCCTGTCCTCGGAGGCAATGGAGCTCTCAGTCAGATCCTCGAGCGCTGACGACGCGGAACGCAGCGACTTTGCGCCCTGCGTGGTTGAGCCCAATGTGCTGTCGAATGCGGTGCCCCGACTCCGGCTGACACTCCGTCCGCCCGCGTCGCCGAAGTGGGCCTGGCGGATCGTCATGGTGGTGCGTGAGCGTGAGCCGACAGTCGATGCGGGGCCCGCTCTCTGTGGCGTCGAGGTCAGAGGCGGAGAAGGCGCCCGGAGGTGGCCGTACGGATCGGGAAACTGATGCGTCCGGGAGTTGTCGGCGTTCTGGTCCATAGAGATCGACGAGGACGCTGAGAATGGCGGAATGCCATGCTCGGGCTCTTCCTCGACTGGCGGCGCCGAGCCGTGTTTTGCTCTAGGCCCTGCCGACGACGAGGCGGACGACGACTGCGAAGAGCCCGGACGAGGCTGGACATTCTCTTTAGCCTGGACAGGGCTCTGCTGCGGGTTGTGAGATCTCGCTACGGCTGCAGCGAGAGATGGCGGTGGCTTCTGTGCCTCCTTGAGAGGGCCAGGGTTGTTTGAGATATCGAAGCTGGGGTCGTCGCGGAAGGATCCGGCCGACGAAGCAGATGCACGCGAGTACGAAGCGTGGTTGTTGGTGTAGCTGGTCAGAGGGTGTCGGGTAGAGGTCGACATGCTGCCGTTGGCAGCTGCCGCGCCGCCTGGCAGGGAGAGATCGAGCTCGGACTGATCCTGCATCAGGTCTTGTGCGATCTGCCTCTCGAGCCGAGAGGGCGTGCCGAAGTGGAAGTCCATGTTGTCGGCGCTGCTGGCAGGTCCCGAGGGTGGTGTGATCTGGTACCGTTGTCGGCCGTAGTGCCTCAGGACGTGGCTACGGGGTGTGGGCCCAGCTGTGGAACCGGTGCGATGTTGGCCAAACCGGGGGTGGGTCCGGTATGGCTGCGTGAGAAAGGCCTCAGCGGTCTAGCATCAGGGGGTCAGGTGGCGATCCAGGGTATAGACGAGACGAGATCAGATTTCGATGCGATGATGGCGTCGATGATGGCGGTCAGTGAGGGCGGTGATGGCGGTGGTGGTATTGTTGGTGGTGGTGGAGAAGAAGCTGGTGAGTAATGAGCACCAGGCAGCAGGCTCGGACGGTGTTGGTCTGTCAGGCCGAGCGGGGCAGGGCGGGGGGCAGGCCAGCCCAGGCAGGGCCAGGCAGGGCGAGGGCGGTGCGTCAAATTCCGAGTTCCATCCGTCATCAACAGAGAAACGCGTCGGGCGCGTCCCCAGGGTCGGGCCTGCGTGATGAGCCTGCCCAGCCGGCCCGTGCAATTTCCTCGTCGAGTCCATTCTTGCCGGGCCTCCGTCGTCCTCGCACACCGACCGCCCGCCGCGCCTTTGATCGCACCTCCGCACTGCATCGTTTGGATGACCAAGAGGGGAAATGGTATCGATCTGTCCGTTTCTACCGAGCAGCATGGCACGCCAGAGTGTACGGCCGACCGGCCAGAGCGCAAACGTAGGGCTACAGTAGTAAGAAAGGCGCGCGGCGTCGGGGCCCTGACAGAGGAGGGAAACGGCAAGGGCTCTAAGTGTTGACCTGATTGCGGCCGAAGGGAAAGATGAAGGCCGAGCAGTAGAGGCGGCACTAGACCGACACCGCCTCGCGATCCACGTCGAGCGCCAATGCCACGGAAAGGACAATGTTGGTGAAGGCATCCTGCCCGTCAAAGTAGGCCTTGACCCAAGCCGGTTCCTGCTCGGACTGTTGCTGCTGCTGAACATCCTGCGAGGCCATCGACTTGCGCGCGGCGAGAAGATGCCGCAGCGTCGGCCTCGTCGAGGGGCATTCGGCCTTGCGCAGTGCCTCGGCCGCCTTTGTCCGTTCAGCCCGCCATTGCTCCTCGTCCGATGCCTCGAACTCGGCGGCCCCCGCCGGTAGCGGAATGTCGAGGACGAGGTCGCAGCCGACCAGCTTGTCCTTGAGCAGATGGCCATTTTCCCGGAAGCGCTGCAGGACCAGCAACGAGTAGACGGCAAAGAGGTTTCGAATGGTCGTCTCGCTCTGGCTGAAGGCAGCAAAGTCGGCCTCCGACGCCGTCGAAGCGTCGCCGGCGCCGCTCCCCTCGCTGGCAGCGCCCGCGCTCGCACCTGACCGCAGCCTTGCCGAGAGGTTCTGCGAGAGCTCCGAGAGGGCGCAGAGGCCGCTGTCGAGCAGCTCCGAGTCGACGTGTTGCGTGCAAGCCGCATCGTCGGTGAAGATGAGCAGGACGAGGTACATCCAGAGCGCAGAGACGGCCGATAGCACCTCGACCTCGCTCGTATCGCTGCCGCACAGGCCTACCGAGCCCACAATGATGGCCTTGATCTGGTCGGCGATGAGCTTCCACACGAAACCCTCGCTGGCGGGCAGCCGGACAAAGTAGCCCGCCAGGACGCACCGCGCGTTGGCGAGGAGCGAGAGCTGCGTGTTGCGGAATTCGAGCAGCCAGCGTCGGTGGATGTTGGGGGGGCAGGGAGCAGCGGGGTCGTTGAGCGCCAGGAACGACGGCACCGATACGAAGCAGGCGGCGCTGAGCTGCGCCAGCGAGGCCTTGACTTCGCCGCTCTGCTCGGGAGCCGTCCAGCACTGCTTTGCAGTCGGAAGCTCCGCACCTTGCTGCGGAAGCGTGCCGTCCTGATCAAAGCGCGAGGCCGCCGCAGCGCCGGAGGGATCCGAAAGGGATCGGTTCGGGCCGACGCCGACATTGGTCTGCAGCGAAGGTTGCGCGGGATTCGTCCCGGGGGCGCTCTCGCCGTTGCCAGCGGTGCCCGCCTGCACGTTCCCGATACCGTCAGCGGTAGCGCTGCTCGCCCCAACGAGCTGAGCCAGGGATGCCGCGAACCGCGCCGAAATCGGCGCCTCGACGATGGGCGACTGAAGCATCCCACCGCTCATCCCCGTGAAAGGCATGAATTGCGTCGAGTGGAACCCCGGGCCCATGCGGTAGAGCGGCGAGGGCACCACGGGCTCCTCGAGCCAGCCCGAGAGGTCCAGGCCGTTGGTGAAGAGCGAAGGCCGCACGGGAGACGGGAACATCATCTGGCTGCCCGTCCGCGCCAGGTTCGACGTGATCAAAGACGGAGGTTGCGGCGGTGGAGGCATCAGCGACTGGCCAGGGTGGGTAGGAGGTCCCAGCCTCACTGCCTGACTGGGAACGTGGGTCATCCGCGGGTTCCACCCATCAGACATGTCCGAGTCGCCCAGAGTGTGCCCATCGCCGGGATGCGGCAGGCTGGTGGCCTTCTGCCGCCCGCCCGGGGTTGTCAGGTGATGACTCGTCGAGGGGTCGTGCGGATCTCGCGGTTCGAGGCCGGTCGCCTGCGCGAAGCTGTTGGTCACCCGCACGATCGGCGTTTCCTCGCCTTCGTCCTGGGCGTACCTGGCACCCTGCTTGTCCATGTTGGTCACGATGCTGCCGGTGTTGGTCCGCGAGAAGCCGCTAGACCGACTCGCAGACCCGCCGTGCATCGCGTGGACGCTGGCAGAAGGGCCCAGGGGCACCTCGCCGTACGAGTGAGGGGACTCGGTGCGTGCAGGCGGCTGGAACCCCTGCGCCATGTTGGACGAGAAGCCAAAGTGGCCGATCGCTGGAGGCGCAGAGTCTGGCACGTCCGAAAGGCCGTAGGGTCGCTGCGGCGAGCCCACGCTCGAGCCGACCGAGCTCGACGAGTTGGACATCGAACGGGCGAGGCGGAGCTGGTCGCCGTACGACTCGTTCCATGACCTGCCAAACTCGCTGTCACTGGTGCTGTCGTACTCGGCCTCGCCCTCCCTCTTGACGTAGCCCGGCCCGAACGCGGGTGACTGCATCGCCCAGGGCTGTCCCCCGTTGCCGTCGGCGCCGAACTGTCCCTGCGGCATCGGCGACATGCCTGCCATGGTGCCGGACGCATCCTGCATCGAGCCGCCGGGAAGCGTGGTGGGAACCATGACGCCGTGGCGAGCCTTGCGGACGTTGGGGTTGCCCGACCGAGGCGCGTAGGCGCACTGCTTGCCGCGCGACCGGCAACGTCCGCAGGCAGGCACCTCGAGGTCGCACCTCGCCTTGCTGCGGGCGCACTCGTAGCAGCTCTTCTGCCGGTCAAAGGACGGCTGTGCCAGCGCGCGCGCCTCGCGGGCCAGGTGCCGGCGGAGCAGGTCATCTCGGGCAAACGTCTTGCCACAGTTGGGACAGCCGAAGCCCTGGGACGACGACGAAGGGCCGGGTCCGGACCGATCCGAACGCATCCCGGAGCCCGGCCGAGGGCTGAAGGCGTTGCCGTGGCCGCCCGAAAGCGAGCTCCTGTCGCTGGAAGGGTCGATCAGGGAAGAAGACGACGAGGATGCCTGCGACGACGTGTAGAGGGAGAGGTCGTGTCCGGACAGGCTGGCCGCGCCCTGGGGATGGCCGTAGATGGGCGCGTTGGGAGCATTGCTCGTCGACATTGCAATGAGAAGCGGCCGTCGGTTGCTCTTTTTTTTGTTTGAACGTGAACCGGCGGAAGCAGGACCAAGCCACTGTTCTCTAGTGCAGCGGTGGGCGGGGACGATGTCGATCGGGGTATAGCGCTCGGCTTCGCGGGTAGTTCGAGCGGCAAAGATGCGATGGAGACGACGACGAGGCCGGAGAACGGGTTGAGGCGAGTCGAGTGGCGGGCAGTGCCGCGCGAGAGGAACCGCGAGGCGAGGTGGAGGAAGGGAATCAGGAGCGGGTCGAGGGCTGGTTGTCGGACGTTGTCGCGGCGGCTTCAAGCATGGCTAGGCGGAAGGGTCTCTGCGCGATGGTGGTAGCGGTGGTGGTCGTGATGGTCGTCGTCTAGGTGATCGTCGTGGTCGTGGGGCTGTCGTCGAGGCGGCGAGGAAGAAAGAGGCAGGCCGGATCTGGAACAATTGTGAATGAGAAGAGGAACGAGGGCGTTGGCCGAGGCAGCGATGGGAGGACGCAAACGGCAAGGGCCCACACAGAGGGCGCGCACCGCTCGCTCACTACTCGCTCCAACGAGCATCCAAAATCGGGCAGGCAGGCAGGCAGCCTGGCAGGCAGTCGAGAGCGCGATCCAGGTCCCCTCGACAGCGGCATCACGGCGGCGAAGAGATGGTCGTGACGGATACGGATCTACCGAGCCTCAGGCGATCCTCGCTCGAGCGTCGTGCATTCACGACTCGGAGGGAGCCGCGCAGGTGGTCGCAGAGCGTCGCAGCGACTCGGGTTGGTGGCAGCCGCCGCCCTCTGGGTCAGGTCGTACATACCGGCTGTACCTGGCTCCTGGCTCTCTCTGTCTTTCCCTTTCTCTCTCTCACGTACCACCGATAGGTGCGCCGGCTTCAGAAGCCAGCCAGAAAACGTCTCGGAGAAGTTTATGGTGCTTCTTCTTCTTCTTCTGGATCTCGGACCTGCGGGCTGCTGTGTCTCGACAAGCGCCAACGGGTGTACGTACGCTGGGCGTTCCCTCCGCCCTCGCCACCGCGCCTGCTGGTCGGTTCCTCTCTCTCTCTCTCTCTGTCGCCGCCAAACGAGGCAAGGGTTTTCTCGACGGTCGCGAAAATCCGACGACGATCCGCTCCGCCGGCCTCTGTAGCCCGCAGCTGAGCCGTCCATCCGTCCGTCCGACCGACCGAGCACAGCCACACATCCAAGCAACGATGCGATGGACGAGTGTGCGGGCAGCTGGACGGAGGGCTTCATGTCCGACTCTTCGGACACGCACGTACGTAGAGATTGCCACGAGGCATCATGGCATGGCTTCCGTGGTCCCCTGCCTCTTAGACGGCGCTGCATGTGTGGGTGTTGATGGTGATGCTGAGCGCACTGGCCCCTTCGAGTCTACTCTGAGTTCTGTAACAGCAAGGCAAACGTTGCCCACCTTCGGATGGGGCCCGACGCCCGTCTCTTCATTCGAAGGGTGGTACTGCCGCTTCTCATGGCGCTGGGTGTGCGGTCTCGCCCAAAGGTAAGATAGAGCTTGCCTACGAACTTCGGCGCCGCCGTCGCTTGCCGGTCTTTGCCGCCCGTCCCTCTGTTTCGTGGTCGTGGACAAAGCAAGCCCGTGTGTGCAACCTCGTCGGCCATCTCGCCGGGAGGAGTGGGTCGGGCGGGCGTAGAATCCCGAATGGTGAGCGACGGAAGTCCGAAGCCGAACCCGCCATCGCCAGGAAGCTAGGCTAGGGTGCAGCTTGCTGGCGGGCATGGAAGGCGCGGGTCCTGATCCCGAAGCCTGTCTCCGGGAGTCCGGTGCGACTACAGATAGAGTAGCTCGACGTCACCCGCCCGCCCGTCTTTGCAGGCGGCATACTGTTCCGGCATCAGCTACGAAGTGCGGGGCAGCAGTGGACCGGAATTCTCGCGCAGTTGTGCATAGGAAGAGAGCCGCTTGGGTGTGCCCGACCCACCGGTGAGCCGAGCAGCCGGGCGGGCGGGCAGAAACCTCTCATCCGCTTGCTGCCTGCCTGCCGGCCTGCGCTTGGTCCGCTGCAGAAGAACAGCAAAGCTTGCTGGTCAGCGGCCGCCAGAGAAGGAGAGGCCCGCTCGAACGTCCTGGATCTTGGCGAAATCGATGAGAGGGCCTTGGTATAGGGCGTGGCGGCGTATCATCGTTCTCCGCAGGCGCAGTCGTCAGGCCTGCCTCCTACATAACACTTGCTGCTCATGGCGTCCGTTCGTCCTCGTTCTCGTCCACGTCCTCGGACAGCGCAGCGGCATCTGTCACGCCTCCATGGCGGCGCAATCAAAAGAGGTAGGCAGGCCAGACCGAGGTTGTGGTGCGTCGCGTCGGTCTCTGCCTGCCCCTGGACGGCACCGCAACAGGTCCTCTCGCCACGCCCGGCCACCCGCTCCGCTCCATCCAGCATATCCAAGTGATGAAGAGCGACATTCCATCCGCTAATATGGCAAAGTGAGATGAATCTCGCCGCCATGACCCCGAGTCATTAGCCAGAGTCTAGCCAGCCTGACGAAGCTTGTGACTCGACAAGCTTTGGCGGAGGAGGAGAAGAACGATATGTATATCGGAACGGCTGCTTGGTTAACGCCGCAGAGGGTTCGATGCCACCACGACGCCCCCCCTTTTAGCCCCATCCGCAATGATGGCCAATAGCGGCCAACGGTATCACCGCTCTGACAACGCCGAGGCGTACCGTCAGAATGCCTCGTTCGTGAGTACGGCAGCGTTGGCGGGGGCCATCTCCGGCTACAGCCATGAAGCTGGGCTGCGACGGGATTCGACGACGGCTCAGACGGGGCTGACCGCGCGACGCTCGTCCAACCGCTCGGGGTGAGACGACAGGTCTACTCTCCCGCCTACACTTCTCCGGTCCTGGGTCTGCTCGATGCCAAGGCCGGCGAACGTATCTTGGACCTAGGTTGCGGTGAGCTTCGCACGTCGCAGCGCAGCGCAGCGCAGCGCCGCGCCGCTACGATCCCGCCCTCGTCGCACCCACGATGACTGAGGAGCAACAACTGTCCTGCCCAACCTTCCCGGGTCCTGGTCGGCATCGATGAATGAATGGACCGCCCGCAGGAAGTGGCGAACTCACCCTGGATGTCGCCCGGCTGATCTCGAGGCCGGAACAAGCGGCGACTGCCGCCGGGCACGTCCTCGGCATCGATGCCTCGGCCGACATGATTGACAAGGCCACCCGCCTCCGCGATGCCGCCGCCGCCGCCGCTGCTGCTGCTGCTGCCCAACAGGGCGATCCGGACGGGCTCGGCGACCGGGTCAAGTTCCGAGTGCTCGATGGACACGAGCTCGCCACTGGCCTCGGACACGACCTCGAGGGCACGTTCGACAAGGTGTTCAGGTGAGTTGTTCCGCCCTGTGCTGCACTGTTGGTAGTACATATGTATGTACGTGGCGACCTGTTGCGACAATTAGGGCTGTTTCGATAGTGGCGCCCGAGCCGCTCGGCCCCTCGTCATTGTATGACAGGGTGACCTGCAGTTGATGCTAACCGTGAGCGTCACCCGCCAACCACTCGTCGTCCCACATCTGTGGCACAACACAGCAACGCAGCGGTGAGTACATTTTCGGCCCTGGTGCGCGGCCGTGCTTGTCGCACCCCTAATCAGTCAGGACTGACCCTGGCCTCGACCTGGTGGGGCGCGGCGGATGAACCACCCGTTCGTGACTTGCAGCTGCATTGGATGAAGGCCTCGCCGTCCCAAGTGATCCGAGGCGTCCGGACCGCCCTCAAGCGCGGAGGCGTCTTTGCGGCCGAGATGGGCGGCTTCCTCAACTGCATCGGCATCCGAGCGCTGCTGCACCAGAGCTGCCGTCGACGCGGCGTCGATCCGGACGCGGTGGATCCTTGGTGAGCACGCCGGACGCATAGCTGCTGATTGCCGCCAAGCGGCTCGTAGGTCGGTCGAAGACTGACCGTACCATACCGCACCGCACCGCACCGCACCGCTCCGCACCGTTGGCCCGGCCCCGACGTCGAGACAGGTTCTTCCCGACGGCCGAGCAGTATAGCGCGCTGCTGATCGAGGGCGGGTTCGAGGTACGCCACTGCGAGCTGGTACCGCGTCTGACTGCGCTGCCGCCCTCGTCGGGTCTGCGCGGCTGGCTGTCGACGTTTGCCGGGCCCTTCCTCAACGCCTTCGACGACGAGGGGACGCGCGGCGCCGTGCTCGACGAGGTCGAGGCGGCGCTGAGGCCCGACTGCTACGACGCCGCCGAGGATAGGTGGTCGATCATGTATGTTCGGCTCAGGATCAGGGCCGTGGCTGTTTAGTGGGGGGCCCCAGCGCGGGAACAGATGGAGCCGATGTCGTTGATGTGTGAGGTTAGCGGCGGTGGCGGCGGCGGCGGCTGTCTAGGTACGATCGACGACGAAGAAACCGGCATACGACCGTCCCTGCCCCTTGCCCTTCCCACTTGTGTCCTCCTTTGCTCCCTCCGCATCGGAAACACCAAGGAGGACATCACGATCGAGGACCTCTGTACCCTGTCGATCCACATGCTCTCCCACCTCGACTTCAGGTTGGTCAACACGATCACACCAACCCTCCAACGAAGCCAAGACTCTGGAATCCACCAGCTGCCCCTCCCCTCCCTCCTCCTCGATGTGGTTTGGGGGAAGCTGGACGGACCGGACGGCATGAACGAGCCCAATCAGGCCCGTCAGTTGCCGCCGCACCTCTTCGAACTCGGCTGACGACGCGGCGGGCGCCTGCAACGCAGAGAGGCGGTACAGCTTGAGGAGCGTCGAAGCATCCATCTCTTCCCGGCCCGTCTGGTCCGATATGAGCTTCGAGACGCTCCATGTCGCCTGCGTCGGGATGCAGAGGTCGTCCACCCCTTCTCCGGCATGGGCCGTGGAGTCGTCGGCGGCGGTAGATGGTGGCGGCGTTTTGGCGCGCGTGGCGTACCCCCGTCGTTGGGTTGCTGATGCAAGCGACGACGACGACGACGAAGGGGCCGCAAGACGAGACGTCGCCGTTACCTGAATGACGCACCAGGCCGGAACGGGGACAACACAAAGTCAGTCAGATGGACCGCCATCGCTTTCTCGGACGCGCGCTAGGCCTGTGTCTGGCATCCAAGTCTATTGGCATGGAATGAACGGAGAAAGTGGTGGGGGACTGGACGATAGCGTACGCCAGGCAGGACAGGGCAGGGCTGGGAGGAGGGACAGGTGGGATGTGCCAAAGGAGGATGCCGTGGTCTAGGTACGTACATCTCTCTGCGTCTCGTCGGCCTGCTGGACCTCGCCGTCCTCGTCTTCGGCATGCTCCATCTCGGCCGCGCCCGCCTCGAGCTGGGCGGCCATGAGCTTGCGGAAGCGGGTGCCGGGCCGGTCGAGCTCGTCGTAGGTGCCCTGCTCGACGATGCGCCCGCGCTCGAGAACCTGGAGGTTCTTTGCGCTCTTGATGGTGCTGAGGCGGTGCGCCACGATCCACACGGTGATTTCGCCCTTCTGGATGATCTCCTCGATGGCGCGGTTGACGAGCACCTCGCTCGCCGAGTCGAGCGCCGACGTCGCCTCGTCGAGCAGCAGGATCGACGGGTTCTTGACGAGCGCCCGCGCGATGGCGATGCGCTGCCGCTGCCCGCCCGACAGCTGCCTCGCCCCGATCCGCGTCGCCAGGCCGTCGGACAGGTCGTGGATAAAGCCGCAGCCGGCCATCTGGATGACGCGCTCCACGTCCTCGCGCGTCGCATTGTCGGTGCCGTAGGTGATGTTCTCCTCGACCGTGCCGTCAAACAGCACGGGCTCCTGCGGCACCACGGCGATGGCCTTGCGCACCTCTTCCACCTTGAGCTCCCTCAAGTCGCGGTTGCCCAGCAGGATCCTGCCCGAGTCCGGGTCGTAGTACCGCAGCAGCAGCGCGTGCACCGACGACTTGCCCGCGCCGCTCCCGCCGACCAGGGCGTACGACTTGCCCGGCTCGATGCTGAGCGACACGCCGTCGAGGATCTTTTGCTGCGGGCGCGACGGGTAGCTGAAGTGCACGTTGTCAAACCGGATCGGCAGCGAGTGCGTCTTGGACCGCGCCGAGCTCAACGGCGACGACGACGACGATGCCGGGACCGGCAGCGGGTCGCCGGCACCGAGGCGGACGTTGGACTCGCGGTCGATGAGCTCAAACACGCGCGCGCCCGCACCGACTCCCTTCATGACGCTGGCAAAGAACGACGTGAGGCTGATCATGCCGCCGCCCAGGTAGGCCGTGTACATGAGCAGCGACGTCAGGTCGCCCACCGAGATCTCGCCGCGGCTGGCCAGGTGGCCGCCGTAGGTGAGGAGCGTGAGGATGGCGCAGTTGCCGACGAAGCCGGTGCCGGCGTAGAAGAGGCCGCTGGCGTACGCCTCCTTGGTCTGCAGCGCCACGATATCTTGCACCTTGGCGTCAAAGCGCTTGGCCTCCTGGCGCTGCGTGTTGAAGCTGGTCAGTGTGCGGAAGGCGGGCGGCGAGAGGCGCTCCTCGGCCAGGCGCGTCATGGCTCCGACGGCGTCCTGGGTCTTGTGGGTGAGGTCGCGGAGGTAGCGGCCGTAGAAGACGGCGCCGATGGCGGCGGGCGGGACCACGGCCATCATGAGGAGCGTCAGCTTGGCAGAGAGGAGGAACATGGCGGTGCCGGCAAAGATGACGGTGACGCCGGCGCGCAGGCCGTCGCCAATGTCCGAGGTGAGCGAGTCGCCGACAATGTTGGTGTCGACGCTGAGGCGGCTGACGGTGTCGCCGGCGCCCTTGTCGGCCAGCTCGACGTCCTGCCGGAGCGCGCTGCGGTACGCCTGTCCGCGGATGCCCTGGACGACGCGGACGCCGGCGAGCTCGAGGAGGATGTTGCTGCCGGCCTTTGCGCCCGCGCCGATGGCAAAGACGAAGAGCATGCCAAAGGCGACGGTGCCGAAGCTGAAGCCAAACAGGCTTGACTGGCCAGAGGTGAAGAAGTCGATGACGCGGCCGATGGCAGCGGGGATGGTGAGCGAGATGCACGACGAGACGAGGAGGAGGGCGAGGGCGATGAGCATGGTGCGCTTCTGTGGCATGGCGAGGCCGATGAGCCGCTTCATGTCTGGGAAAGTGGCGACGGGTGTGGGCGACTGAGTGCCGTCCTTTGTCTTTGGCGCCGACTTTGCCATCTGCTCCTGCAGCCGTGCCTTGATGGCGTTGCCCAACCGGGAAGCGAGCGAGGCCGACGAGGGCGACGAGGACGATGCCTCGACCTTTGCGGCGGCGGCATCGACTGCGCTCTCTGCCTGCTTCAGGGTCGATGAGGATTGTGGGGCAGGCTTGACAGGCTGGGAGGAATTGGCAGAGGTGCGCGTGGTATCGTTGCGGGCGTGGGAGCTGTTGCATCTCGAGGCCGCAGAGGCGGCGGCGGCGGCATTGCGAAAGAGGAGCGAGAGCTGCGGCTGACCGGGACGAGCGGAGGCAAAGATCGACGGGCTAGTGCATGTCCGTGACGGCGAAAGAGGGGCTTGACCTATGGAAGTTCTGGAAGCTTGCGAATAGGACCTGGCGTTGTGTAGTGCTGCCGCAGACAAGTGGGCCAGGCTGAGGTGTCCCATCGGGGCCGAAGCACCTTGCCGCAGGCCGAGAAGCGCAGTCGAGGAAGCCCCGACGCGGAGAGGGGCCGCGAACATGACGAAGAGACGCCAACCAGCGCAGCGCAGGAGAAGTAAGGTGCGTGAGAGGGACCGAGTGAGCGATGTCGACGGGGGGGAAAGCGAGGAAGGGGTTTCAAGCGCAGCGGGCGGCGGATGGGACCATGTCTCTGAACTTCCAAGGTGCTTTGAGACGGAGGAGCGGGAAGGATGACGAGGCGCGTAGGGCGACGGGACGATTGCCGCCAATCCTAGGGCGACTCGAGCAGGGGATGAGGATGGCGAGCTGGATGGAGGGCTGGACGGGATGGTGAGGATGATGGAAGGGTGGAGGCAAGAGGGGTGCCGAGATCGAGTCGAGTCGAGTCGAGTCGAGTCGGGTCGAGTTGAGCGCCCGCCCGACTGCCCGCCGGAAGAAATGCCCTGCAGGCAGCAGGCAACAGGCAGCAGGCCGTCTGGAGCGCGGGAAACGGAGACCATTTTGGCTGGTGGTCTGTCAAACGGTAGTCAGCGATATGTTCACCAGCCTACTTTGTCAGCTCAGCCTCCACTCCATCACGCCTCATTCACAGCACCAGTAGTCCTATCTTCCCAAACTCTGCACAATTCTCCAGCCATTGCATCTTCAGGCACCATCTTGAGTCTTTCTTACTTCCATCATTCTGTGGCTGTACAACTCCTGGCAGTTGGACAGAATCGTGGTTCTTGTTAGGCCCTCAGGGTGCTGGGAACTGTGGGATGGCCAAGGACAGGTGAGGTTTGCACAGAGAGGTCTGGGAATACATGTATAAGCTGCTCATGCCTGCAGCATTCCAAGACCGTTCTGAGCCTGATACCAGTGATCACAACAGGTCCTGGAGTATTGACAAAGCCCACTTTTCTGACAACAAGACCCATCAGCACCAGTTTGGGCTGCAGTCATGAGTCAGTGAGTGAAACACTTTGCCCTCAGAGCACTGATATCAGTCAAGACCTTGTGAGGTGTCAAACCTGACTCTGGTCACTGATGGAGGCTGTCAGGATCAGGAATGCTTGAGGAAGCTTGGATAGCATGCTGGCATTGCTGAAGATATGGAAGCCAGAGGCAAGCAGGTAAAAGCAAGTCGCCAATCCTTTTTCAAGTCCTCTTCGCGATTGCCTACTTACCCAAAGCTCCTGCGTAACCTTGCCACAAAAATTACTGCAGGACAATAACACTGTATGCTCTCGAGCTGTAGAGCTGAGCACAGGGCCGTTCTGACTGCGCTGAAGACGGAGGTCCTACAAGGACTGGGAGACTGGGACAATCCCTTGGCGGTAGCCATGGTCACATTGACATCACCGGGAGGTGTGAGTGGTCGGGGAGGTGTGATCTGGTCGTGCTGCTCCTTTGGGGGGGGGAAGGGGGGCGGCCACAGGCTGGCTGGTTTGAGACGCGCAGGGATTGCCATAACTTATCACCAAGCGTCTGCTACAGGGAATCACACACGCGCCAGTCACGCCCATTGTGAACCTTGGCATTCAAACTCATACCCTGGGACATCGCCGTAGAATAGACCGTGAAGCGAGTGTGATGGTGTCGAACATTGATGCAGCTCGAGTTGGCTGCAGAGAGCAGCAGAAGCATCCGACGGCAGCCGGCTGGCAGATGCAGAGATTTTGCGGCAACAGAGGTCAACTGCCTGTCCCTCGGAAGCAGGCAGCATCTCGAGCAGCAAACAACCTTTGCATGGCGCATGCAATCTGCCAGGCCTTATAGATGTAGTCTGCCCCAAGGTCAGCATCACAAGCCAGGTTGGGCAGCCTTGCATCAGACAGCCGCCTTGACCAGACCGCGCTGCAACAAGTCGCCGTCATTTCGAGTGCGCCCTCAGGTCAAGCGTGCGTGAGGACAAACGGCGGGGAACAGGCCAAACGCATCATCGCCATTGCAACAGGTACAGTCCGCACGCACGTCCAACGCACGCATGCACGCACGTCCAACGCACGCACGCACGCACGCACGCTCGCACGCTCCTCAGTTGGCCATGACGACCGTCTCGGCATCGCTGCCCACATCCGCCCCGTCGCCAATGACCAGCTGCAGCGCACCCTGCCGACTCCGCCTGAGCACCGCCGCCTCGTCGCCTCGCATCCCTTCTTCCTCCTCTTCCTCCTCGTCGTCGTCGCTGCTGCTGCTGCTGCTGTCGCCATCCCGGTCCGACACTGACACTGCCGCCGTCGCCGCCGCTCGACGACCTTGGCTCGCAGCCACTTCGGCCTGACGCCTCTTCATCGCCGCTGCGATCCGGGCCGAGGGCGACACTGCTGCCTGGGTCGTCGCATCCCTCGCCGCCGCCGTCGCCGCCGGCGGCGCCACCGTGGCTGCCATGGCCTGCCCGCCCCTTTTGACAGACTCGATCGCGCCCCGGTTGGCCGCAGGCGAGCCTTTACGGACCACGTTGGTGTCGCGCGCGCCCAATGGCGTCCGCTTCGGCGAACCACCGCCGGCAGCAGCGACCGCAGCTTCGTGGCTAGGCGTCGATGCCGCAGGGGCCTTGACCGCGCTCGCCGCCGCCCTCGATGGCGTCGAGGGCGTCTCGACGGCCTCTGGAGCCTCGCCCGGTGCAGCCTTTGGCCCCACTGCAACCTCGGTGCCGGCTGGCTTGGTGGGCGCCGCAGCAGCTTTCGGCGGAGGCGGCGGGGGCGCCGCCATGGGGGTCCGCTTCTGCACGCCCGCCGCGCCGCGCTTCTGCTGCTCCGTCTTCGAGCCGACGCTCACCGCCCGCGCCTGCACCGCCTTCTTGACCAGCGTCGCCTTGTCCGTCGCACCCGCGCCTCCGCCCACCAGCCGCGTCTTGGGCGCCAGCGAGGCAGACAACGACGACGTGACCTTGGCCCGCGCCTTGGCGTCTGCCCGTCCCGCCAGCGGCTTGGGCTGGAACTGCTTGCCCCCGCCCGTCGGTACGACGACGACGCGCGGCTTGCCCGTGGTGCTGCCCGTCGGCTTGGGCGCAGCGCTGCTCGAGCCAACGGGATGCGATGTCTTTGCCGACGGAGCTGCCGGTGTTTGCGTGCCACCGGCTGGCCTCGATGTCGACCGCGCATCGGCTGCCTCCGCGTCAACGCGCTGTTCCTTCGGGCCGTGACTGGCCGCCACAGCACTTGCGCCTGATCCTGACCCCGATCCTGATCCTGTTTGACCACGCTCGTCGGCTGCCTTGTCCTCCGACGCAGCGCCGCCGTCTGATTGCCCTTCCCGTGCCTTGGGAGTGGCACTCGCCGGTGCTGGCGTCGACGCCGTAGACGACGTGGTGGATGCCCGGAGCGCCGATGTCCGGCTCGCAGACGGCGTCGGAGTGGGTCTCGACACCCTCGCCGCTGAGGCCTTGGCCGGGGCCACCGGCCTTGTCGCGGGAACCCGAGAAGCCTTGACCTGCTGTTTCGTCTGCGACTGACCCGCTGCTGCGCCGCCGCTGCTGCCCGTGGGCGCGCCGGCCGAAGACGACGACGACAACGACGACGACGACGCTCCTTCTGCCCTGCCGGGCCGCTCGTCTGACCCCGCACTGTCCTGCATCTTCTGCAGCTGGCGGACCAGCCTCTCTGCGACTCCCTCGCTCGGCGCAGCGTGGCCACCATCGCCAGACTGGGGCTTGGACGCGTGGTCTCTCTGCGGCGCTGGCCCATTCTCCTGGTGGTGTGGAAGCCACGCGATCGGATCCGACGGGGTTGCGTCGTCAGATCGACTCCGAGAAGGCAACGGCTTGCCCTGCCGGGGCCGATTGCCGCCTTCGTCGTCGCCGCTCTCGAGCGCACCCGCGTTCCCCCGTGATGGGCCCTTGGACGACGACGACGACGAGGCCAGGCTGCCGAGGTCCGGATGCGACGACGTGCGCAGGTGATCCTTGCTGAATGCCTGGCTGTAAGCAGCGAGGATCTGGCTCCTGCCGTGAAGCCCGGACGCGGCCGCAAAGGACGTGATGGCGTTTCCGCTCGTCGAGCTGCCCAGGTGCCGCGAGGACGACGACGATGACGGGCCGAGCGAGACCGACAGCGGATTCTTGTGCGAGCTGGTCGACGACGACAGGCTGGCTGCGTGCGGCGTCGTCGTCGTCGCAGAGGTGGCGCTCCGGCTCGAGATTGACGCCCTCAGGCCGGCACTGATGGTAGGCGGCTCGGGCTCGGGCTCCTCGTAATATCGCAGCGCGCGCCTCGATGACGATGACGGCAGAGACAGCGGGTCGAGCCGTACGTCGATCTCGCGGTGCCGTTCGTGTCGGCCAGCGTCGACCGGCAGCGGGGCTCGCATCGACGCAAGAGCACCGCCGTCGTGGACCTGCGGGCCCCGGCTGGCCTTCTGTTGCGAGCGCACGGCCGAGAGCTGGTCGGCGAAGAGCGGGCGTTTCGAGCTCGACGATGAGGACGAGGGGAAGTTGGCGGGCTCGGGCGCGTCGACCGCGTGGTGCGACTCGGCCCTCGTCGGTGCGGCCGATCGGCGTTCCGATGCTGGGGTCGCCTTTTGGGCATGACGCGAGGACGATGCAGAAGGGGCCGCTGACGCGGATGAACGGGATGGCGGCGCTGCGGCTGTTGACGCCACCGAAGCCGCCTGGACGGGCACGTCGACGATCAGGGCGCCCGTCTTGGGCAGGGCGAGGTACCTTCGGATGGTCGGCGTGAGTGGCTTGGTGAAGCTGCAGAGTCGAGCAGGCAGAGGACTTGGATCTGGTCAGTTTTGGGTCGCACGAAACTCCACCTCCCTCCATCGCATCGTCGACCAGCTGCATACTCACGACTCGACCCGCTCGGGCCACATGGCAATGTAGAGCTCAAACACCCTCTTGGAGATCTGGCGGACCTCTGGGTTGGAGTCGGTGGCGCTGCCCTTGATGCTGGCCTCGATGTCCGAGATCCTCCTGGCGAGCTTGGCCTTCTCGGTCGACTCGAGGAGGGCGAGGATGCAGCCCATGGCGACGGCGCGGAGGCCCTGGCTCTTGTCGCGCGCGGCATCCTTGAGGAGGGGCACGAGCGAGGGGAGCTTGCAGTGCTTGCAGATGAGGACGAGGCTCTTTTCGGCGCGCTTGACGGCGACCTTGTTGGTGCGGGCGCAGATGGCGAGGAGGGTGGGCACAAAGATGGGGACGAGGGCGTCGAAGCGCTCGACGAGGCGGGGCGCGACCGAGTTGATCAAGTCGCCCGCGGTGCCCGAGAGGCGCGTGCGCTCCGAGAGGAGCGAGTTGTTGATGGGCGCGGCGATCTGCTTGAGGAGCGGGATGTACTCGGGGAACTTTGCGGCGCCGCCCTTTGTGATGGCCTGGAGGCGCGCGAGGGCGCGGTCGAGCTTCTGCCACGAGTCCTCGGTCTCTGGCAGCGCGAGGTCGAGCTTGAGCTGCGCAAAGTGCGAGTTGAGCTCCGAGAGCGTGGTGACGGCGACCTTGGCGTCCTGCGGCTGCCGCGTCGACGAGGGCATGGCTGGCTGGCTGGCCGGCCTTTGCCGTCTTGGTGCGCTCGCCGGGCGGCAGTCAAGACCGTCGGGGTCGGCGGGTCGGCGGGTCGATGGGTCGGTCGGCCGGGCGGTCCAAGATGGCGGATGCAGACCTTAGGAGCGATACGAGCGGCTGCAGTGTCGATGATCCAAAATGAGGGGTATGGAGGGGGGGTATAGCAAACAGGGATGAGAAGGAGGGGGCGGCAGTCGGTCGGTGAGTGGGTGAATGGATGGATGAGGGATGGAAGCCCAGGTGGCAGTGCGCCCAGCCAGGGTCTCGCTCGCTCGCCCGCCCGCTCGAGGCGACAAACACAACAACACGCACGCGCGCGCGCCCGACCCCACGCCAAGGCTCGATGGCCTGCCTGGCCAGGGCCAGGGCCAGGGCCACGCGGCTCGCGGCTCGCGCGTCCAGCCCAACCAACTACTGCCCAGAGCACGAGCCGATTCGTGGATTTCCTTCGACGCCGCACGCCACCCGCCTGCCCTCGCTTCGTCCCAGAGCATCCATCTCACTCGGCGACCAGAAGAATCCTAGACATGGGCCGCGCCGTCGCCACCTAGCCTCGTCGGGCCGATGCGCTGCTGCACGCACGTGACATGATTTCGGCCGGTGACTGGGCGTCTCTCGAGGATGCCGTCTGGGAGACCATGGTTGCCCTTCCTGTTGCTGGCTGGGTCCAGAGATACAAGCATGCAGGGACAGGAGATTGCTGGACGGCGCGGTAGAGTAGCTAGGGGTAAGGTAGCGATGACGATGTGGGTAGCGTAGGCGATGTGGAGTGTTTCCGAGGCACACGGAAAGAGATAGGCCTGGAGATGGAGCGCTGGCCGCGCCCAGCAACGTTTTGGGAGCAAGGCTAGTGTGATGGAGCGGCAAACGACGGTTCAGGACGCTCGGGGACGGTCGACGTCGACGGCTGGCGGACACAAGGCGGACAGAACGGCGGGCAACGGGCCGGCTCACTCAGAAGCCGAAGCGCTTCTTGCGCTGCTGCTGCCGCGGCGACGGCGACGGCTGCTGAGGCGACGGGGCCTGCGCCTGCTGCTGTGCCGATGGCATCTCGGGCCCGTTGGCCAGCTTGCTCGAGCTGGGCATCCGGAACCCTTCGCGCAGCAGGTTGAGGCTCTTTCGGCCAAACCCGCCCGCTCCACCGCTCGTCGAGTTCCTCCGGCCTCCTCCGTCGTCGCCGCGAGGAACCGTCAGGGCACCGCTGCCGTACGGGCCCGCTCGGTAGTCGCGGTCGAAGCCGATGCCGTCGTCGCCTTCGTCGTCGTCGTCGTCGTCGTCGTCGCCATTCCAACGGTTGTCACGCCCGTCGCGCGAGAGCCTCGCCTCCGAGGCCGAGGCGAAGCGCTGCGTCGACAGCATGCCAAACGCGCTGTGGCTGCGCGGTGGCATGTCGATCCGTCCGTCGGACGGCGACGAGAGCACGCGCTGCCGCTCCATGTGCATGCTCGTCTTGGGCGGCGCCAGCCCAGAGTAGCTCTGTCGGTTCCTCAGCATCGGCGGTGGGCCGAGCCCGAGGTTCGACTTCCTCGGTGCCGCCTCGGGCTGGTTCTCGATCCCGCCGCCGACAAAGACCGAAGGCGACGGCGCACCCACGCTCGACTCGCGCTTCTTGCGTCCGAATGGCAGGCGCAGCATCTTGCTCTTGCGGTTGCCCTTGTCGCCCTCGTCCTGGTGCTGCTGCTGCTGCTGCTGCTGCCCGGCGCGAGCGTCGTTGAGGTCGATCGCAGACAGGTGCTTCGGCAGCGCATCGTACGCTGAGCCCGACGGAAAGTCCGTCTCCATGGCCTGGCCAAAGCTGTTCGGCCCCGGTCTGCCACTGCGATCGGGCTCCGAGTCTGTCGAGCCGGAGAAGCTGGGCGAGGCGGTCATGTTGTCCGGACGCCGAGGGTTCTTGGGAGGACGCTTGGGCCCGTCGTTGAGCGAGGAGCCGGCCAGGGATCCCTCGGGACTCGTGTTGCCGAACCGGTTCTGCTGCGCGGGTGACGGCGAGGTAAAGGGGATCGGCGGACGGCCGACCTGCATGCTGCGGCGGCCGCTGTCGTTGGACAGCTGCCACGCGCCCGACGTCCGGCCCACTGGCGCAGACGGCATGCGGTTGCCGTAGCTGCCCGACATCGACTGCCGACCTGCCGGTATGGGGCCTGCGACGCCATTGCTTCCCGAGCGAGAATGCTGGCTCACCATCGGCATCGGCTGCCCCATCTGATCCTCGCCCTCGGCCGATGGCATCGGCGGCAGCTCCTTTCGAAGACTGCTGCGGCCGACGCTCGACAGGCTGCGCTGGTCCGCACGGTCCTCGACCCCATTCTCCGGAATCGTCCAAGGCGTGGACGGGTCGCGAGGGCTGCCCATGTTGGTGAGCGATCGCGAGGAGCTGAACGAGCGTGCCGAGTCCTTGGCGCCAACGCCGCTGCGCGAGGCTCGCGGGTCGATCGGCATCGCGTTGCTGCCGCCGCCAGGGTCCATCGATGCCCTCGGACCGCCGTCGGCGAGCGGCTGCGGGCCGTGCAGGCCG